CGAAGCCTTGCTATCCAGGCAAAGGACGTCATCCTGCAAGCATTCGAATACCTATCAATCCCACTAGCCGAAGAAAAGCTCGAGGGCCCGTTCACATCCCTGGTCTTCCTCGGAATTGTGCTGGACACGGTGCGCATGGAAGCCCGTCTCCCAGACGACAAACTGGCGGACCTCCGCGAGCTCCTCAGCGAGATGTCACGCTGCACCCAGACCACGCAACGCAAACTCGATCACTTCCTGGGGAAACTCTCCTTTGCGTCGAGCGTCGTCGTACCAGGCAGAACATTTACACGGCGCTTATGGGATATCAACAAGAGGTTTAGCCGCGCCAAGCCCTATTTCCGTATCACTCTGACGGGCGAGGCCAGGAAAGACATCCGCTGGTGGCAGCTTCTGATCCAGCACTGGAACGGGAAGGCATTCCTCCTCTATAACAGCAGTACATCGTCGGCCGACCTTGGACTGTACACAGACGCTAGCGGCACTCTCGGCTGGGGCGCATTCTACGGCAAGGAGCAGCGCTGGATCCAGGGCAGATGGACAAAGGAGCAAGAAGAAGAGAGCATCGGATACAAAGAGCTCTATGCCGTGGCGATGGCTTGCAGTACTTGGGGCCATCTGTGGTCCCGGCAACGTATCGTAATGCATTGCGACAATCAGTCCGTTGTCGAATGCGTGAAGTCAACCTCCAGCAAGTCACCAGGCATGATGTCACTGCTGCGTGCATTGTTCTTCGTTTGTGCAACTCACAGCTTCACCATTACTGCCAAATATGTACCTGGCCATCTGAATTCGATCGCCGATGCTCTGTCTCGTTTCAACCTGCAGGCATTCCAGCAGCTGGCACCATCGGCACGGCAAGCCCCGGACACTGCAATCCACCTCCCCCTCCTGGACTGATGCGGGAGGTCGCCGACCTGGCAGCCATGGCAATCGCCCCGACAACGCGGCGCACGTACACCACTGGCGAAAGGAAGTTTACGCAATTCTGTGCGTTGCAGAGATGGACGCCCATGCCGGCTACAGACACGATGCTCAGCTGCTTCGCAGCACACCTCACGCAATCGGTTCAACCACAGACAATTCACGTCTACATGGCCGCAGTACGCAACATGCATCTCGAAGCCGGATTCCGAGATCCAACGATGAACGCGTTGCTGCTGCCACGTGTTACGCGAGGCATCAAGAGGACGGTGACTGACTCAGCAACCCAGCGCACTCGCCTCCCAATCACCATTGATTTGCTGCGGAAGCTCCTCAACCAACTCAGCCTGGACCAACGGCGTCACCAGCAGGACAAGTGCATGCTCAAGGCGGCAATGGTGCTCGCCTTTTTCGGATTTCTCCGATGCGCGGAATTCACTGCGCCTCCGGCCGGGTTTGACCCGGCCACTCATGCCACGCGCCAGGATGTGACTCTGGACGTCACTCAAGGACGCACATATATCCGCTTCCACATCAAGCAATCGAAGACGGACCAATTCCGTCAGGGACATGCAGTGATAATCGGTAGTACCACTTCACAACCTTGCCCGGTTGCTGCCCTCCTGGCATATTTTACAGTCTGTCCATCTGACGCCGCTGACGCACTCTTCCGCTACCGCTCTGGGAGACCGCTGACCAGGCAGGCGCTGACAGAAGAGCTCCGACAGCTTCTCCCACTCACGGGAACACCCAATTCGCGCGATTACGCCGGTCATTCGTTCCGCATCGGTGCCGCCACAACGGCAGCCATGGCGGGTACCCCTGACTGGCTAATCAGGGCAATGGGCCGATGGAGGAGCGACAGCGTCTTGCGCTACATCAGGACCACCGACACAGACATGGCGCAGCTGACCCAAAAGCTGTCAGAGGTACAAGCGCATCACAGAACGCATTGAGGTATGTAAGAACCCGCCACGCGGGCACACAACTCACACCCATGCATGTACCCGCACGGCTGACTGTTTGGAACAGCACAGCAACTTGCTCTGCTAGGATTGTGCTGACAAAATGCGCTGATAGCAACAACAGTGTCATTCACGTGCATTGCAATATGTCACAACTTAGCATGGAGGCTGGGCAACCATGGGCCAGCTATCTCCTCTCATCTGGCAATTATCACGGCCTTCGGCCATCACACTCATACTCCCACACTCCTGCCTCCTAACGGGCATTGCACTTCGTGCGTGGGCCGTCCACACTCCGTCCATTTCATGGGCGCCCATCTCATGGGCTGCACTTTGTGCGTGGACATACATACACACTATCATACAGGCTGTCCACACTCCGCCCAGTTCATGGGTGCCCATTTCATGGGCTGCACCTCGTGCGTGGACTATCCTACATGATTATCACATGCCAGATTCGGTTGCCCAGCACTCCATGAATCCTCCATATGATGTGTGCTCTCCATTGGTCTGCAATAGCGAGTGCATGCGTGTTAATAGCACATTAGAGCTTGCGGTAATGTAGGTTAACACATTGCACAAGCCACCACTTCACACGCGCTCCAGCGGCTTCCAAAGAGCCCGCAGATCCCACGCTATTCATTGATGCATGTCAAGTAACACGCACATGCACGCTGCGGTGGCATGTAACATGCGTACGCCGGAACTCACCTGAACTCGCCAGCCAACCAGCCATATGCGGCTGCAGCACACATCGGAGCTTGAACCCGTAACGCATACACCATACTTCGCGCTGGCCACATTGCTACTTCATATTTGCTTTGCTTGCGCCGTGAGAAGAACACCGGTTTGTTCCTTTCTCACCCACCCACCTCTTCCCATCTATGAATAATATTGATATCCTTGACTCAACACAGGTATCATAATTCATACAAGACGAAAATAAATAGGAGTGCTGGGCCAGCTATCTCCTCTCATCTGGCAATTATCACGGCCTTCGGCCATCACACTCATACTCCCACACTCCTGCCTCCTAACGGGCATTGCACTTCGTGCGTGGGCCGTCCACACTCCGTCCATTTCATGGGCGCCCATCTCATGGGCTGCACTTTGTGCGTGGACATACATACACACTATCATACAGGCTGTCCACACTCCGCCCAGTTCATGGGTGCCCATTTCATGGGCTGCACCTCGTGCGTGGACTATCCTACATGATTATCACATGCCAGATTCGGTTGCCCAGCACTCCATGAATCCTCCATATGATGTGTGCTCTCCATTGGTCTGCAATAGCGAGTGCATGCGTGTTAACCATGTGATATTCCGGTGTCTCTTCCTTTGTCTCTTCCTTTTCCCACTCTTCCGTTCCTCCAAGAACTGGACGGTCTCATTGTACCCGCTGTCTCTGAGCGCATTGTTGTACATTTGAGATGCGTCCTGGAATGTCTCCTCATCCGTTGATATGTCCGTTAGTCGTCGGCTGATGGAAGAGGGCAAGTTCTGGATGATGATTGGTGGGTGGTTGGATTTGTGATGGACATACAGTGGCCGGTCGTTGGGTTTCCGATATGGACGGTATTTGCCAGTGCGTAGGTCCAGCGTGATGTCTAGGAAGTCGACTGATTTCAGGTTTGCCTGGATGGTAATTTTTAGTCCTAGGCTGTTGAAAACTTTGGTCATGTCCTTTCTGATCCTGTCCACTTCCGGTCCCGATACGTTCCGGAACACTGCCAGCCCATCGTCGCGGTAGAGTCCAATGTCACTGCCGTTGTACACCTCGGATAGTTTGGCCAAGGCCAGCGTGCCGACCAACTCACAGACTTCAGCACCGTCATAGCATCCCATCGTCACATCGAATACTCCGCTTCCCTTCTTCAACCACTCTTTCCCGAGGCCGAATAGCAGGGATTTCCGTGCATGGAGGATAGCTTCCTGGTCCTCCGAAGACACCGACGTGAAGCCTCTGGCAAACTCCAACGACGTTAATAATAGTTCTTCCGAGATAGACGGGTAGAACTCCACGACATCAAAACATACAAAAACGCAGTTTTGCTTTTCCTCCAGCCCCTCGAACCAGTCGATCACGGCGGATGTGTTCTTCCAGGCATTTGTTGGCAGTTGGCGCCGGATATCCTGGACTATCCTTTCCAGGATCGCCTTTGATACCTTTCCGACCTCGCTCTTCGCCGGATTGATGAGGCGGCATGGGAGGTTGTCGTTAAAGTTGTCTTTGTGGTCTTTTAGAGTCACGTACGCGTCCTTTTTTGCCATACAATCCATTCTCTCGTCCAATCCACGCGCATTGGCTATATTCCTAGCCTCCACATTTATGTCGTCGTATGTCTCTTCCGGTGCTTGCTTGTAGTTCTTGGTTACATTGTCATGCATCATTTTCTCGTAGCGGTCCTTGTTGACGGCATACATGTTCCTTGTCTTGTCCGCTGCCACGAAGATGTCGCTTGACTCCCGGATGTGAGCGATGTCATCCTCGAGCCGCCGCTGGAAACTGTCCGTTGTCCTTTTAAAATCTACACACTCTCTTATTATTATTTTTCTCACCCCACACCCCTCTACTCTGTTATCGGCCCTCCTAAGAGTTGTATTCATCACTGTTGAGGCTTTCGATGGAAAATAAAAGAATACTACTACTACTACCTTCTTTTCTCCTATTTTCTTTCACATAGTGCATTTCGTACTCTTCCACGTATAATTATGTTGTTGTTTTTTGCTAGATTTCATTATCATCAGACGTATTTCCCTGATGAATGTCTCTTGAAAACTTGTTAGGAAATTTTATTATCCCTATTTTATTTTTGTTGATTACTACGTCCAATGTACGCTTCGCTGATTCTGCTGATTAACTAAATTTGTGCCTGAGAAAGTGATCATGTCATGTGAACAGTGAAACCAACATGGCTGACATCATGTGACCCATAGATGCATGGGATGAGTGGAGTTGTAACCAACATGGCTGCCCTGCATAGTCATGTGACAGATGTGAAACCACTCTACTACATCATCAGTGTACTAAGAGCATGAAATGAGTGGAGACAGACAGACAGAAACTTGAGAGCAAGCATCAACAATCAGTGCGCATGGTGTGTTTACCTCAGCCATCCAGAGTACCTGTTGGGGATTGCACTCTAGCAGGTATTTGACAACGGACAGGTGGCCTTCACCGGCCGCTATGTGTATTGGTGCCTTCTTGAACTGCAGGAAAACCAGACGACGTCGCCATAGAGACACATGCAAACCAAAAGAAGTCTGAGCTATTCATCATGGATCGGGTTGAAATACAGTGAAACTTGTCCATGCTCTTGCTTAGTGGTGGCATACAGTTTGATAAGGCATGCTTGACTGAGCGTCCTTGCTTTGTACAGACACTCTCATAAGGCATGCTTGACTGAGTGTCCTTGCTTCGTACAGACACTCTCATAAGGCATGCTTGACTGAGTGTCCTTGCTTCGTACAGACACTCTCATAAGACATGCTTGACTGAGTGTCCCTGCTTCGCACGGACAGACCTCGCTTACCCGTTCCTCTTGTATCCGGATCCCTCGCCATCCGGAAGAACCTTTGGTGACCGAGTTACTGCATGTCATGCATGCATACAGTATGTGTGTCTGATTATCCAGTTCCCTCGCCTATCCCGGGATATGTTTGTGGAAAACGGATGTGTGCGGTTATGCGAGGTGTGACTGTACTATCGTGTAGGTATGTACAGTTAGGTTGTCTTAAAGGGGAAGTATACCCTAAAATCAAATTTTCACCAGTTGTAGTCTTCTGGGTGCTGAGTCGAATGGTCTTGGTCCGAGGAAGCTGCGACGCTCCCTTCCTACTTGAATCCCAATCGAACTCGCGCACTTCCACCGAAACTGGGTGACTGCGCCCTACTAGATGGGGATTTGTATGCAAAATGTCACTAAAAGCGCCATTTCGTTCTTATAAAAGCACGGATGACCGCGATTGGCCCATATGTTGTAGTCTTTTGGACGCTGAGTCGACTGGTTTTGGTCCGAAAAGGCTGCGATGCAGCGTTCCTCCTTTATTCCCAATCGAACATGGTTGAACAAGCGGTCACGTGCTCCTGCGTACACCAGTCAGCTGGTCACCGTGCCTGCAGGGTACAACTTACTAGCCTGTTTGACCTTTTTTGGGTGCAGTCCTGTCACTCGAGTTGAACTCGAGTTGAACCTTGGTGTGAAAGTTGTCACCTGCTGGCGCGGTGACCAGGTGATTTGGGCACCCAGGAGCACGTGACCGCTTGTTCAACCATGTTCGATTGGGAATAAAGGAGGAACGCTGCATCGCAGCCTTTTCGGACCAAAACCAGTCGACTCAGCGTCCAAAAGACTACAACATATGGGCCAATCGCGGTCATCCGTGCTTTTATAAGAACGAAATGGCGCTTTTAGTGACATTTTGCATACAAATCCCCATCTAGTAGGGCGCAGTCACCCAGTTTCGGTGGAAGTGCGCGAGTTCGATTGGGATTCAAGTAGGAAGGGAGCGTCGCAGCTTCCTCGGACCAAGACCATTCGACTCAGCACCCAGAAGACTACAACTGGTGAAAATTTGATTTTAGGGTATACTTCCCCTTTAAATACAACTCGCTGTATTCTGATAAGACAAACTCTTGCTTAGCACGGTCATTGTCCAGGTGTTGATCCATACTGAAGTCTGTTAGAATAAGAAGTACCTCGGATGCTAAAATACACTTTCCTGCTGGCCAAGGGGGGGGGGGGGTACGTCTCATAAGAATTCTACAAAATGTCCCTGGAGGCTCCACAAAGAGTGTGTGTTTACCTAGAGGAAGGGAATGATTGATAACCTAGTATAATATGGGCCGGGAGGCCAGAAAAGGGTTTTGATGTCTCAGCTGTGACTGGAGGGCTGGTAGTAATTACTGGGGACCAGGAACCTCTAGGAGAACTTAGCTGCTAAAGAGTCACAGTTTAAAACCAAGTAGGAGCTTCCCTGACCAGGTTGTCCCGTGTGACTCCAAGCAATTACAGGCCTGAGTAGGGTCAGGTTACCATTGCTCAAGCCAAGCGCGTCACACTCAGCTTCATGCATGGAGGCCAAAACAAATTATAATCATTGTATAGGGTATACAACACACGCACATACACACCACGGTACACATGTGCACCAGGGCTGAATTTATTCGGTATTGCATCGCAGTTTGCTACTCAAAAATCACAGTGACATGCAGAAAACTGCCATACATACATGTACAGGCTATCCATGTTTTTTGTAGCTTACGCCACAATTGAGATTTTGCACAGCAAAATTTGCATATGACAGTAAATTCATCCCTGTGCACATACACACACACATGCACACACGTACACATGCACACACGTACACATGTACACACGCATGCACACACACACACACACACACACACACACACACACACACACACACACACACAGAGGCAGTGCTAGTACATACGGTGTTACTCGTGGATAGCTGATTGGCGTCTTTCTCCACGATCCACTTCACAACGTCCAAGTTACCGTGCTCTGCGGCATAATGAAGAGCCGTCTCCCCCATCTGTTTTGGACATGAAAACAAAAATGTAATGATCAAATGGTCAGACCCTATCAGGGAAGTACGCCACTGTGGAGTGAAGAACACCTTGGTCTGTACCTGCTTTGCGCAGATTCGCACCGGACCACCATGATTGTCATAGCTACGCACAAATACACGTGCTTTCCAACTCTCTTACGGCCGTTGGAAGGCGTAAAAATAAATAGCACAATGGCTTTCCAAACAAAGCTATCTGTGTCTCTCTCAATTACAGCATTGTGATGTTGCTGCATCATGTCCATTTACAAGGTTTGTGCACCAGTTTGTTTGTTTGTTTAGCTTGATTTTACTTCATCATAAGCACAGTGTATGGTCCCTGCCTAGACCATACAATGATCTAATCATGCAGTTTATACACACACGTAACTGGCTCACTCTGAACTGCTCTGAACTCGGAATGTAATTATCTTCAACCAGACTCAGCTGCAGCAAGAGAAGACTGCCTCCGAACATCCCAAAACCAACTTCACACGAGCATGCATCTCTAGTGCGCATGCTCGTGAGAAGTCATAATAATATGACTTGACTGAGGGACACAACAATTCCCCCACCACTAGAAAAAGACGAACATGGAAAACAGTAATAAGAGTGGTTCAAATACGTATGGATGGCTACTATGCGAGTGTCTGATCTGCAACCAATTATGTCATCATTCGCTATAGAATTATAACCGATACCCATGGCTGACATAGTAACTATTCATGTATTTATGACGGCTAATACCTATAATTATTTGAACTATTTACAGAAACAAGATTTGTATACACATTATAATACAGTTCATGACCACTGCAGTAACTGGAAACCACTACTTGGCTTGAGTGCGGTACCGTTCAGGTATGACAACCTGGCGGCCGGACCGGGTCGTACTAGTGTTCTGACCAGGTGTCGATGGTGTTGGCATTCTAGACTCAGACTCACTATCCGTAGGTATTGTCGTGGTTGTTGGTGTAGGGCTGACTGTTGACTGACTTGACGGTTGTTTCTCAGCGGTAGTAGGACTTGAACTTGAAACTGTACCGGTAGAAGAAACACTGGGACCAGTATCAGCGGATGACGATGGAGCCTGATGCGTCGATTTAGGGGGAGCTTCAGCCACATCCTCCCTCACAAACTCAGACAAAGGAACTGAACGTGCTCTCAACTGGTTGCGATGACGCTTCCACAAAGCATCCTGAACTTGAACTTGGTAGTTGACTGGACTGATGACTGACACGATGCGACCTGGGACCCACTTTGAACCATAAGAGCCAAAATTTAGAGTGAACACAGCGTCGCCTGGTTGGAATTCTGGGGTCTTGTTCATGTTGCGTTCGTAAGCGTCAACAGACGGTTTGGCGGTCTGTTTTAGCGTGTCAAAACGGGTACGTGGTTGACGCATCATAAGCATCTCAGCTGGTGACTTGTTGTTTGCTGAAGGGGTTGTACGATGTGACAGGAGGAAGCGTTGTAGCGTAGCGTGTAGGTCACCCTGCGTACCCATGGCTTTCAATTTTGACTTGAAAACCCCAACATAGCGTTCTGCTAACCCGTTGGTTGCCGGATGTCCAGGAGCGGAACAAGTGTGTCGAATGCCATTCTTGTGTAGGAATGATTGAAATTCTTCACTCGTGAATTGTGAGCCGTTGTCCGATACGATGTGATGTGGTAGGCCAAACAAAGCGAAGACACGGCGTAAAGCAGCGATAGTAGTAGCGGACGTTGCACGGTCCATAGGAACAATATCCAGAAATCGAGAATATGAATCAACAATGACAAGAAACATCTTGCCCATGAAAGGACCGGCGTAATCAATATGTAAGCGTTGCCAAGGTCCCGTCGGCCATGACCAGCTACCAAACTCCTTCGCTGGCAGGCGTGCTTCAGCTTGGCATTCCGGACACTGGGCGCAAACCTGCTCCAAATCTCTGTCGATACGAGGCCACCACATGTAGCGACGTGCCAAGCGTTTCATACGAACTACACCTGTGTGTTCATAGTGAAGATCGTTCAGCAAGAACTCACGTAATGATTCTGGAACAATGACACGATCGTTCCAAAGAAGGATATTGTCAGACACAGACAACTCCCAGCGCTTCGCAAAGTACGGCTGTAGAGTTTGATCAATGGTTTCCGGCCACCCATTCAGTACATGGTGCCAAACTGTCTTCAGTATAGGATCCCGTTGCGTTTCGGTAGCAACTGTGTCCGCATTAATGACTTCGCTTTCAATGAATAGTACCTGTTCATCAGCTACCTCGTCGGAGCAGGGAGCGCCAGGACCAGGTTGGCGCGACATGAAATCAGCGAATGGGTTTTGGCGCCCTGGGATGTGCTTGATAGAGTAGTCGTATGCCGCTAGGGCCAACTTCCATTTCTTGAGTCTCGGTGACACCAAGTACGGAACGCCGTCTGTACACCCAAGCAGTTTAACAAGCGGCTGGTGGTCTGTTTCGAAAATGAACTTGCGACCGAGAAGGTACTGGCGGAAAGTAGTAGCTCCGAACACCACGGCAAGCGCCTCTCGCTCGATGTTAGAGTAGTTCTTTTCCGCCTTGGTCAAAACACGCGAGGCATATGCAATGGGACGGAAATGACCAGGTCGCTCTTCTTGCAATAGCACCGCTCCTAGACCTACGCCTGAGGCGTCAACTTGGACCTTGATGTCCTTCGTAGTGGAGTAGAAAGCCAACGTTTCAGTGGCGCAGAGTGCACATCTGATTGCGTCAAACGCGTTGCTCTCACTAGACTCCCACTTCCACACAGCATCTTTTTTGAGTAAGGCGTACAACGGTGCCATGATGGTGGCAAAATTCGGAATGAATGCTCTGACGTAGTTCGCAGAACCGATGAACGATTGCAGTTAACTCACAGTAGTTGGAGGTTTTGCGTCTTTCATGGCTGTAGTGCGCTCGGCTGATGGCGATACACCCTCCGCTGAGAATGTGTGCCCCAAGTAGGAGATGCTGTCAAGCATGACTTCAAACTTCTCGAGTTTTAGTTTCATGCCGACTTCTTGCAGGCGCTGGAGAACTTTCACAAGGGTCGCTCGATGCTCGTCAGGTGTTTTGCCCGTAACCACAATGTCATCGATGTATACAATGCATCCATCGATGCCAGCCAGCACAGTCTCCATGGTGCGCTGAAAAATGGCAACAGCCGAGTGTACACCGAACGGTAAGCGCACATATTCAAACAAACCACGGTGAGTATTGATAGTGGTGTACTTTCGGCATGATTCATCGAGCTCGAGCTGGTGATACGCCTGCTTGAGATCGATTTTGGTGAATTTCGTACCGCCTGACAATTTAGCGCGGATCTCAGCGATTGTAGGTAGCGGATAGCTTTCCAGCGGTGAATGTGCATTTAGAGTGCGCGAGTAATCCGCACAAATGCGAATCGAGCCATCCGGCTTTTTGACCGGAACAGTTGGCGTTGCCCATTGTGAATATTCAACTTTCTCGAGAATGCCATCGCGCTCGAGTTGATCAAGAGCCTCATCGTATTTCTCAGTAATTGCAAATGGGACTTTGCGAGGCTTGAGGAAAACCGGGTGTGCGTCGTCAACACGCAGGTTGACCTTCATTGTGTTTAGTTTGCCCATTGAGGTAGAATCAAACAGATCTGGAAATTGGGCCATAATTTCCTCACGCAGTTGAATTTGTGCCACGGTTTCATCAATTCTAGTTTTGACAGAGAAGATTTCATTCCATGGTAATTGAAACAGTTGTAGCATGTCCCTTCCCAAAAGGGATGGTCCCGAGACATCTACAACTCTGAGCTTAACGGGCGCTGTCGTACCATTCAAGGTGACATTCATTTCAAGCTCGCCCAGGCAGGTAATAGGCTTATCAGAGAAACCCCTCAACAGTACGGTGGATTTAGGTAAGGTAGACAGAACCCCACCCAGCTTCTCGAAATCCCGTTTATTTAGTATGGACACACCACTGCCAGTATCAACTTCCATGCGAATAGGGATGGGTACCTCATTGATTACAACATCCACAGCAAACGGGGGTACGCTGCCTGTAGTATCACGTACAGTATACATTGGAACGCTCTCACCTGCGTCTTCACAGTCAGAGTCGGAGGTAGAAAGATCCTCACCCATGACATGGTGACAGTCACGCTTGTCTCTCTGCAGTTTAGTACGACAAACCTTCTCCAGATGCCCCCGTTTGTGGCAGTACCGGCACTCGGCGTCCTTATGTCGACACTTGTTTGCCAGGTGCATATCCGACCCGCAGCGAAAACAATGCTTTCCGGACGCCATCGGCTGCTTGGTGGATCGACGTTCCTTCGTCATGTGTACGGGAATGTCCGTGGGAGACCCGATCGACGCAGAAGCAGCAGAGGGTGCAGTGAATTGTTTTGAGTAGGAAATGGCCAGTTCCTCCTTGCTAGCCAGGTCGATGACTTTCTCAAACGTGTCAATATCGGACTCCTTGGAGAGTAACAATTTCCGTCGTATCGTCGAGCTTGCCATGCCCGAAATAACTGGTCCGTGAGGGCTCGGTCACGATGGGAGCCAAATTGACAATCGACAGCAGCACGCTTGAGTTTATTAGCAAAATCGACTGTAGTTTCACCCGGAGCTTGGGAGACTTGGCGAAACTGAAAAGCGGCGGTGGTTGGGGTAGTGTTCTTTTTGTAGTATTTCTCCAGTACAGCACAAAGCTCGTCATACTTCTTTGACGCGATCTCGTCAGGTAGGATCAGGGATTTCAAGGTTGAGTAGACCGTCTTAGAGAGCAGGGAAATTAGATGCGCTGTCATTCTCTTCTCCGCTGCTCTCTTTTCACCAGAAGAGGCATTGGACGCCACGACACCAATACTATTGGCACAGAAGAAAAATTCAACGCGTTCGCGATAGTCTTTGAAATCACCCCCGTCGAAAGGCTCGATGGTGGCGGCGTAGGGCAAGTAAGTATTCGTCGCCATTTGTATGGTCCCTGCCTAGACCATACAATGATCTAATCATGCAGTTTATACACACACGTAACTGGCTCACTCTGAACTGCTCTGAACTCGGAATGTAATTATCTTCAACCAGACTCAGCTGCAGCAAGAGAAGACTGCCTCCGAACATCCCAAAACCAACTTCACACGAGCATGCATCTCTAGTGCGCATGCTCGTGAGAAGTCATAATAATATGACTTGACTGAGGGACACAACACACAGGCAAAATCTGCCTTCTCACTGGGCGTACTGCCACAGTTCTTGCAAAATGATGAAGACCTCATTGCAATCTATTCGCCAGTCACCCTGGGCTCGGCTGATGAGACAACTACTAAATCCGACAACAACTTACATCAGACACCCAGGAGAGTTGTACGGCGTTCAGCTGCCACAAGTACTCGATGGCTGCGACGTGCCCTCCCTGTGCAGCAGCATGCATTGGGCCACAGCCATCCTGCAAATCACACGCATGGAAATGGTGGAAAGTGAAACCAGCGCACGTCACAAGGAAGCCAGTTGCAAGTCCGACGAGGCCATTCTTATCATTGCTTCCTTAGAAAATGTCCACAGTGACGCACAGTGACGCACATACAGTGACAGAAAATTTGTAGACGGTAGAGATAAGGTGCAATACAGCAACGCCAATTCATAGAATTGTGTTGGTGGTAAAGTGCACATCCCGCTTACTAGCATCACGGCCTTCTCCCATGGACGGGTCGGCAAGACACGTGCAAACAATAGCACAAACTCATGCACACCCAAGGGAATTACTTACAAGGCGCCGTATCGACGTCACACCGGGATAGTTCTCGCCAATCCAGCGTAATATCTCCAGCCGGTCGTAGCGAGCGGCACAGTAAAATGCTGTTTCACCAGCCTAGCACACAGTGACAAACACACACACACACACACACACACGCACCCGCACACACACACACACACACCTGTCCTGTCCTGTAGAGCCACTACCACTAGGGTCACGTGGGCCCCGGAGGGGCAGCAGAGAGAGAGAAGGAGCACACCACCCGATGGCGCTCCAGATGCGAGACTAGTCGGAACCGGTGAGAGCAGATACACATATGCGGGAACTTGTCCCGTTCTCTGGCCGTTGGACGGTGGCAGTGCGTTGAACAGCGATGGCGGTTGCGTTCCTGGGTTGAGCGGAAACAACGATTGCAGGTGCCACAGTGAGCATTGCAGCAACTCCGAGCGGTAGAGTCAACGGTGACAACAGCAGCTGGTTCGGTCGGTACTGGGCACGAGGTAGAAGCGGAGCAACGACGCACAGCCAAGCCTCCGCGGCTTCGGAACCAACGATGACACCGAGGGCACTGACATGCGCCTCTCTGCTCCGAAACCAGCTTCTGCCGTTCAGCCGTGCACTTGTGCCTAGCGAGGTCGCCCTGGCGTGCGAAGTGCCGGGCGCATGTGAAACAAGTCACCGGTGCCGGTACGAGGGGATCCGGGGCGTCCGAGGTGTAAGCCAACCCCCAGTCTGGACGAGAGTCACAGGCCACTCTGTACCAGTCCGCTTCAAGGTCTCGTGAGCGAAGGTCCTTTACAGTGCAGTCTTTCCACCGCCGACGTGGGCCATGTGCCGGGCGACGAGATGGCAGGGTGCCGAACAGCAACTGTTTGGGCAATCGCACGTCGTCCATGCGGGCGACATGGCCTAGCCACTCGAGGCGCCGATGCTGAACCTTGGTGACGATGGTTTCAGAGTCACCCCACCACTCAAGCAGTTGGTTGTTTGATATGTGGTCATCCCAGCAACGATGGCATGTGATACCCAATATCGACCACACGCATCGCATGTGGAAAACAAACATGCGACGAAGGTCCTGCTTCAGCGGCGCCCAGCACTCGGACCCATACAGGAGCAGAGACAGGACACAAGCATTAAAAACACAGCGTTTAATATGAAGATCTAAGTTCTTGTTCCTGAAAACAGATTGCTGCAGAGCACCACAAGCCCGGGACACACTTGCCACCCGAGCGCTGATATCCTGCGAAGATCGGCCGCGCCACAGAGGATGATACACCCCAGGTACTTGAACACCGGCACACACTCAATGTCCACACCGGCAAGCTGTATGGGCGCCTGGTCCGCAGCCGTGACGCCAGCTCCCGCAACCAAGAACTTGGTTTGGGTCGCGCTCACGGTGAGGCCGAACTCCGAAGCGGTCGAGTTGAACAGGTCCAAGGCAATCTCAGCACCAGCACGCGACGTTGCAAACAGGGAGGAATCGTCCGCGAACTGTGCCTCTAGGGCAGTGGCAGCGGTGTCAGCCCGGCGTGCCTTGCGATATAGTTGACCCTCACCATAATGGTAGCTGAACTCGAAACCAACGCCAGGAATACCTCTGACCCTCTGTTGCCACTTGGTGACTACTGCCCACATGAAGATGTTGAAGAGGACAGGAGCCATAGTGCAGCCTTGCCGCAAGCCGTTGGTGACGCTAAACGGATCCACGTCTGTGCCACTCACGCGCAATACTGCAGACATCTCATGGTGGAAAGATCGGATGACTGCAAGCATGGGGGGAGGGACACCAGCACGGGAGAGCACCTGCCAGAGGCACTCACGGGGCACGGAGTCGTAGGCCTTCTTCAGGTCAATGAAGACGAAGAAACCCTTGGCTGTATGCTCGATGGTCTTCTCGAGCAGCTGACGTACGCTGAACATCATGTCCGTGCAGCATCTGCCTCGCCGAAAGCCGCATTGTGATTCCGGGAGGAAGCTGCTGGCCAGGCCCTGGAGTCTCGTCTGAATGAGACTCGCCAGGACCTTGCCGACAACATCGAGCAGCGCGATGCCACGCCAGTTGTCGCATCGGGTCAGGTCCCCTTTCTTCGGGATTGGCACAAGGGTAGCGTCTACCCACTCCTGCGGCACTTGGCCGTGCCGCCACACATCTCCGAATAGCTCCACAAGCTTGTTGTTCAGCGACTCACCCCCTCCCTTTACCATTCTTCAAGTGAGCAACGGCGCGGCACACTTCGCGCAGCGTTGGAGGTTCAGCAAGGTCTTCGGCAAGCGGTAGTTGAGGGATACCATTCAGCGCATTCGGTGTCCAAGTGCTCATGACGTTGAGCACTCCAGAGAAGTGCCTTCCCCGGCGCTGTCCCTGCTCACGCGGTGACGTGCATATATGTCCGTTCTCGTCAACGATCGCTGCTGTCCGTACTGGTTGGAGGCCACGCCCAGCAGACTGGAGGTCATGGATACATTTCCACACGACAGCGCCATTGAAATGGGCGTCGGTGGCCGCCTGAGCTTTAGATTTGATCCAGTCTACTCTGGCCGTTTCGATTGCTGCACGTGTGTTCGATCAGGCTGCCTTAAACTCCTGATGAAACGGAGTGTCTCGCTGCTGGCCACGGCGAAGCCAATCCTCGTAGGCCGCATTCCGCGTGTCCAGTAGGTGTTGGATGTTTGGCAGGGCTTCATGGAACCAGTCCGGCTGACGCCGTTTGGAAAATCCAAGGGCTGTGGATGCAGCAGTGTCAAGGGTGGACTTGATAGAGGACCATTTCTCACTAATGTTGGCACACACACACACACACACACACACACACACACACACACACACACACACACACACACACACACACACACACACACACACACACACACACACACACACACACACACACACACACACACACACACACACACACACACACACACACACACACACACACACACACACACACACACACACACACACACACACACACACACACACACACACACACACACACACACACACACACACACACACACACACACACACACACACACACACACACACACACACACACACACACACACACACACACACACACACACACACACACACACACACACACACACACACACACACACACACACACACACACACACACACACACACACACACACACACACACACACACACACACACACACACACACACACACACACACACACACACACACACACACACACACACACACACACACACACACACACACACACACACACACACACACACACACACACACACACACACACACACACACACACACACACACACACACACACACACACACACACACACACACACACACACACACACACACACACACACACACACACACACACACACACACACACACACACACACACACACACACACACACACACACACACACACACACACACACACACACACACACACACACACACACACACACACACACACACACACACACACACACACACACACACACACACACACACACACACACACACACACACACACACACACACACACACACACACACACACACACACACACACACACACACACACACACACACACACACACACACACACACACACACACACACACACACACACACACACACACACACACACACACACACACACACACACACACACACACACACACACACACACACACACACACACACACACACACACACACACACACACACACACACACACACACACACACACACACACACACACACACACACACACACACACACACACACACACACACACACACACACACACACACACACACACACACACACACACACACACACACACACACACACACACACACACACACACACACACACACACACACACACACACACACACACACACACACACACACACACACACACACACACACACACACACACACACACACACACACACACACACACACACACACACACACACACACACACACACACACACACACACACACACACACACACACACACACACACACACACACACACACACACACACACACACACACACACACACACACACACACACACACACACACACACACACACACACACACACACACACACACACACACACACACACACACACACACACACACACACACACACACACACACACACACACACACACACACACACACACACACACACACACACACACACACACACACACACACACACACACACACACACACACACACACACACACACACACACACACACACACACACACACACACACACACACACACACACACACACACACACACACACACACACACACACACACACACACACACACACACACACACACACACACACACACACACACACACACACACACACACACACACACACACACACACACACACACACACACACACACACACACACACACACACACACACACACACACACACACACACACACACACACACACACACACACACACACACACACACACACACACACACACACACACACACACACACACACACACACACACACACACACACACACACACACACACACACACACACACACACACACACACACACACACACACACACACACACACACACACACACACACACACACACACACACACACACACACACACACACACACACACACACACACACACACACACACACACACACACACACACACACACACACACACACACACACACACACACACACACACACACACACACACACACACACACACACACACACACACACACACACACACACACACACACACACACACACACACACACACACACACACACACACACACACACACACACACACACACACACACACACACACACACACACACACACACACACACACACACACACACACACACACACACACACACACACACACACACACACACACACACACACACACACACACACACACACACACACACACATACACACACACATTAACTACAACACACAGCAGCTTGCGGTTAGGAGGGTGCTGGCCAGCGAAGTGAGAGGCTACAGAGAGAGCAGGATCCTGGCGGGGCCAAGATGATAGTCACGTCCAAGGGACGAAGACCGAGAGCCCTGAGTAGCCGGAAATGAGCATGGCCAACACCCCTTTATTTACTTTATCAAAGTAAATGAGAGATGAGAAATGGGAGGTGGGTGGGTGAAACACAATGATCTGACAAGAGTGATCCGCTCACAGAACGAATCGAAATATAATACACACTACGAGCAAGGAAGAATGATTGTCGCAGAGAACGGATCGAAAATATATAGCAGAGCAAACTCTAGCAAGACATGCAACGATGCATGCCACCCACGTTAAGCTACGAGCAAGCGTCATCATAACGCAGCCACACGCCTTCCACATCGGAGGCGAGCGACACGCATGAACGCCAAACTTTAGTATGCCACACGCCCTCCACATCGGAGGCGAGCGACACGCATGAACGCCAAACTTTAGTATGACACGTTGAGTGCCTACGACGCATGCCGCCTACGTTGAGCGTCGCGCATGAATGAATGTCGCGTTGAGTGTCACGTTGTATGACACATAGAATGCCACGATGCATAGAGTACCATGTGAGCACGTACAGCGCACGTTCATAGCAGCATAGTTTGAGTGGTAGCACGAAGCAGCCGCGTGCACCCATTAATCTGCATTATTACTATAATGCTACACACACACACACACACACACACACACACACACACACACACACACACACACACACACACACACACACACACACACACACACACACACACACACACACACACACACACACACACACACACACACACACACACACACACACACACACACACACACACACACACACACACACACACACACACACACACACACACACACACACACACACACACACACACACACACACACACACACACACACACACACACACACACACACACACACACACACACACACACACACACACACACACACACACACACACACACACACACACACACACACACACACACACACACACACACACACACACACACACACACACACACACACACACACACACACACACACACACACACACACACACACACACACACACACACACACACACACACACACACACACACACACACACACACACACACACACACACACACACACACACACACACACACACACACACACACACACACACACACACACACACACACACACACACACACACACACACACACACACACACACACACACACACACACACACACACACACACACACACACACACACACACACACACACACACACACACACACACACACACACACACACACACACACACACACACACACACACACACACACACACACACACACACACACACACACACACACACACACACACACACACACACACACACACACACACACACACACACACACACACACACACACACACACACACACACACACACACACACATACACACGTGAGGTCAACTTTGGCCTTTTTGTGCCTACTAGATTTTACTTTTTGTAGTCTTTCCCTTCCTGAAGATGCACCTTGATTGTTTTAGGTATGACTTTGTATACAGCATAGTCGATGTGTGCTTTCCCAGAGACCGTTTGCATGGTTTGAAGAGTGCAATGAGGGTGTACGCTTGGTCTTTCCCTCGGACAATCATACTTATACCACACTGGCAGTTCTAAAGCACACCTGATCATTTTATATCGTATACAGGGGCTCTTGGAGAGGAAGACTTCGAAGAAAAGCAATGCTGAACTGACAGCAAAACATCAAAACCATAAAACTCTTCTTGTTCCCAATTTACTCTAATTTCAGAAATTTTCGGTGCTCAATATTTTCGGTATGAGGGCAACAGGCCAGGTTAGGTGAACAGAAATTTTCGGTACAGAGAAGCAGTTCCCTTTTGGATTATGTGTGTTAGTGTTTGTTCGGTGTATTGAAATTTTAGGTATGAAACAGACGCACCGAAAGTACCGAAAATAAAAGTACACCGAAAAATTGTGAAATTACAGTATTCCATTTCGCACTAGTGGCTATAGGTTCTTTTATTAAAATAATCCTGCAATTTTCTCCCCACTTGAGCACGTACAGAGGCCCTGGAAGATAACTCCTCGCCGTTGTAGAACGAGTCCAGGAAGGACTTGACTGTTTCGAGATGGCCAGCAGCTGCGGCAGCCTGGATAGGACCAATACCGCCCTGCAGTGAACAAAAGAAAGAAAAAAAGAAGCAGGTAGCGCATACAAGTCAAATCTGATCGTATGGGTCAGGAGCTGTTAAATGTAGCCCATAGTTAAGTCTGATCGTATGGGTCAGGAGCTGCTATAGACCTACTGCTTCAATGAGCTCGACATCGTGAGGGCAATGACCCACAGTGTGCTGACAGCAAAATAATTATCAAAGAGAGAGAGAGAGAGAGGGAGAGAGAGAGAGGGAGAGAGAGAGAGAGAGAGAGAGAGAGAGAGAGAGAGAGAGAGAGAGAGAGAGAGAGAGAGAGACTCGGAGAGAGAGAGAGACCCGGAGAGAGAGAGAGAGAGAGAGAGAGAGAGAGAGAGAGAGAGAGAGAGAGAGAGACTCGGAGAGAGAGACTCGGAGAGAGAGAGAGAGAGAGAGAGAGAGAGAGAGAGACTCGTTATGGATTCGTTCTCGACTTGCCGTCGGTGTGACTTACGTTAGCGTGGATGGTGGCATGTTTGGTGTCTTTCTCCAGGAGCTGGGTCACCACAGCTGCCCTGCCCTCCTCTGCTGCATAATATAGTGGCGTTTTACCAGCCTGAAACATAGAAGAGCAAACGGAGGAAGCGGGGAAGGCACAGGAAAATCATAACATCATGTTGTGCTAAGTAGGAGCTGCAGAGAACTATGGAAACACTGCCGGATCAAGAGACAGGGGCATAGCTTGCACGTCTTTGGTGTGGTAATCAATCAGGTATCAGATCGACATGTCCATGGTGTGGTGACCATGTACCACCGGCAACCTCATAGCCGCCATATTGCTTTGTACCACCGGCAACCTCATAGCCGCTATATTGCTTGGTTTGCCTATGTAGTACCAATGACGGCCATTTGCTGGTGTTGTGATCGGACTACGCTAACTACACACAACTTAGCGGCTAAGCTTCCGGAGAGGGTTTATAGCTCCTTGCTCCCTGCGCCGATGCAAGTACAGTAAAATCTGTCAAGGTGACCACTCTGATAAGGCGACCACCTGTCCAAGAAGACCACTGAAACCAGGACCAAGGGATGCTATTTCCAGGCAATTAACCCTGGATAAGGCGAGCACCTGGTAACAGAGACCACGTTGAAGGTCCCTTGAGCGGTCGTCTTAAACAGGTTTCACTGTACATACACAATGGCAAAAGTTTTATTTACAGTGCCCTCTCCCTTTCATCTAAACGTGTGCAGCACATTTCCGATCAGGACTGGAATGTTACCTGTCTTGTTTCACCTTTTTTTTGGCCGTCAAGATAATATTGGCTAGGCTGGAAGCACTGCTCCTTTCCTAGTGTGCGAGTGAGTGGGTGAGTGATGGAGTGTGTGTGTGTAAAAAAATATAAAAAATGGAAAAATGGAAAAATAGGGATTCACTGGCCAGAAAAAGTCACTTCAATCAGCTGTGTGGTGGATACCAGGCTAAAAATAGTGGCGGTCAATTCATCAGCCTTGCAAGCTGTTGAATGGTGTAATCCTAGCACAAGTTGCTATGTCTAACATAGCTGTTCGCTATCATCGCTTCCGCGATGAACAGGTCTGAGGTCTGAGGTGTGTGTGTGTGTGTGTGTGTGTGTGTGTGTATGTGTGTGTGTGTGTGTGTGTGTCCTTCATTTATCTGGGGTCCGTCGTGACACCGGATGCCCGCTCCTCTACTGACGTCAGTCGCCGCATAGCTGAGGCTTCCAAAGCCTTTGGAGCTCTTCTTCCAGTCTTGTCGGATCGCTCGCTGTCATTAGTCAGTAAGCGAAAGCTATACGTGGCCTGTGTCTTGTCCATTTTGCTGTACGGCAGTGAGTGTTGGACGCCCTTGAAAGCTGATAGTAGACGTTTGGATGCCTTCCATCATCGCTGCATCCGCACAATATTAGCCATCCCTCGCAGTCAGCAGCAATCCGATCGCATCACGTCTGCGCAGTTACGTCGTCACTGGGGTGACCCAGTGCCACTCTCTGTTAAGATGCGCCATCGTCGTTTAGAGTGGCTTGGTCACGTGGCTCGGATGTCGGAGGACCGTGTCCCATTGCAGCTGTTGTTTGGTCGTTTGTTGGCTGTGCGCCCCTTCTGCGGTCCCAGGCGCAGGTGGAGAGACGTTGTGGCTACTGACACGAAGTCCATTCCAAAATGGTTTGATTGCGCACAAGACCGGTCAGCTTGGCGAGAGCAGGTTCTGGTTTTTCAGCCTCCTCGGGCAGTAGAGAAATCCGTACTCTGCTCATCTTGCAACCGGGCTTTCTCTCGTCCTCAAGACAAGGCACGGCACAAGTGTTTGGCTGAGCGCCAACTTCCCGTCCACCAACAGCGTGGTTCAGCACAGTGCGTCAGTTGCTGCCGATGGTTCCGTAGTAAGGGTGGGCTTGCAGTTCATCGCTGCCAGCCTGCACTCCCTGATCATGCAGATACGGCATTGACGGCGTCTCTCGCTAGTTGCTGCCTTCAGCATTGTCAACGCTGCAATCGCTGCTTCAAGTCCCGGGCTGGTTTTAACCGCCATAACTGCAACCGTGGAAAACGTCTTGCTGCAGCCGATAGGGAATCACTGCCGCTGATCTGCATGCATTGCCCGAAGCGTTTCCGACGACAGCAAGATTTAACGAGGCACCAGAAGTCCTGCCAATGACGGTGCCCTCCAAACTCTGGCCCCCTCCGGGGGTGACATTGCCCAATGGGCAGTCATGCTATAGTAGTAGTAGTAGTAGTAGTGTGTGTGTGTGTGTGTGTGTGTGTGTGTGTGTGTGTGTGTGTGTGTGTGTGTGTGTGTGTGTGTGTGTGTGTGTGTGTGTGTGTGTGTGTGTGTGTGTGTGTGTGTGTGTGTGTGTGTGTGTGTGTGTGTGTGTGTGTCCCTGCTGTTGTGTGGCTCTGAGTGCTGGACGCCCCTTCAACATGACCTGCAGAAGCTCTCAACCTTCAGCACGAGGTGCATCCGATCCATCCTCGGGGTCTCTTGAAGCCGGATGTGGGACGAACACATCACCAACGAAGAGCTGCTGGTGCGCTGGGGAGACTCCGAGACGATTAAAGACAAGATTGCACATCGGCGGTTGGAGTAGTTGGGGCATGTGGCGCGGATGCCGGACAACCGCATCCCGAAACAGGTGCTGTTTGGCTCCTTCTTGCAGCGTCGCCCGGCACATGGCCCATGCCGCATGTGGAAGGACTGTGCTGTCCGGGATCTACGTGCCCGTGGTGTGGAGGCATCATGGTATGATGTTGCATGTGAGTCTCGTGCGGAGTGGCGCAGCACCTACCAAGAGCCTGACAATGCACCTGAGCCTCCGCCCCGAGTGGTATGTACGGTATGCGGACGGGATTTTGCACGGAAAGGAGACATGGCTCGGCATAAGTGTCTGGAGGAGCGTGCGCGGCCTGTGTCTGAGCAGCGGGGCGCCAGTCAGTGCGGGCGGTGTGGACGGTGGCTGAGAAGCCGCGGTGGCTTGGTCCGGCATGTGTGTGCCTCGACGGTGGATGCCACAGTGCCACCTGGAGCTACCGGAACGTCGGCACCGGCGGAGGGATGTTGTGCCGCGCATTGTGACAGGTGTGGTCGCTGCTTTCGCGGTGTCCGGGGACGGGGCAGGCATCGCTGTTCAAGGGTGGCCCATAGACCAACCTGAGCAGAGGAGCGCTCAACCTTCCAGCACGTGTGCATATGCGGCAAGCGGATGCGACTACCCGTGCACCTGGAGTGTCATCGGGCGTCGTGCCCTCTCTCTCTCTCTCTTCTCAAGTTTCCCAGTGATGGGATCACGTGACTCTTTTGCGGCAGTGACTTAACAGGACAGGACAGGATGTGTGTGTGTATGCGCGCACGTGTTAACCTCATTAGGAGATAAAACACACCACAAATTAACACTATCCGCATGCAGTCTCCACCAGCAAGCGCGCACAATCCAGTATCCAGCATCCCATCATAAATATTCCACCTACACTAGATTTCCACGTGAGCGGTTCATCGCTCTGCTCCAGTAGATATTGGACTGTTGGCAAATGTCCGCCGGCACACGCTGCGTGAATCGCCACCATGTTCACCTGCAGCAAGAGCGAGCGAAACATGCAAAGCAGAAGCGTGTGACTTGTGACCCCATTTCATTGCAAACAATTATATCAAAATCATGCTCGGCATCAGTTTATAAATGTCGCAATAATCTCACCTGACCATTTCTTCCAAACCTCTTGTGAAGCAGCTTCCCAAAAAACAGGCCCACAGAATCCAAGAAGGCTTCAGATAATTGAACTTGGACCAAACCAGTGCAGTACTGTAAGACCAGTAATGTTAATGGTGTACTAGCTGTGCTAGTACTTGTTAGCAACAATCCGAACTAGCGCACACACTGCACTGCATTGCTTTGTACTGCATTCAAGACTGACGTCATGCGCTTTGTTTTGCTGCGTAATCACAAATGGCACCAGCCCATTTTGCGGAAAAGAAAAACAAATCTTGCTTGCCCTGTTGTGCTCTTCCAGACAACGGATCGTGCTTCAGCAGTGTTTCTTTTCCTTTCGTAGCTTTGCTGCCAGCCCGAGTGTCACCTCGACACTGTATTTCTTCAGTATGTCTGACCTAACTGTCGACACTGTCAAGGCAATGCCTTGCCAAGCCCCCGCGGCGAGCCTTCTCAGCGCGGCTTGAATCCGAAAGGAAACTTAGTAAAAGTATTTTACAGGACCGTTTGCTGGCACAACTAGCCCTTGGTAGTGAGGTCTGCTCCGGCCAGGAGAACCAGCAACATGACAGCGCGGACACGGCTCGCGAGCCCAGAAGGCCGACTTGCACCAATGCCTCCTCCGCCAGCTCAGGTGACGCGGGCTCAACGGATCTCTGCGCTCCCGTAGATCTACGTGACGAGGTGTAGTCGGCTTTGTCGCCCGCCATTTTATTATTATCGGAGAGCATTGTGCCGCTACTCACCCAAGGCCAAGGCAATGCGGCTGCTGCCGCCACTACGCCAGGCCAAGCCCTTGTAACCCACCCGATCAGCCACCTGCACCAGCTGTGCCCAAGGCTGTGCAAGAACGTATCTTGAGAGGGGAGTTCGTAGATTTTTCAAGTTGGTTGCCTGAAATTCTTGCACACTTCCGGCCCAACATTCCGGCTGGTGCACAGCCCGAATAACGATAGCCAGCTAAATATCGTTGAGTCGGATGACCGTACGCGAAGCAGGTGCGTCGCAAGGTTCACGATAATTATACATGTAACTACCCGGCTCGAGGCATGGACCACATACATGTCTGTTATCACGGTTGCTGCCCTACACCGCACTGCTGAACTGCTGAGCTGATTGCGTACCAGCAGTTGATCCTGACTGCTAACCGCCAGTTCTTCCCAAGCGCGTGGCTAGAGTACGACCGCCAGCTGCGGCTGCTCGTGGCCCAGTAACCAGGCACGAAGAGGTTGGACACCATCGACGTGAACCTATGGCAGATAGCTGTCACAGGCCATGCACACCCAAAATGCGCTCAATGTAAGACGGCCCATCCAGGGGCAGTTTGTGTCCTTTTCGTCCCCAAGCCAGCAGCATTTACCTCCAGTGGTCGCAACCATACCAGCGACAGCCAAGAAATCTGCCGCAACTTCAATGGAGGTCGCTGTTCTTCGTCGTCGTGCCGCTTCTCCCGCACCTGCAGCCAGTGTGGCAAGGACCACCCATGCATCATGTGCAACCAGCAGCAGCGCGGAGCCAATCGGCCACCCCGCCGCTCCTAGCAGAATGGCTACTGAATAGCTTGACTCGGTACGTATCTTTCCTATACACTCTGCAGACACCACACTGCTAGCTGACCACTTTGCCCGCCTGTTACGTAACCACTCATATCAATAAGGCGTTGCGTATGTTCTCCATGGGCTGCGCCGTGGCTTTACTCTTGGATCTGCCGGCCAACACGACATTTCGGTTTTCTCTAATAATCTACCCTTGGCTTTCACTCACTCGGCATTTATATCCGAGCAATTAGCTGCTTCCTGCGCCCGCAGCGAGACCACAGGCCCATTTTCCGTCACCTCCATTTCAGTTCATGCGCCACTCTGGTATTGGTGCCATCCCCGAAAAGAACGGCAAGCTGCGAATGATCCACCATCTGTCTAGTCCGGAAGGCACCGGCGCGAACGACAGCATTCCTGCCGAGCCGCTCTCTCTGCACTACGCGAGCATTGACAACGCGATCAACATCATCATGTCATGCCCACAGCCTGTGTATTTGTCCAAGCTCGATGTACGCAGTGCATTTCGGCAGATCCCAGTCCGCCGTCAGGACTTCGCTGGGAAGGCTCCTACTACTACGAGCGCTTTCTGCCTTTCGGCCTCCGCTCCAGCCCAGCCGTCTTTGACTCAGTAGCCACAGCAGTCAACTGGATCATGCAGCACGAGTTTGCTATAGATTACCGGCTTCATTACCTCGATGACTTTCTCGATATCTCCACTGGTTTGGCTGCAGCCAACCAGCAACTCACCACCCCCCTCCGGGCATTCACGTATCTCGGCACTCCTCTTTGCTCCATCCCAGCTCGAGGGCCATCACCATCATTGACCTTCCTTGGTATTTTCCTAGACTGCGGCTACCAGAGGACAAGCTGTCCGAGATCCGTGCGCCACTCATGGCTACTATCAGCGAGCGCAGCATCGGCCAGCGTCAACTCGAGTCCCTCCTGGGGAAGCTCACTTTTGCTGCCCGAGTCATCGTTCCTGGACACACATTCATGCGTGAACTATGATCAGCGTGCCCTGAACTGTATCTGTGTATGCGAGTGCGGTGCATAAAGCCCACCTTGAGAATGGGTTTGCCGGCCCCTTAGTAGATGCGTGGCTTCTGGAGAGGGTGTTGAAGGGCATCCAGCGATGCCATGGTACGGCTGTACTCACCCCTCGCCTTCCTATAACTATGCCAATCCAACGACACCTGACAGATGAACGCCGGAAAAGTAGTATCCTGAATGGCCATGACAAGCTGCTCTACCAAGCCGCCATGCTGCTTCTTTGGATTTCTTCGGTGTGCTGAATTCACTAATGGCATCACACGGGGCTGTACTAGCTCCCCTGGTGACGGAAGCCTGCAACTCTTCCTGCTTTCATCCAAGACGGACCTATTCGGTAAAGGCGTTACTAGTGACATTGGCCCGTCTGTACCGCCGTACTGCCCGGTCCGTGCCATTGTTAGCTACCCATTTGCCACTCGTCGCGAGGGACCAGAGCAACTCTTGTTCGTACTCTCGAACAGACAGCAGCTGACCAGGCAGTCACTCACAGTAACAGTATGGTCTCTTGTCGCTGCGGCCGGTGTACCATCCCAGTCGAACTACTCCGGGCATTCGGTCCACATTGGTGCAGCCACCACCGCTGCTATGGCTAGTGCCCCGACTCCTTCTTCCGAGTGGCAGGTCAGTGGAAAGAGCGATGCGTGTCTATGCTACATCCGGACTACAACAAGCGCTAAACGCCAGCTATCGTCCCGGCTTGCTGCCGTGCCATGGATGCCATGATCCCCAACTCGGGTGAGTAATGAGCTACTGAACTCTAGCTGCGCAATGCTTGCCTGTGCTGACATAAATTGACCCTTGCTGTGCGTCAATAGTGCTTAGCTAACGGAGTGCTGGTTTCATGGGTCCACTCTCACAACTGGTGTTATCTAGCTATTTGCTGCGGCTCTGCCTTGCGCTATATTACATCCATTTAGCATTGCAGCTCTACGTTGAGCTAACAGCAGCTCTACTTTGAGCTAACAGCGGCTCTACTTTGAGCTAACAGCAGCTCTACTTTGAGCTAACCGCAGCTCTACTTTGAGCTAACAGCAGCTCTACTTTGAGCTAACAGCAGCTCTACTTTGAGCTAACCGCAGCTCTACTTTGAGCTAACAGCAGCTCTACTTTGAGCTAACAGCAGCTCTACCTTGAGCTAACAGCAGCTCTACTTTGAGCTAACAGCAGCTCTACTTTGAGCTAACCGCAGCTCTACTTTGAGCTAACCGCAGCTCTACTTTGAGCTAACAGCAGCTCTACTTTGAGCTAACAGCAGCTCTGCTCTGAGCTAACAGCAGCTCTGCTCTGAGCTAACAGCAGCTCTGCTCTGAGCTAACAGCAGCTCTGCTCTGAGCTAACAGCAGCTCTGCTCTGAGCTAACACCAGCTCTACTTTGAGCTTCAAACCAGTTGTTTCGAAACCAGCACTCCTCAATCCAAAGATGCCTCTTTGTTGACTTGTTTGTGTGAGGGATGGGGCTAATGGTGTACTAGCTGTGCTAGTACTTGTTAGCAACAATCCGAACTAGCGCACACACTGCACTGCATTGCTTTGTACTGCATTCAAGACTGACGTCATGCGCTTTGTTTTGCTGCGTAATCACAAATGGCACCAGCCCATTTTGCGGAAAAGAAAAACAAATCTTGCTTGCCCTGTTGTGCTCTTCCAGACAACGGATCGTGCTTCAGCAGTGTTTCTTTTCCCACCATCCCTCCCTAACCAACTTATTCACACCATCATAATTATCGTACCCACTAATCGGGTCCACTCTCACAACTGGTGTTATCTAGCTATTTGCTGCGGCTCTGCCTTGCGCTATATTACATCCATTTAGCATTGCAGCTCTACGTTGAGCTAACAGCAGCTCTACTTTGAGCTAACAGCGGCTCTACTTTGAGCTAACAGCAGCTCTACTTTGAGCTAACCGCAGCTCTACTTTGAGCTAACAGCAGCTCTACTTTGAGCTAACAGCAGCTCTACTTTGAGCTAACCGCAGCTCTACTTTGAGCTAACAGCAGCTCTACTTTGAGCTAACAGCAGCTCTACCTTGAGCTAACAGCAGCTCTACTTTGAGCTAACAGCAGCTCTACTTTGAGCTAACCGCAGCTCTACTTTGAGCTAACCGCAGCTCTACTTTGAGCTAACAGCAGCTCTACTTTGAGCTAACAGCAGCTCTGCTCTGAGCTAACAGCAGCTCTGCTCTGAGCTAACAGCAGCTCTGCTCTGAGCTAACAGCAGCTCTGCTCTGAGCTAACAGCAGCTCTGCTCTGAGCTAACACCAGCTCTACTTTGAGCTTCAAACCAGTTGTTTCGAAACCAGCACTCCTCAATCCAAAGATGCCTCTTTGTTGACTTGTTTGTGTGAGGGATGGGGCTAACGAACATCTAATTGCGAGGGTCCCTGGTTCGAGTCCTGGTGGTGACAGTCAATTTTTTCTTCAGACTTTTCCCGTTTGTCTCTTTCCCTCAAACTAGTGAACATCTAATTCTAACGATTTAAAGGGGAAGTTAAGGCAAAAATTAAAATTTCACCAGTTGTAGTCTTCGGGGTGCTGAGTCGAATGGTCGTGGTCCGAGGAAGCTGAGACGCTCCCTTCCTACTTGAATCCCAATCGAACTCGCGCACTTCCACCGAAACTGGGTGACTGCGCCCTACGAGATGGGGATTTGTATGCAAAATGTCACTAAAAGCGCCATTTCGTTCTTATAAAAGCACGGATGACCGCGATTGGCCCATATGTTGTAGTCTTTTGGACGCTGAGTCGACTGGTTTTGGTCCGAAAAGGCTGCGATGCAGCGTTCCGCCTTTATTCCCAATCGAACATGGTTGAAGAAGCGGTCACGTGCTCCTGCGTACGCCAGTCACCTGGTCACCGTGCCTGCAGGGTACAACTTACTAGCCTGTTTGACCTTTTTTGGGTGCAGTCCTGTCACTCGAGTTGAACTCGAGTTGAACCTTGGTGTGAAAGTTGTCACCTGCTGGCGTGGTGACCAGGTGATTTGGGCACCCAGGAGCACGTGACCACTTGTTCAACCATGTTCGATTGGGAATAAAGGAGGAACGCTGCATGATCCAGACCCTGTGATTTGAGGCGAGCGATCGCTCTCGCGCGCCATCGCGCGCCTTATTTTCTTGGAAGGTGCACTTTTTGTCGCGCGCCTGAAACTATTTTTGGCTGCATGTACGCTTTTCGGAGTGCAGCGCAACTACTACTGTACTATGACTAGTACGAGTGTATGGTGTCAAGTGCACTCATCGATCCGTGCGCAGGCCGGAACTGTGCCCGCTCGCGCTGTTATGAAACAGACTAGACAGTGAGTTAGTCATGACTGTGTAGTGACATGCACAGTAGTCAGTACTGAGTAGGCAAGTAAGTTCACTGCACGTAGGTCTACACTGTGAGTGTGACACAGGCACTGCACTGGCATGGCGCCCAGCTAGCCTGGCATGACCTCGGGGCATTTCACACGTCTGGATGAATGATTGCGGCTTGAACTAGTCAGAGCTGTGCCGCGTAGATCTACCACCACTCATGAAACACTCCAGTTCAACGGGTTTTACGGACCCCTGCATGCAGCGCAGGGGTCCGTACAACCCTCTACAGTCCATTCATAAAAAGATGGGCTCTGGCTCTGGCGAGCTCCCGTATTTGGCGGTTTTTCGTGATTTCATCGTACACAGTGCATGCTGCGAACTTTGAAATTTGAAAAAGGGTCCAAAAAGGGTGCCTGAACTGGGGTTCGAACCGCAGAATGCACTGTTGCCAGGCGGGGTCAAACGGCCAGGATTTTGATGGTTTTCCCAATTCTGTGCTTTTGGGGCAAAACCTGGCCGAAATCCTATTCTTGCTATGGCTTGCTTTTTGGACAAAAAAACTTCAGAAACATAATTGGAAGAGGATTCCATAGGGGATTGCCAAAAAAAATTCTAAAAAAACTCAAAGTTTGACCCATTTATGGCCAAAAGCTAGAAGTTCATTTTTTTCTGAATGGACTGTAAACTAGCGCCTGGCGGGTCCGAGTAGCAAGATAGACCGCAGTCTGACATAGACTAGTAGTTCTGGAAGTTCTGCTAGTGCATGCGTTGCAAGTAAATGCACCCAAATGGCGCTTTCGTCCTCTTACTCTTAGAATAAAAGGCCAATTGGTCAACTGGAGTTGATCATACCAGTTGTTTTCTTTCCTTGCGACATGATCCCTTGCTGGTGATCTCCTGCTGCTGCTAGCAGTAGAAATGTCGAAAGGGAACAGTGTGCAGTTGTCCACTTTCCTCAGCTGGAAAGTAGATGAGGACATAGGCTTCAACTCGGCGAAGAAGGAAGGTAAAGAGCTGGTCGTGAAAGTGTGGTGCAAGTCGTGTGCGAAGTATTCTGACGTTATCCGGAGCGACTCTATGGCTGAGAGGTCAAGCGAAGGTCGATGCGTTGAGGTTTGTGGAGGGATCGGACTACATGACGAAGCACGCTGTCACTCGACATTTGTCTGGACAGGTAAGTGGTCAATTCAATGTCGAAAGTAAAGTCGATCGGACTCGCGACCATTCTCCTTGTTTTCTTCGCTTGTTGTCATGTAGGCGCATAGCATCGGAGTGAGCCATGCGAAGCTATTGGGTGACACCGACAAATCATCGTCGACGTCTGCATCAGGGAGCAAGGCAACACAAGCGCCTCAGCAGCCACGCATCCACACAGCTATTCTAGTCCAAGCGGAGGACGCATACGAAAAGCTCTTCCACACTGCATATTTAATGGCAGTTCACGGCCAACCGCTGTCATCTTTCAAGACAATGGTGGAAATTCAGAAAGCATCCAGAATTTTTTCTCTAAAAAAATGATATCAATAATGTGCTGTGTTGTTGGAGTGAGAATTTTTGGATCACTCTCCTACAGCTCGCCTGACACAGGCGAGGAGAGCGATAGATCACTCGCCACCTATTTTCAAATCACAGGGTCTGCTGCATCGCAGCCTTTTCGGACCAAAACCAGTCGACTCAGCGTCCAAAAGACTACAACATATGGGCCAATCGCGGTCATCCGTGCTTTTATAAGAACGAAATGGCGCTTTTAGTGACATTTTGCATACAAATCCCCATCTCGTAGGGCGCAGTCACCCAGTTTCGGTGGAAGTGCGCGAGTTCGATTGGGATTCAAGTAGGAAGGGAGCGTCTCAGCTTCCTCGGACCAAGACCATTCGACTCAGCACCCCGAAGACTACAACTGGTGAAATTTTAATTTTTGCCTTAACTTCCCCTTTAACGAATTAGAAAGAATCGGTAACATTAAAGTCGTTATGTGCAAAACGATATGTGCATGTGCAGTCATTTGCCGGTTTTGAGACAGAATTCGTTAGAATTTAACCTCTCCAACCCACACAAATCCGGAGATTGTGAACTTTAAACTCGGACACTGAGCCAGGAAAAAATTTAAAAAAAGAGAAGAAAACACATGAGAACGAGTTATGCAGCAACTATCCACGACTGTAACAAGATGATAAACGGTCAGAAAGTGACTGTGCGATAATAGGGCACAACAGTGACAGGCTACTGGGACATTCAGCGACCCGAGACCTAGCTCTAACACATTTCCAGTTCGCAAACCAACAGCCTTCCAACTTGGAAGGTTCATAGTTACGTAGGACCGAAGAGGGGAAGGTAAGCGCAGCGAAAATGTGCACAAGCTAAGTCCCGCGGCAACAAAGAATGCCGACTGTTACAGGACGATGACGAAACCAGTTAATAACATGACAATGCGGTCTGACTACAATTCGAAGCAGCAAAGCAACACACCACCCAACTTGGGTGGGTCAGCAATATCGGAGATAAAGGAAGGGGGAAGCTTTGCGAAAACGAATTGTACAAAACCGGACGCCAATATCTAACGGTACTCCCCATGCATGACACTATTGTGGACGAGTTGACTACAATAACAAGTAGTTCCACACGACGTACGTTTCACCGGGTTGTTAGTGACGGCTCATCAGGTGTGCAAAATTTAACTCGGATACTGAGCAATAACCATGAACCTTCCACGTTGGAAGGCTGTTAGTTTGCGCACTGGAGATGTGTTAGAGCTAGGTCTAGCTAGGTCTCGGGTCGCTGAATGTCTCAGTAGCCCGTCAGTTTCGTGCCCTATTATCGCACTTTCTGACCGTTTATCATCTTGTTACAGTCGTGGATAGTTGCTGCATAACTCGTTCTCATGTGTTTCTTCTCTTTTTTACATCGTTAACTTTAATTGACGTTAAAATATCTGGTCTTACTGTACATCACTCACCGGGCTTTTAACTGCCAGCTGACCAGGCTCCATGCTGTGCAAGAATCGCACCGTTTCCAAGTGCCCTTGCCGCGCGGCATAGTGCATCGGGGTCAGGCCGACCTGTACAGGATAACAGAAAGCGTGGAAGCCCAGCACGGTCTAGGACGACATGCAAGTCTGCAAGGGCCTGTCACAGTGCAGCACAAACGCAAACTGGTCTGCATGTGGTAGCCCGGGTTCCGCACTTGGATCCAATGCCGCTAGTCACGGCGGATAGGCAACGACATACACGCACCACAGAAAACAGTAACTGAGAGCTGTGCGCAATTTTGAAGCAAAATTTGTTTTTGTCTTTGAGGTGTGCATAGCAGGGATACCATGCCTGTTGCTATGCTGCGTGCACTTACATCCGTGCGCACATCGATCTGTGCTCCGTGCTGCAGGAGCAGTTCAACTAAAGGCAAGAAGCCGCGGTAACAGGAGAGATGCAGTGCAGACCATAGCGATGGCTGCACACGTTGCAGTGCGGGTATCAGAAGAGAAGCAAAGAGAACACAACAGAACAGAGTTAGGGAGAAGAGAAGGGAAGGGAAGAGAAGGGACGGGATGGGACGGGAAGGAAAGGGGAGAGAAGAGAAGAGAAGAGAAGAAAACTTGACTCCCAATACAATTCAAAAAGTATTCAAGTTTTGAAAGGATCCCAGTGATACATCTCTAGCAGCCACGGAAGGCCTTGCTTCTTTTGCCAACGGATGCATAGGCTGATTTTTTTTAAATAGACTTCTGACATATCTCACCGGCGTGTCATGCACATCTCCGAAAGCCCATATTTAGTTCTTCAGAGGAACATGCAGATTCAGTATATTGACGTTTGGATTACCACCATCTCAAACACATTCACAGGCTTTGACATGTCATCGGACGAATGTGCACTTTGCTATGCATGCCTGATTGTACTATAGTGTCATACAATTGTGATGTCATAGAATTGTAATGTCATACAATTGTGATGTCATAGAATTGTAATGTCATACAATTGTGATGTCATGCATATTAATTGTGATACACATAACAATGACCTTGGCGGATTCTGCCTCGTCGTGACAAAGAGTGTTACTGAGCAATTGGTTAATGGTGGTCGGCTTGAGCAGCGGCAGGATTGCTTTGGCACATTCCACATGCCCAGCACGGCAGCTGTCAAACAGGATCAACGCCTTTTAAAACATACACAACCACACGCACACACACACACACACATACACACACACACACACACACACACACACACACACACAAGCAGTTGCATTGCAGTGCACATAATCATTGGTTCACACATGGAGAGAGAGACACACGCACTTGTGCACGCATGCACACACACACACACACTCGTGCACGCATGCACACACACACACACACACACACACACACACACACACACACACACACACACATACACACACACACACACGCACATACACACACACGTATACACACACACACACACACCTTTTGACATTTGACGCCAATCGCCGGAGGCAAAGATAGCGATGCTACAGCAGAAGCCATAGCAACTTATGCTGGGATTGCACCATTCAGCAGCTTGCAAGGCTGTTGAATTGGCCGCCCCTTTCCAGCCTGGTTTACACCACACAGATGCGAAGTAGCTTTTTCTGGCCAGTGAATCCCTACTCATTGGTCTTTTCATATTTTTTCCCACACACACATCACACCACATATACTCCGGCATGCACTGGCTGTTGGTAACCACCCAGGAGAATGAATGAAATGTCAGGAGTGTGAGAAAGAGAAGAAAGACGTGTGTGACCATAATCGTCTGGAATCGAGTCCGCAACCTCTCGATTGGAAGTCGCTGCACATACCACTGCACCATAACAGCTGCTGCTGACCTGAACTCATCTTCAATTCTTTATGATATCAATACTAAATCAGCAGAAATGTGCAAAACATCACCGCGTGCAACTAGAAACATAATAATGAAGAATGTACCCAGGCAGAAAACAGAAAAAGAGAAACACATAAATCGGTAAATCTAGTCCGTTGACTTCCCTCTTACCGCCAATGGTTCATCTCTTCCATTCTCTGAATGCACGCATCGTTCCGTGATGCTCTCTTTCAGCACCGCTGCGCCGTCGTCAGCCGTGTCTGAAATGTCCAACGCCAGTCGCCCACAAGCGTTCCGGCTGCAGACGCCCAGCAGAGGTACTGTCGGATCAGCTGCCGAGCTCTCCAGCTCTGGGGTTGTCATCGGCAACCCTGTGTGCGGCAAGGTTAGAGACGACACTGCAGCAGGACAGTGAACTGACTTCAGTACAGGGTAGTAAGCACAAAATTCTGAACCGGGAAAAACCAGGCCTTGAGCCATCACCTGTGTACTGTATAACATGTCAGTTTAAAACTCGGGTATTGAGCCAATAATAAATGTAGAAAGAAAAAGGACATATGGAAACGAGTTAAGAGTAACTCTCCACCACTGTAACTAGATACTATATACAGTCAGAAAGTGCAACAACTCGGCACAAAACTGACAGAGTACTGAGACATTCGACGTAATGACACCTAGAGCAGTGTGATGGACAGTACTCTGTCAGTTTTGTGCCTAGTTTTTGCACTTTCTGACTGTATATAGTATCTAGTTGCAGTGGTGGAGAGTTACTCTTAAAGGGGAAGTATACCCTAAAATCAATTTGTCACCAGTTGTAGTCTTCGGGGTGCTGAGTCGATTGGTCTTGGTCCGAGGGAGCTGCGATGCTCCCTTCCTTCTTTTTCCCCAATCGAACTCGCGCACTTCCACCGGAACTGGGTGACTGCGCCCTACTAGATGGGGATTTGTATGCAAAATGTCACTAAAAGCGCCATGTTGTTCTTATAAAAGCACGGATGACCGCGATTGGTCCATATGTTGTAGTCTTTTGGACGCTGAGGCGACTGGTTTTGGTCCGAAAAGGCTGCAATGCAGCGTTCCTCCTTTATTCCCAATCGAACATGGTTGAACAAGCGGTCACGTGCTCCTGGGTGCCCAAATCACCTGGTCACCGCGCCGGCAGGCGACAACTTTCACACCAAGGTTCAACTCGAGTTCAACTCGAGTGACAGGACTGCACCCAAAAAAGGTCAAACAGGCTAGTAAGTTGTACCCTGCAGGCACGGTGTTGTAAGAGCTGTGCCAGGTACACATGCACCTGGTTGGTTTGGAATCCTAGACCTAGAGCAGACACTGCTTACCGTAATTCCGCGCATATAAGCCCATGGGCTTATATATGGGCTTATATGTGAAATAATGCAGTTTGGGAATAAAATACCCAGTCAAACATGTTTGTTTTTTAGCCCATGGGCGCCGGGCCAATATTCGAATTTTGAAGGTTCACAAAAAAATACAAGTCCGTTCTCATAGTGGGTCTATCATATTCTACTGGTAAACTACTAAACTCCACTGACCTGCACTGACCTGCACTGACCTGCACGGACCTGCACTGACCTGCTGTACCATGGTAGCAAGAGTCCATAATTATTGTGAAAAAAATTCTACTTGACAAGTGAGTCGTATGTGTGCCTGTTTATTAGCCCATCAGCTTATAAACGGAGGTGGGCTTATATCCGGATATAGGCCCATGGGCTTATATCCGGGGCCCATGGGCTTATATGCGCGGAATTACGGTATGTACTCTTGGCACTATGGTATGGTATAAATAATTATGTGGATGATATTACATTTTAGTTTACTGAGATAACTCAACAGTATTACTAAGGAGAACGGAATTGGGAACAAAGGTACCGGTATTACGGAGCCATGCACCTGTTATCAACTCCTGCAACCCACTCCCTCACCTGTACCAGCGGCAGAGCTAGCAGGCAGCTCTGATGCCAAGCCGATGATGTTTCTGCACTGAACTCCAAACTAGGAAGTCTCGCGATATCGGCACGATACCTGACGTCGATAGAAAGCTGGGCCCGGCCTGAAAAGGTCGTGGTGGAGGTCATCCAATCCTCGCTAGCGCCGCTAGCCAAATTAATTCCACTTGTGCTCGTAGACTCTATGGCTAATCTTGTAGTCGTAGTAATACTAATAGTAATGTACTAATGAGGCGTCCGGGGAAACACAACCGCCATGACACAAGCATGCAGCAGCAGGAGAGAGAGAGAGAGACAGGGAGGTATTTGTTTACCTCTATCACTTATCAGTCTATGATTGTACATGTACTTCCTTGTCAATGTCACTGCACTGCAAGCATGCTGTTTAGTATGATTGTTTTGTCGATCCGACGATACAACAGTTACATGTGTGTGCCGGAATAGATCTACTGTCGTGGACATGGAAATCCGGTCGATTGACCGGGGCCGGCGCCCTCAGCGCGTACAGTGCACGACCAGCGATCGAGCTGCAGCGCGTAAATCTACGTATGTGTGTTACCAAGAGTACATAACCCTGTTTATCTACTCTTGGTGTTACCCACCACGGCTGCATGGCCAGCGCCCTGGGGCCGCTAGACGTGTGACCGGATTTCCATGTCCACGACAGTACAATGTCATATACAAAGACTTACTGAGCCTGGTTCACGGCAGGGAGTCGTAGAATCTATGACTCGGCCTGCCATGCTACGTAGCAAACTGTACAGAGGTATGCACACCTTCAAGAAAAATGTCAACGACCACTTAAAAGTACTTGGAGCGCAGCAAGTGGGAGTGCACTAGTAGTAGTGGGCCACAGACACTGAGACAGGCTAGGCTATGATCTCTCCATCGCAGCCAACACACCACCCATACTGACCGCACTCCAGCTCCCTTCTACCCCTCTTTGATCCTCTTCGCTCACAGTTCTCTCCATCTCCCTACCTGCCTACGGTGCACTGCTTTTACTATTGTTTTGTCCTATCTCAATCTCAAATTCTCCCCATTATCGTTTGCAAAGCCGGTGCTTCCCTCTTGGATGCACATGTTTTCTTTTCTCCTATGTATCGGCGCACAAGAGTAAGGATGATTCCGAGACCTTTGGTCGGAGGAGTTACTTTTGCCCCGCCCCTACTTCCATCCAATATGCCACCGCGGCCCCCGCCGCTGTGCAGCATCTGATGGTTCTGTGGTACATGTATTCAGTAAAAAATAAAAAATAAAAACACAGAACTGCATTGAGCAAGAAACTCGGATGTCGCACCATCTTTCAAGAAACTCGGCGACAAACTCTACTGTTACACACCTCCTTTCATTGTTTCAAGGCTTTGTGCCTTTTGTGTGCACTGAATAGTGCTCCTGGGTCCACCCTCTCCGCTGGGGAAAGGGAACCTCTTTGCTTGATGTAGACACTCTTTCAAGCATAGATGTACATGTACATGTATGTGTATGTGTGTACATTGTACAATCAGAGTTACAACCATTCACACACACACCACACAACACAACCGTGACAAAACTAGAGACACTGATTTTACTCAATCTGCGGACAGCATGCATGCTGTTTTGACACTGATTTTATGATGCCGTATTTTTCGGAGTATGGTGCGCACTTTTGACGTGCTATTTTAGGCCCTAAATCGCAGGTGCGTACCAGGGAGTAGTATACAATACCTTACTACTCCCTGGTGCGCACTATGCTCCGAATATGAAATGCATGTACTTCAATGAAGATTGAATTGCGCACCCTCAATGAAGATTGGGGGTGCGCATTATACAAAGGTGCGCACTATACTCCGAAAAATACGGAACTATTGTTTGTTTTTACTACTAGTAGATCTACTACCAAGAGTATTATAACCATGATAACCCCCCTGGGGGGGTTATCATAATAAAAGTCTTGGTACTAATACTGACAACATCATGATTGTGTACTTCAAAGACATACATGTACATGTAAGTAGTACTACTAGTAGTTAGTTTTGCTGTAGTAAGTAGTTGAGAGTGTCTGTCAGGTCGCTACCTGCGCAGCTGCATAAATGACTTATTATCAGGGAGTCGTATGTACATGACTTGTACATGTATCTACATGTACATGTACATGTAAATTACGAGGTCAATATGAAATAAAAGCCGAGTAAAAGACCGAGGCGAAGCCGAGGTCTTTTACTACGAGGTCTTTTATTTCCTAGTACGAAGTCAATACTAGATTTATCACGACTAGCCAAAGCCTGTGTTCAATCTAGGCCTCGACCAAATATGCTTGCGCATATTTTTGTGAGACAGTTCATTATGGCATATTGAGCGACAAAGGGAATATTGGAATGAAGCCAGCATATAATTCAAATATTCTGAAGAAAAGGAGGACAAACCATTCATATTATGGACAAAATGCGTTCACAAATGCCTTTTATGGATGAATTTGGAATGGTTGAGGCGTTTGCTACATTTCCCCATGGATGAAAAGTTTTGAAAACTATCGCTACGGTTGCTGGGGACACACCCCAGCCATACTATTCTGCATGTGTTTTGATTTGCACCATAAACATGATAGCCGTGAAGCCAATGAATATTCCAAGGTTGTAATTTTACTGAAATGATCTACACTTTCTGCTTATGTCGAGCATACTTTGGCATATTTTGGCATATCTTTTTGCATATCTTGATATTATGGACGTTTTCCCTGATGATGCGACGAGCATAATAATGCTCTTTTTTTTAGCATATTTGGTCGAGGCCTAGTTCAATCGCTAAAAAGGAGTCAAATATAAGCGGTCAATAGCCCTAAGGAGTGAAATATGCAGGAATATTTGACTGCTTAGGTATGGTAAAAATCTATGGGAGTCAATACTAAGGGAGTGATAAAGTAGTAGCATTACTTCGCCCTGTTTCCCAGGTTTTATGGCGGGAGCGCACATGCTCCCAGTACTGGCAGTAGATCTACCGACCACCTGCTGCAGAAGGCCTCCTACTCCTAGTCCTACTCCTACTGTCCTAGCCGTCCGATCGATGGGCGCCGAGCCGCCAGAGCGGCGGCATGTATGGCCTAGTTACTAGTATGGCCAGTCTACCATGGTCTACCGGGTGGCAGGATCATCTAGCACATGATATGAGCTACACTGAAAAGCCTGAACTGAAGTCTGACTGAAGAGTGAAGTGAAGCCTGAAGGATACTTTTTTTGCCACGCACTCGTTTTGCTGGACAAGACTTCAAGAGGCTGCGCGACGAGCAAGATTGTGAATGCGGATACACGGGAGTCTTTTCCTCGGATCCACACATTTCGCAGAGCCGCAATGCTTCGCTGCCTGGTCGACCTGGCCGTGTGGCTGCTGCTGCTGATGCTTTTGGCTCTGGTGTCCGTCAGTCGAGGTCAAGATGATGTGCGCAGTTATCCATTCGATAGTCCAAACAGCATGGGAGTAAGCAGCGGTGCTGGCGACGACGCCGACACCGGTCGGTCTACAACTACCGGTAAGAATGCAGCCGACATGGCCTACACAACGACGAGCGGCAAGGCAATAAAGGTGTTCGATGCCGTCGCCGACGCCAATCGCTTGGAGCTGTTTCGCATGGCTGCCGAGCCGCAGATATCGGAATCGTGGCAATTTCTACATGAAGATCGACAGGCAGGTGGTGAGGTGCAACAGGGAAAGGCGTCCGGGAATATGCCCTGGTCGTCACGAGTGGATGCCAGCTGGTTTGCCAAGACTGTTATTGGCAGGTCACTGACCGGCCTGGTATCTGGCAATTGGCAGCGACCGCTCCTGCCGTACGACATCCGTATGCTAGCGCTGCGTCGCGGTGACGACACGTTAGTGAACGACGGTGTGTCGAACGAGCTGGGTGAAGTGTGGAGTGTGCTGCATGCCACGTACGGCAAGTGGAAGGCGGACTACTACGGCGAGTCCATATTCTACGATGAGAACGAGGAGATTGTGGCAGCGTGTCAGCCGAAGTTCCGTCGCCTGGTGGCGTGGGACGCCTCGATACCCTACCTGCTCCGTCCGCCGTCGATGACCTATGCCACCGCGCAGTATCTGGTCTTGATCCGCTGGACAACCAACGCGTCTCTCGTCGAAGAAGCGGAACGAGAGCGCGCAGCTTATCAGGAGGAGACGCGCAACGGTCGAGAGAGCGGCCTCTTGACGAGCGGCGATCGTAGCGTGCCGGACAGCCTGGACGTACGGCAGTACGAAACGCAGCACGTCGTGACGCGCACCACCAGCAAGAACGTGTTTGTGTTCGACGACCTGCTGAACCAGAGCGATGTCGACGCGCTGCGTGTGTACGCGAAGCGCTACGGCGGGTTTGCGTTCAATGATTACAGCGTCGGCGACGAAGGCAGCGACAACGTGCAGTGGATCGGAAGCTTTGACATCGGCAAGTTCATCCAGAGCAAGTACTGGAAGATAATACAGAGGGTGGTGGAGTACACGAGCGGTGGCATTGACACCTGGTATCCGTACGATATCGCCTGCAACGTCGTGCGCAGTACTGATCACACTCGTATCCATAGCGATGTGCGCAACAATCGCGACGACGAGTGGACACTGCTAATCTACCTTAGTCCGGAGTGGAACATGACGTCTTACGGTGAGACGGCCTGGTTCACTGGGCACGAGGGCGACGACATGACGAACGACGTGGACATCGAGACCGAGGTGCAGCCACTGTACGGACGAGTGGCCATATTTGAAGGCCAGATCCCGCACGCCGCCCGGCCACCCAGCTCAACGTACCGCGGTCCACGGTACTCGTTTGCCGTCAAGATGGCCGCCACCCAGTGGCTTTCGTCTCGCAACCGCATGTTTGAAAGCTTCCACGAGAAAATGGACCTGCTGTCGTCGTTCGCTACAATGGTCAAGAACTACAAGCAAGTCATGAAACTGGACGCGGACGACAGCTTCAATGGCAGGTTTGCGAAGAAATACTGGAAAGCCTACATGGCAGGTGATGATGGTTACCGAAACGAGCTCCTGGAACAAGCATTTCAAACTACCCGCGGCAATGGCGAAAAGTTGAACTCTTTGCTGAACTACCTAGTCGGCTTATTCTATTCCAGACTCAGGCAGTTCATCGACGAAATCAAGCAAACCGTATAGTAAGGCAGGAAATCGAAAGCGTCCTTTGCGGTTGTTATCAGGCACGGAGCACGGTGGCCATCCTGTGCCTCTCGAGTGTGTGCTGTCCAACATGGATTTGTGTGCGCCGCCCGTGCCAATACGTACTGTACAACCTCCAGGCTTCAAGTCCCGGCCTTGCGTTCAACTTGTGTGGTGTCAGCCGCGGTGCCCCTGAGCGCCGGAATGGTGCTCAGTTTTGGTTCCTGCTGCATGACTGACTGTAGTCTCCTTGCAGATCGCTTTGCAACGGTTCATAGCTCTCATGCCCATCCCCGTCCTACCCACTTTGTCACATGACTATAGTATTCTATCATAGATAGAAAGTTCTATTTGGCCGAAAGTTTTGATCCTAATATTTTTATGTTGAGCAACCGTGACCTTATTCAGGCTATCTATATTTTTTTGGAAAAGATCAAAATTTCTCTATACATGTATCTGGCACTAGCTGGTACCGGTTTCAAAGCAGCTGAATGCCATTATGCTGCAAGTGTGTGACCATTGTACTGTTCTGGATATCTGCTTCCATTTTGAGCTTATAAATCTGACGATTTTATCAAAGTATCGTGATGCCGGGCAAAAATATAGTATTTTTGTTATTGAAGCCGGTGACGTCCTCCCTTCTTATCATGCGGTGGTTTGTTGATGCTTGCAGACACTATTTTAGTATGCTGCTCGTGGTGCTGGGCTGCGATGTGCTCCAAGGCATAGTTTATCATGGTGAGGTGGTATGTTCCTGGAGCCTTGTTCGCTGGCTGTTGTGGAAATGCTCTCCATGGAGGTGTGCCTTGGCGATATCAAGGAATACGGTCCGGATTCCGTGTTGTACAGCAGAATTGCATAGTGGCAAACGGTATGGAGTATGGACCACACAGTGTGAAGTTCTGTGCGACCGAATGAATACAGCGGCGCTGGTTTCGAGCACACTGCATAGTGTTTGCAGTGCGAGAGCTACCAGTAGTACATGTATGCATCGCCACCATGGCACTATGCTATTCAGGTTGAAGCATGCATGATAACCAGTCTCTTGCTACCACTGCATGCACTTACCAGTAAACAATTCTATTATTTTAACATTCTCCCAGTGCTAGTGCTGCAAAATAAGTTTCTCCCAAACTCCCTAGGCCAGAGTTGGCCCATGCACCTCCGCTCTGGACGACCAATGTGCAATGAGCATGCAGTACAATTCTTGTGTTGTGCTTTTCTGTCAAAGTTGGAAAATTCTTTCTGGATTGGTTTTCGCAAGAGTCTTGATAAGTTTTTCACTCTGGTACCCGAGTTTTCGCAAACAAGAAAAACTTTCCTGCCGTGCCCGAAGGGGCTAAGCTCCAACGTCAAACGTTATCACCCGAAATCATACAACAATAGTTTATTCTGCATGGAAGTCCACGTGCTTGCAAGACATGTAACCATGGTAACTGAGAATAGCCAGTGAAGCACCCAATGCAGACATCGAGGAGAGTGTTTTCAGATCACGACAAAACACTTCTTGCCTAATCTTGGGTTTGTGAAAATTGAGCTTTAGATTCAAATACACTATGTCACCTTGTAAAATGAAGAACCAAATTCGCGTACCGCAAAGCGAGTACACATTTGTGACAATATCAACAAGTTAGTAGAGGTGGCACGCCAGCAGGAGATAGCCGGCACTCCACCAGCAGCTTGACACAGACATGCCGGTTGGCTTTCCACAGTCTTCATTGAACAAATGTACAACTGATGTGTGTCAAGATGGGAGCGACAAGTGCACCCAAAATAGACTTTTCAAAATTCAAATGCTCCTTGGCTACAAACAATTCTAATCAAAACATGACAGAACAAGAGCACGAGGCATGGCTGCGGCATAGCCTCTAATTCAAGATAATAACGAAACGGGTATGTACAAATACACAGGCAGCTGGGTACTAAAAACCTTAAAAAATCTTACAAAACAAGAATGATACACCAAACCAGCGCAACAAAAAGCGACAACACAAAACGTACATGTACATGTATTTACAGAAATGGACAGCGGCATCACAACACACCACACAGCAGCCAAATTAGCACCGCATATGTACAAGCAGAGTAGAATAAAAGCATACAGTGGCTAGGCGGTGAACAGCAAGCTATACATAATATATATATCAGGCCCTCAAAGTTGCTCAATTCATAATGATTATATAAAAACGTATTTAGTTTGCTTGCCGGCGGTCACGGGGTATGTACTTGACGTTTCTTCCCTCGTCGAGTTCCTGGATGATGTGCTCGGGAAGGCGTCCGCTCACGGATATGGCGTAGATACCTGGCACACATTCGCCTGTATACGCACAACGCAGCATGTACACACAACACACACAGGGGAGGCAGGTGCGCAGACATCGACATGCGCATACGCACCGGCACACAGGCACAATGACACGATAGTTACGCACTGTACACCAATTGCAACACGAGTGCCAGAGAAACTTGCACAGCACACAGTCGTGGGTTGTAAGCTTTCATTATAACAAATGATTGAGTATTAACAATCAAGGTACTGGTGTGGACTTTGAAATCCGGTGGAATGAACGGGGCCCGGCACCCTTACTGCCTCAGCGCATAAACGCACTGTAGTTCACGTACACACTGCAAACATGGGCCAGCAGCGCTCCCGGCTGCAAGGCCAGCGCCCCGTGGCCGATTGACTTCTCAACGGATTTCATTGTCCACGACAGAAGATTCACTGATGAGCATAGCAAGAAAATGGGCTTTTGAATCCAATATGTATCAACATTTCCCATTCTCTATCACTCACACGGTTTTTCGTGATGATATGGCGCTTTTTCGCCATTGTATTCAATGCTGGTGAGAAATGCAATGCCGCCAATTTAGTCACTTGGTGTCTTCGTGAATTCGAACCACTGAAAACTGCTCCGTGCAACTGCTCAGTGCATTGTGCTGTGGATGCTACAATCGAGCATGATCCAGATACACAGGCAAAACCTGACTTCAGGGATCACCCTATCAAGGTCTTTGAACGCAGCTGGTCTCTGAAACCTGGGTATCTCTTCCATCCATATTCAGCACATCCGGTGCCAAGATAGGTGGTCCCAGAAGTCTTTTACAGATACATTGGCTGAATAAATGACCCAAAATTACATGTTTTACAGTACAGTCGAATGTCACTTATCCGGTCGCCAGTTATCCGAGCACGCCGGTTATCCGACAAGCCCGGGAGTGGAAATTTTATGACTCTCAACGTAAAATTCTATTTTTTTGTGTTTATTATACGGTGTAATATGCATTTACTTGAAGTAGATGTGGTCAAGTATGCTAACATGCATGTGTACATGGAGCAATTCATGAATATGCATGAATATATTTGGGTATTGTGTACATAAATCAGTGAAATCCAGCCATATATCCACATAAAAGATGATATCAGTTATCCAATATATCCAGTTACCCAACATTAGGGATGTCAGCGAACGCACTGCGCAGGCCTCTGCGCATGCATTGCGTCATCGATTTTTTGAACGTGATCGCGGCCGACAGAGAAAACATGGCCGCGGTCTGTTTGCACCGCTGGGAGTCGTAAAATTACTGTTCTTCTGTCCCCGCGACCATTCAAATCATACGCGATACAGGAGGACCCACGAGCTCACCACGTTCTCCCCGGTCGATTTCTCTGAAAGTTTGCACATCGTGAAACACCAGTATGAGAGGTGTTCAGGCCAATTTTCAAGGGATTACCCTGGTTGGATCGTTCCAAAATCGGACTTGCATTTCTTGCTCGCGGCCATTTCTTGCGCGATGGAAGCGCTCTGCCCAGGTGAGTAACCAGCGTCGCGCTTGGTAGAGAGTTGCTGCAATCAGCTCCCTGATGTCTTCGCTGCCATTGTCAGAAGCGATGGACCCTGAATTTGTTTGAGAGTCTCTGGATGCTACTTTTCCTCAGCCTAGTTTTCAGCCATTCCGTGCATCTTCTTCGCACGATTTATTTTGCAAAAAAATGAAAGGGTTCATGAGTTTTCTTGTCGGCCGCGCGTAGATGGGCCAGGCTGACCTGCGCAGATGGGCTGCGCAGTGCGTTCGCTGATATCCCTACCAACATGCCTGATTCCCGAAGTGGTCGGATAAGTGACATTCGACTGTACCAGGAAGTACAAAACCGCCATTCACGGTATCTGGTGGGAAACTTTGTGCTACTGGTATAACAAAAGATATTAACCAACGTACATGTACCATGTGACCAGGCTGGTCATGCCAAGCCAGCGTGCCCTGAACGGAAGAAGTGGCGAGAGGCCAAAGCTGTAGAAAGAGTAGCGGCTACTGGTACGTCTCAGAGTGGGAGTGATAAGTGCCTGCGTGCGGTTTCCACAGAAGCTCCCCCCCCCCCCCCCGCCAAGGATTTATGTGGACGTCGAGTTGGCAAAGCCGAATGATTGGTGCCGTGGAGAGGCCATGTTGGACACCGGGTCGGCTCGCACGTTAGTGTCGTCTAGCTTCGTGCGTGCGGCTAAGCTTTGCAACAAAGTTTCGGCGGTGAAGGAGAAGAAGCTCCTCGCCCTGGATGGCGAAGCCCTGCCGATTTTGGGGTCGATTCCATTAATGATTCGTCGCCTGGATGGACCCGTTAGTTTGCCGCCTACACAAATTTGTTGTTCCAGAGCTGTCCGATATTAATGCTGACCTGTTGCTTGGATCTGACATTGTCCGTGCCGTCGGTGGCGTGAGGTTGCAGTACTCGGAGTCAGGTGATCTGCGGTCCGTGTTGTTTGGTTCGTCAACCGCCAGTGACCCTGAGCCTGTGTCGTCTGTCATGAGCGATGCTGTGCAGTCGCCAGATCAACACCCGTCTCGGCATGTTAGCGTGGTGCAAGATGGTGAGGATGTGACGCTATCCATCGAGGATGGTCAGATTAAGTGGTTAGCAGCTGATCAGTGTTGGCAGGCAATGTGGAGGTGGAAGGATGACAAGCCACCTACCGGACGCATCGCAGCGGCATTGGGGAGTATCCCGGAAATTGAGTGATGACCAGGAGAAGTTGTTCCAGCAAGAAGTGGACTCCCGGATCAGCAATGGATGGCTCGTCGAGCATGACGATGAGATACACGGAGCTCATGCGGCTAAGCTGTTGCGTGTTAGTTGTTATTTTCCGAATATGGCCGTTGTTTGTCAGTTGTTGATTCAGTTGTGTGATGTGTGTGCTGCTGCTAATTCTAAGCGTGGGCCTGTTAATGAGCCAACACGTCCTGTTATTCTGTCTGGTCCGTGGAATGTAGTGCAGCTTGATACCCTTGGATTGGGCCCGAATAGGAGCCACCGTTATCATTGTGTTCTTGTTTGTACTGATATGTTCCCCCAAGTGGGTCGAGGTTGTCCCATTGGTTCGCCATGCTGATCAGTCTGTAGCAGCTGCGTTTGTTGATGTATGTTCCCGCTGGGGTGTCCCAGCAGTTGTGCGTTGTGATAATGGCACAGAATTTGTTAATCAAGTAGTTACGTCTCTGTATGATGCATTTGGTGTTGAAGTGCGACATGGTGCAGAGCGTCATCCGCAAAGTCAAGGTGGTATCGAGCGTTTCAACCGGCCATTGCTGAATTTGATTCGCAAGACCGTGCAAGAATCTGATGATTCGGTGTGCGCTTTGAACGTATCGTTGTATTATTATCGTATTCGTCCCCATTCTGCGCTTGGTGTTTCTCCTAGTGAGGCCATGTGTGGCTGGGTTCCTCATGGCTTGATCGTGGACGATGAACGTTATGACATGTCCCCCAGTGCATGGGTCGATAGCTTGTGCAGTAAAGCGGCTGTCGCGCGGGACTATTTGGAAAGCGAGTTGTCCTGAGCCCTCTGCTGACTTTGTTCAGCCTGTTGAGTGTGTGAACCCCTACAGTGTTGGTTCCCCGGTGATGTTGCGGCAGGGAGATCGCCGCCAGAAGCGAACAGCGCCGTATGAAGCCGGGTGGACAGTTGACAGTGTTGTGTCTCCATCAACTGTTGCAATTGTACGAGACACTAACGGTCGACATTCTGTGAAGACTGTCAACATTGATCTGATTAAACCGTCAAGCATGAGTGTGCCTGAGTTTGATGATACTAGTGATTCTGATTCTGATGTACCAGCCCAACCACTTCAAGTTGGTGGTCATCGTCTTCGTAACCGTGCTGGTCTCGTTCCTCCTGTTCGTTACCGTAGTTAACTGTTGACGTGATGTCACCAGGGGGAGGTGTGACAATATGACAGTGTGTGTAGTGTGACGATACAATGTGTGTGTAGACAAACATTACGATTATGTATTTGTTGTGGTGACATCTGTCATCAGTGTGTCCTACCTCTTACCTCATTGTAGCTTCATCCGTAGTCCGCTTCCATTGTCCTTGTTCTATATTCTGTTCTATTTTTTCTAGTGCTACAATAGTCGTTTCACTTCTCATCTTTCCTTGCCAAAAATGGCACAACCAGATGGATGAACAATTATAAGCCCAGTGTCTAGTAGAAGTCTCTAATATAAGCCCAGGGCCCGGACTGGTCGGAAAAATAAAAGCCCAGGCCTTATAGACCTTATTCGATAAACGTCACAATCACGTGAACCGGGGTCCCAGGAACCAGGGAGTGGCAAGAGACCTGTACTCAGTGCACAGTGGACTCGGCGTGGGAACATAGGAGTAGAAAAATACTGGTATTTTACTCCTCCCTTTTACGAACTGGGCCTTTCTTGCCACTCGTTTCACGTAGGCGAGTCCAAAAATCACGTTATCGAATAAGGTCTATAACGGAGATAATACGGTATTAATAACAGTCCTTACGGATACGCTGCCATTTCGCTACCCAGCTGTCCAAGGGGCTGACCATTGACACAACTCTACACGGAACAAAGCCAGGCAAAACATGGAAAATGCACACTCGTCATAATAATAATAATAATAATAATAATAATAATACAGCACGCATATAGCTCATATGAAAAATCAAATGAGGGTCATGCATCTGTCGACAACGTCGAGCCAGTGCGTTCTGTCTGAGGCAAGTTGCTCCGCTTCCAAAAGAGACATATTGAGAAGTAAAAGGTCATTCCTAATGTTGTCTACCCATCTGGTCACTGGGCGACCTCTGGGCTTCTTTATATCTGTTATATTCATTGCCATGTGAAGGGCTTTGTAGGACACAGCGTCCTGCCCTTCACGAATGACATGTCCAAACCATAACAAGCGCCGGCGTCTACAGACTGCACTTATTGGGCATTGAGCAGTTTTAGCATTCGTCATAAAACACGCACAAATGACACTGCTGCTTTGTTCCATCTCTGCGCAAATCAGTGTATGTACTTAACCGCTTGCATACCAGACAAGCAAAGCATTGTACGCGTACGCAAGTTCTGCTACATCCCAACTCCAGTCTACTACTGCAGTGGACGTAGAAATCCGGCCGCATGTCTAGCGGCCCCAGGGCGCTGGCCATGCAGCGGTGGATAAGCGGTACACACATGCATTTATGCGCTGTAGCGCGTTGGTCGCATCGGATCAACATGTGCACTGCACGCAGCGTTCTGTATGCGCTGAGGGTGCCGGCCCCGGTCAATCGACTGGATTTCCATGTCCACGACAGTACGAGCATCTGAAGCTACCCTTGAAAGTGACAGAAACTCAGTAGCAATATTATAGTCTGAGCAACTGAAATCCAGAGTGCCGAACAGCGCGAGCCATGCTCAGCAGCAGAGTTTTACAGCCAGGAGTGATAGGAATGACGCAACACCCGGTGCTCATTGATACGGTTTTCTCAGTGGCAATTCCAATGAAAGCTACCTCAACTAAATTGCCAGAAGGCTGAACTTCAGCGCGGCATACAGTACTGGCTGGTGCCAAAGAACAGGGGTTCAGAGTCCTAGCCTACACCGTTCTTATTTTTCATGTCGAAACTAGACATTGCTATATAGTTGAGCCAACCTGTGCCTACGGGTATCCGGTATCTGGTAAAATTCTAGCCAGTTAGTTCTCTGGCTCATAGTTCTTCGGCACCCGACAGTATTTTAAGACTGGAATAGAATGATGGACCTACGCTGTACCACTCTAAAGCTGTGTTCACAACTGGCGCGTGTACGCGTGAAACCACGCGTTTGTGCGTATTTTTGCTGGCTTTTGGGGCGCCATGCGTACGGAAACGCGCCGAAATGGAAATTCCAACATGTTGGAATTTTCAGCGCGTATCAGGCGCATACCAGCGTACATGCCAGTCACTTTCACTGGCGGGGTCCAAAACTTAGTACTCGAAGGTGTCGCACGCGTTAGATACGACTCGGATTGCTGTTTTTTTGTGAAAGGCTGAGCGCGCGTTTGGACACGCATGAACCGCAAGCGTACCGCGTCCACGCGCCAGTTGTGAACACAGCTTAACAATCAGGTTTGCCCCCAGTTCCCTGTGCTGTGCTGATGAATCAGGAGACAAAACATTAAATGTTTTGATTTTCTGCCTGCAGCTTGAGGCACCACAACATAACTGTTTCGGAATCACTTCCAGGTACATGTACACATTACGCCTCGGTTTCCTGCAACTTTCGGCTCCAGCAGGCCATACACATCATCAAGCAGAGCAATCACAAGCAAAACGTGCCACTTACCCGTCGAAGCTGCTACTTGTACATTCCTGGATCATGGCGGCGTTGTTACGGAAGCCGAGAAGCTGCTCGCAATTGTCGCAGCCATCGTTTTCAAACTGATCAAAAGTCTGCAAGTGAAGGGACGAGCAACAAGCAGGAGAAGTGAAGTCAGCATACGTCTTCTCTTGCTGGTGAGATTTTTTTTAAGGTAGCACGAACCACGTTGACCATGAAAAATCTTTTACAAAAGAAGAGCTGTTTTTTCTGTTCTAAATTGTTCTCTAGAATGCATAGGCCCTATATATATAGGGTACTTGTGCATTTTGCAACTATTTTTGTTGAACTTATGGCCACTTCAAAGTAAAAAAAAACGCAATTTTCTGAACTTCGAGGCCCCATAAGTAACACAAAATGCATAAGTATCCCCCATGCGAATATCATTTCTGGGGCCTGTGCATGCTAGAGAACAACTTAGAACAGAGAAAACAGCACTTCTAACTCTGAGAAGACACATAGTCAACCTTGTGAACAATGACCTCGGGGGTACAATTGGTGAATTGCCAGTTGTACCCGAGCATGCATGGTCACCTGCATTCGAATGCTGTGATACTGTAAATCGGAAACCGTTGCGATCTGGGACGTTCTCAATTTTCACGATGCGTATGAAACAGCAAAAGTAAGCCAGCAAAGAACTGTACTGATACAACTAATGAAATTGACTCCAGTCGCAAACATTTCCAGGTGCAAATTGGCCTGTGCACGCACAGGGCGAACTAAAGCCGACGCAAGCGCTCCCCGGTTCACAGTACGCTGGTCGCATGGGTAGCAATGAAGCCAGATTTCACTGGCATCTATATCTAAAATGGATGAACATAGAAAGCACATATACAGTACATATACTGTAAGCCCAGAAACCTCTGTGATCCTGAAACGTCCGCGATTTTCGCGATGGGTGTGAAATCGCGAAAGTAAGGGGGCGCGGAACTGTAGACTCGAGTCAATCATCAAATTGACTCTACAGTCCATTTCAGAACTATAGACGCGTAGTGTTTTGCAAAATTCGATGGGATTTATTTAAATATTTTTAGTTTTTCTCCAGATTCCGTCTCTGCATCGCTTCACAATTCTGGCTATATACTTTGTTTTCGCTACAATTGAAGTTTATTTTTAGGCCAGGTTTTCCGGTTTTACAAGTAATTTCTGTTTTGAAGGGTTTGACCAGTTTGTTTTAAGGGTTTGACCAGTTTGTTTCAGATGTTTGCTCCTGCTGAGACAGTGCTGAGCCCAGACCATCGCGGGTGCATTTTTGTACGGGTCCTGGTAGCCTCGTGGTTTCGATCCGTGATTTTCAGTACAAGTGTGGGGCATTCGAATCCCATCACGCCTCCTGCCTTTTTTTCTCTTCTTTTCTGCATGTTTTGGATCTTGTTGGGTGAAATACAGTAGGGATGATAATTAATTTGATTTGATTTGAGCATCCCTGTTCCCTTCGCCTGACACAACGAGTGACAGTGGTTTCACTCACGCCAGTTGCAAGGTGAGTTCGACGACGAGGATTTCGGATACTCAAGCGTCAATCAAAATCCAGCTCTTGTTCGAAGAAACAATGAACACGACTAATCATATCTTTCTCGGCATCACTGAGATTCTTACGGGCCTTGGAAGCCATTACAGTCAGGCACTCAGAAAATGCAAACAAGAAGAAGACTCATTTGAGACTTTCATTTCTTTTGAGACTTTCCTCACACCTTTTCATTTGCGACTTTTCGTGTTTTGCATCTTTTGTATTTCCCGCGGCGACGAAGAAAAACCTGAAAAACACATCTGAAAACCAGAAAACACTCATGCAAAACTCACGGCTGTTGTGCGCTACAGTACGTACGACTCGTACGTATGAGTTCACGCGTCTATAGTTTTGAAATGGACTGTAGTCGCAAACGTTTGCAGGCGCAAAATGGTCTGCCCTCGCAATTCGTGAACTAAAGTGGGCACAAACGATTCCAGGTAGATCTACAATGATCACACCGCAATGCCACAACCAAGTCCTTCTTTGCTGTTTTCAGAGTTTTCGTCTTTTCAAAACTCTGAGGAATGGCAAAAATGGACTGGATTCTATCATTGTTGTGTGTGTACATGTACTGAGTCTCATGCGAACTGTGAACTATTCCGCACATAGGCATAGGTGCATATCAGGGAGTCGTACAATCAGGAGAAGGCACGGCTGTCTCTCTCTCTCTCTCTCTCTCTCTCTCTCTCTCTCTCTCTCTCTCTCTCTCTCTCTCTCTCTCTCTCTCTCTCTCTCTCTCTCTGTCTCTCTCTCTCTCTCTCTGTCTCGCTCCTGAGCTTTGCCGAAGGCGTACGGTGTCACAATAGTGAAAGGTTGCTGGACCCTGGCTTGGCCAGACATATGACATCACCAATATGTCACTATTACGTCACACATCTATAGCAAAGACTAAGTAAGGGATTGATATTGTACCAACCCCATGAAAATGAGCACACTCAACCTGTAGTCACTATACTAGTTCAAAAAAATATTTAGCGACGTCACAGAGGCATTCCCTCAACTTCAGGGCTCACAGTTGCGTAGAAAAGCGTCGATTAGATGGGGGCGGTGCACGTGCTCCAAAATGCCAGCTTGGCCAATCAGCAGTCAGCATTTCGTCGCATTTTTGCTCGAAGTAGGGGGTGTTTGAAGGAGTTAGCAGCACTTCAGCCAGGTTCTACGAAGTTGGGACTTGGCCCAGGCACAGATGACAGGTGTTCCAAAAGATTTACCGAAACAAATTTTCATTACTCACACGGGTATGCCAGAGCATATGCGTAAACTTCGTGAGATATAGTACAGCATTCGAAAGGAGTATCCAAAAACGTCTCGGTAAATTTCTTTGCCAGGGTCTCCTGAAAATTTTGAGCCATAGATTGTCCAAATCGACCAAGGGGGAGATGCTCTGTACTGATTTTAGTAACCCCGAGTCCCAGCGGCGCGCAACCGCTTGCGCGAAAATGTGTGAAGATCAAACAACAAGAAAAACGCATGCATGCAGCAGAACAGCAACGCGTGCCGTCGAAGAGAAAATCATTGTGCACAGATTGTTCAGTGTTCTCTCCTCAGTTCGCCCGCGGCGTTGGTTGCTGTGCTTTCATTCTCGCTGGAGTTCTTGTGGCAGCGCATTTCGCCATCATGGAGGAACTGGCACCCTGGGAAACCTGGTCTTCAGTGGCCCTCGACAAACGCCCGGTGGATTTGCTGGTCCCGATCACCTCCATCCGATCACCAGCTCCGTGTGGTATCATCATGTTCTCGGCGTTAACTGCCTGGCGAGCTCTGACTCGTTTGTGTGTCTTCTTACCTGTGGAATCATCACGATCGCTCATTGTAGGATCAGCTTTTGGTCGAACATGGCATGTTGTTTTTACTGGGACTAGCACAGGTTGCGTTTCGCCTTCTCCTCCAAAATATCGCGAACATCGGCTCTAAAACTACGAGAAAAGGCTACAAGTACAACTCAGGTTCTTTCTCTTCTCTGTTCTGTTTTGGATGCGTGGGATGTACACGATCGGTACTCTCCCGGGGTCACGCGACTCACGTGCACCAAACCCGCCCTCGCACGACGCTTTTGTCGATCCTGCATGCCTACTGTGAGCCCTGAACTTCCACTGGGCGAGAGTAAAATACAGATAGCAGTAGACACGATGATCCTGCTGGCACTAGTTTGTGAAGTGAGTTGGATAGTGGGTCAAGAGAATGATGTACCAAATGAACTGAAGTGGATAGTGAAAGAATGATAGTTGTTTGTTAGTACATGTGTGCTGCGAATCGAGTGGGCCTTAGCTCTAGGTGGCCATCCGCAAATAAACTAAAGCTGCATACTGCATAGCGCAATACCTGAAGCAGTGGAGCTCCTTGTTTTAGCACACGTACCTTGACCATTGAGCACAGAAGACATGCTCTAAGATTCCTCAGCTCCTTCGGGACGCTGTCCAACGACATGACTGTTGTCACCGGCTACACTATCGTCCGGCAGGGGAACCTGGCGACCACACCGACACCTATCACGCTCAGAATAAACTGGATGCGCTGCACCAGATGACCAAAACAACAAAGTTGATTGCTCACTTCCTCAAATATTCTCTTTTCGACTTGTCTTGTTCAAAAATGATCAGCCAGTTGATGATTGTCGAGTGCAAAATTTCCATCGCTTGATTTTTGTGCTCCCTGAGGACGAAAAATATTCGAGTAATCGCCATATTTGCTGTGGTAACCATTCATTGGCATGGAAAACCGGCGGAATTCGAAGAATTTCTGGCTCTTGACTTGATTCGACACGCCCAGCAGACGTGTTTGCGCTCAACTCGCGCCATTTTCTCTAATTTTGACTTTGCTCACGCTGTAAATCTCAACTCAGTCGACATCCAAATGCATGCCCGATTCAAAAGCATCTCACTGATCACGCACATGGCCAAAATGGGCAAGTCAAACTCGAACTCGAAGGCCGGATCGCCAAAGACGTGAAATACACGTACACGTACATGCATGTGCATGTGCATGTACATGACTTGCAGGACAGAAAATAGATTGCAGAGATCGAGAAGAGGCTTCTTTTTGTAAGCGTCGTGGAGCGTGTACCTTCTTCTCTCATACTGTTCTAGTCGTGTTGGGCAAACAGGTAGGAGTGGAGCTGAGTTCTGGTGCTGCACTTGGCGATTGGCTCGGCGTGCAAGTTTGATTTCGTGAGCACGTTATTCTCAGCGTTTGATTTCCCATTGAAATCATCGTGAATTATTATTTGGTGTAGGGCGAACAGGCCCCATAAGAGGACGGAAGTAGGCCGAAATGGACGATAATATGGACTGCAACGAAGAGGTGGAAGTGGTGGAGCTGGATGAGAACGACCCCAGAGGTGAGCTTTTGCGTTACGGGCTTTTTTGTGTCTGGCTATTTTGCTTTTGAGGACATGGTCAACAGTTTATTGTTTTTGGTAAAGTATGAATATCTCGAAAAAGAGGGATTGTGTTGTTTCCGACGATGTGTATACGTTCTATAGATCTAGTACACGACATATCATTCTCAAATCTTGCGTAGATGAACTGCACGCGCGCGCCCATCCAGTGTGGCTAAATGTGGCTTTGCTTGGGCCTGGAGGGTTGCTGGGAGTTCACGAAGTAATTGAATTATCCTGAGTGAGAGCTAGGGCAGGCTTTCATGCTAGCAAATGACGTCATCCCTATTGAGATTATGGCGTACTAGTGGCACTACTGCTGCACCCACCTCTAGTCTGGCCCTGTTGTGCAGTGTAGTTCTGGCTGGATGCCTAGTTCAAATGCATAGTTTGAATGCTCTGGTGAGGCGTTGTGAGTCCCAGCAAAGAAATTTATCAAGCACCAATGCATTCCGCTTGTACAAGATGCAGCAGCCGTCCGACTCTAGTGTGGTGTGCTGGTGTTTGCTTTGATATATCAGGGTTGTTCCTGCCCAGCGTAAGTGCAGATTGATGGGCAGATAAGACGCCTAGAAAGTTATGGCGGTGGAGAGCACCAGTCGTGCATTGCGGTGCACAGGATGATATTGAAGCATGTCCCCTCCCCCCTCCCCCAAAAAAACCCACACACATACACATTGTGAGGTTGTTCGAACTCCAAGCCGTAGCTTGAATAGGTTTCTTCTATTGGAAATCGGCCGTGCCTAGTGGAATCCAGCAGCATGTCTCCAACCTTCTTACTGTAGTATCAGTGAGTGATGTGTTCCTGGTCGTCGTTTGTGCATGGTATTGGGAATGCATGAGAATGACACCTGCAGTCAACCTCATGAATAACGACCCCGGGTATGTATAACAACAACTCGAGAAAAACGACACAATCTTCGGACTTGGTGACCATTTTGACTGCATACTTTGAGCCTCGCGGGCAAAGACAACGTGCGAATAACAACACTCTTCGCATGCACAATCCAGGGTTGTTATACGCAAGGCTGACTGTAACTGGCTAGGCCATGTAACGTAAAAGTGATGTTTCCCTGTGCTACCGTATGCCACTAACTTATGCAATGGCTGTGTCTGTCGACTGGTCCACAGTACTGTCGAGCGCCGAAAAACGATGCGCTGAAGCACGAACAGGCTGGAATTTTACGGATACCCGTCCGTACATGGTGGCTCAGCTACGAATATATTTCTACATGAAATAAGATCAGCCTAGGCCGGGACTCTCAACACACAGTTCTTTGGCACCAGGCAGTACTGTAGTACGATGAGACTCTGAGTAGCAGTCGAAAACGATTGCATCGCCACTGTTGAATTGTGTTAAAAGCTTGGCTAGTGTTTATGTTAGCCGGTCCGCCGTGCTTGGTGTATGCATGTGCTAGTTTGTGAACTGGTCTGAGCATTGCACGGCTGTTGATGTGTTGGTGGGCACTGGCATGGCATTATGTAACACACCCGCTGTATGTGTGTGCCATTGCTCAAAGCCAAGCATGTGTACATGTACTATTCTGAGCTGTAGTTCACAGAGTGCCAGATACTTAATGTCAAGACATCCTTGCGCTGTGGGCATTGAACATAGACGGAAGATGGGGCGTTGTAATTTTCAGTTTCACGCCCCATACCAGTCTTGAACACTAACACGATACGTATATCGACTGTAGGAGCAAAGGATGGCAGTGGGGTCCATCTACAGTATTGAATGTAGCACAGTAAATGTAATATTAAAAAGCAGTGCTGGTTTTGTGGGTTCATTTCCCACCTATTTCCTGCGCCCATCAATGCAGCTACTCCTGGTTTGGGCGTGTGCTACAGGCAGTACTAACCATTTTGTGGTGCAACTGCAATGCAATGTTTCCAATGGGCTTTCCTTTGTCTTTCCTTGCTGATTTGATTGTTTAGTATTGGGGTGTAATTATGGGCTTTTCCTGAGTGCCCCATATCCGTATCCCCACTGCATGCCTGCCTGGTTTCCCAGTCATGTCAGGGTGTGGGCTATAATTATATCCACTTTTCAGGCCAGGCCATGTTGGTACATGTAGCTGGGTCATGGCTTTAATGTAAACTTGAGTGCCACCCTTGTCCACTGAACAGTCAGTGCCTGTACATCGGTGTGGCTACAGAGTGCAGTGCAGCACTCGCCTGGTACGTTGTGCTCATGATCTGTGTTTGTGTGTATGTATGGGTGTGGGTTTGGATGAAATGGAACAGTGTGCATTATTGTACTTGACTACTTTTACAGTGGCTGCTGTGTTTGGTGCCTGGGCAACCCTGTACTGTGTCTGTGTGTGTGTATTTGTGATAAGCAGCCAAAGTAATATGAATTGGATGTGTATGCTGCTCTGTGTGTTTCAGGAGTACCAAATAGGGATACGTAGACTGTAGGGGGGGGGGGGGGCATTCAGTTGGTAATAAGCCTGACTGTGCCTTGATCCTTGGGAGTAGAGGCGTACCTACGGAAAAGTCTACTCTGCCGCACGCCATTTTTGCCACGTGGCATTCTGTTATTGAGTGGTTTCACAACTTTGTCATGCGACTTAATTTCGTGTAGGAAGTGATCATGGCATATGGATGGTGGACCCGGTATGGCCAACGACATCATGTGGCCCATTGATGCAGGAGTTGAGTGGAGTTCATACCAACATGGCTGTCCCGTATGGTCATGTGATAGATGGGAAACAGCTCTGTAGTCATGTAGTCATAATTATAGATGCATGAGAATGATGTGCCCATGCTTCATTGTGGTCGTATTCGAAATTTGTGCATGTGTGGGTGTGTGTGTGTGGGTGTGCGTGTGCGTGTGTGTGTGTGTGTGTGTGTGTGTGTGTGTGTGCCTGTGTATGTGCCTGTGTGCAGTATCTGCCCTGGATGAGATGGCAGACAACGCCAGCCTGGAGGGACAGCTGGACGAGAGTGACTACGTTGAGGAGCAGCAGGATGCGCAGAATGAGCCGAGCCGTGATGACGCCAGCGTAGTGTTCTCAACACATACAGGTAATGCATGTGTAGGGCTCTACATGATCTCTTCTTTTCAGAGTGGTTGTTGTTTTTTAATTCTTTATTCTCACGATGGCACCATCGCCAATAAGAGGTTTTTTTTGTTTTTTTTGAATTCTTTATTGTCACGATGGCACCATCGCAAATAAGTGTTGTTGTTGTTGTTGTTGTTGTTGTTGTTGTTGTTGTTGTTGTTGTTGTTTGTTGTTGTCACCCGATTCCAATGTTGACATTGAGTATCTAATATCCGTAGGCTTACTTCTTCCGGAAACGAAAACACTGTGACCCTTTTATTTGCCTATTCTGAAGTTACTGTCCTCAAGAAATGTGGATCAGTGAACAAAACACTTCAAGGCCATGAGTAGGTATACTTCTTTGAAGTGTATAGTGTACTATGTACACAACTATACGAAAGAACTAGGTACCCTTTGAGTCTCACACGGTCTCATCAACGCTAGGATTCCCAGAGCTCAGTGCACCAGAACGGGCAGATCGATCAAAGTCAAGAAGTTTTTTTCCCCCAGAAGAATTACTAGTGTATGAACTAAGCATGTGCGTATGCATAATACTTCATTGTCATTCCTCTGTAGAATACATGCTTCATCATTTAGACCTTCGATGAGTCGCCCTCATCTGCTCGATGTGTAACATCTGTTGTAGTTTGCTGATGCCCACAACAACCACAACTATCCAACCATGCAATGCAATGCAATGCAATGTAACCGTTAAAAGACCAAGACGATCAACAGCAAACTACAACAGACGTTTTAAAACATTTAGACTTTTTTATCTTTAAAACTTGCTCTAGTCTGATTTGGTTCTGTGCTTACTATTTTGGTTTGTGCCGCGTACTTCGCAGGGTCCGTATTCTCAGTGGATGTCAGCAAAAACGGACAGTACGTGGCCAGTGGTGGCGAGGACGACCTAGCGTACCTCTGGCAGATCCACAACGGCAACACCATCATGAAGTGCTGCGGTAAGGACTGACTATGCCGATCAACATGAGATTTGTTGCCGTTGTTCCGTTAACCCGTGCCCGATGTGCGACAATCGAGGGCAGTATTTTGGATTTGAGGTTTCAATTTATGGACAGAGTGCATGCACTGTTAGCATGTCTTACGAATGTTTTGTGCAGGGAACTAGGGTTTGTGGGAGGGTTACGGAGAGAGTTGAAAGCTGAAACGAAACAAGTTCATCATAGGTGCTTTTTCAACCTCTCCATTCGCGCTGAGCCACCCTAGCACAGCCGATTTGAACTCAATGGTAAACGATCGGCTTTCCGTAGTCCACATAGATTAAAAAGGAAGACACGGCTAGAGTACAGGATGCCCTTCAAACATGAGCTTGTGGGTTTGATTCTCAAATTGTGTGGAGATGATTACTACCCCCGAAAGACCCTGAATTGCATACCTGACTTCGGTTGGGGAGGCAAAGGCGACCGGGGGGGGGGGGGGGGAGATAAGCACCGCCCTTGTTACGCCGAGCTAATTTTTTACATTAGGTCTCTGCCATGTCTTGCCCCTACGATCAGAATTGACTATAGGCTACCTTGACCTTGACCTTGCTGCGCACCTCTGACTCTTGCCATGTATCTGTTGCAGGCCATAAAGACTCAGTATCGTCCGTAGCCTTCAACCACGACAGTAGTTTGCTAGCGACAGCTGACGTTGCCGGCAATATCAAAGTCTGGAAGCTGCCGTCGGCAGTGTTGTACTGGTCAGAAGATAGCAATGGAGTAGATCAGGAGGTAAGCCTGCTGTTGGTGGTGCTGCTGCTGATGATGATGAATGGGGCCCGGGCGCAACGTTGCTCCTGCTGCATAGTATCAAGTCAGAAACCTTTCTGGTTTTTTTAGGTGTGTGTGTGTGTGTGTGTGGGGGGGGGGGGGGAGGGGTGCTTTCAACACGTACATTTGCACGAGATGGCTAGTGTCTATTACTGGTGTTGGTTGCATGCTATTTTACATCAACAACCACACCATTACTGCGCTCTCCGAATGCCGAATGCTGCTGCGTACCCTTCCTGATCGCATTTGATTGTTCTTTTTTGTTGACTTGTAAGTGTAGTTGCCTGGAGTACCAGAGCTAACCATATGCCGGGCTGTAGTGTGTGGCAGTTCTTACCTACCTGTTTCGATTTTATTTTGTCTTGTATGATTTATGGATGACAGAATGGCAGAAGTGAAGCAAGGCCATTGAGCTATCTCTCTGTCTGTCTCTCTCTCTCTCTCTCTCTCTCTCTCTCTCTCTCTCTCTCTCTCTCTCTCTCTCTCTCTCTTCCTCTCTTGATTTCATTCTGTTTCTTTTTCTGTTTCTGCCATTCCTTCAGTGGATATCTTGGCATCCGTTTGCCAATGTTCTCGGCGCTGGCATCAATGATGGTGTGGTATGGATTTGGCAAGTACCCTCAGGACGATGCAAGACGTATCTTGGTAACAACTCCCCAACTCTATGTGGACACCTGATGAATGATGGTACGGAAATATGGACTTATGCACCTGTAGTCCTAGTGTTTAACTTGCCTTTTCTGTTCCACTTATCTCCCACCATATGAAAGGCACCGTAACCAATAGATGTGCCAGTGCACTCATCGGTGGACTGACGTGTTTGATGCAAGTAGATCAATGCTTATCTAGAACGTGTAGCGTTTCAGCCATGTCACAATTGCTTGAGGCTTATTGGGCTCGGTACGTCTCGTACTTGATAGGGATTGGAGACCGTGGAGTTCTGGACAGGGATGTGTAGTGTTGTGTACTGCTATACCGAACTAACCATGTCTCTGGACATTTGAGTAATGTGGCCATTGGTCTGGCTTTATCTGACTGCTTTGCTACCCTGGCCTTCTTGATACGGAGAATACATGTGAATAGGGGCTGCTTTTGCTCCGATCACATCCCCAATTCCAGTTGTGTCCGTCCTCTGTAGAGCAGGGGGTTCACGTGTTTCCGGGAATGCTACTTGTAGTTTCATCCCCCTGCTCGGCCTGGTTTACCAAGTGTATTGTTTCCATGACACTTGTGTGTGCGTGTGTGTATGGTGTGTTGCAGGAGCACATGCGATTGCTGGGTACAAGGATGGCACTGTTCGGGTATGGGATATGAAGAACAACACACCCATGGAACTGAAAGGTAACCTGTGTGTGTGTGTGTGTGTGTGTGTGTGTGTCTGTGCGTGTGTGCACGTGTAAGAAAAGTTACATAACTGGCTGTTCTGCTTTTTTAAATGTCTTGCAATTTGGAATGTTGATTGTTCTTTTCTGTGACCTGCTTTCTTCTCGTTGTTCAGTTTCTGCACCGACTGTAAACGTACTGAGCGTGGCATCACTTATCATCACCGACGAGGAGGACAAGCCAACGTCACTGAACCCCGTGGTGAAGGCGGCTGCGGGCTGCGAAGACGGCACCGTCACAGTCTTCCATCCAGGCAATGGAAAAGTGAGTGCTCCTTTTTGTTTGTTCAGTATTTAAAGCGTAATTTGCTCTATTTATGCCATCATGATAGATGAAGAATGAAAAAGGAGGATACTTTCCCACCAGCAGAAGTAAATGTTTGAGAATGATCTCACAGGCTTGCTGGAAATTGACTTGTAGTAGAGTGGGTGCCGGTTGCATCATTTAATCTCTGATTGTGAGGACTGGCCACTACCGACATTAGTGCTCGGAAGTGTCTTTACAACGGTACAGACCGTCACCAGATCACAGAGCTAGGGAGAATAGGGGTACACTGGTCAGACAGATGTGCAATGAGACCCTATTCACAACTCTCTCTCTCTTTCTCTCTCTCTCTCTCTCTCTCTCTCTCTCTCTCTCTCTCTCTCTCTCTCTTTCTCTCTCTCTCTCTCTCTCTCTCTCTCTCTCTCTTTCTCTCTCTCTCTCTCTCTCTCTCTCTCTCTTTCTCTCTCTCTCTCTCTCTCTCTCTCTCTCTCTCTCTCTCTCTCTCTCTCTCTCTCTCTCATCGTCTTCTTCTCCACCACAGTAGTCATAGTTTTCTCGTTTGCCTGACTGAACAGATAGCACTGCTTGTTCACCGGGAGCTCTTCAGACTTCTGCTGGAACCGTCCTGGATTGTGTGATTTCAGTCTTGCCTATGCTGCGTTGGTCTTCTTGGTCAGTCTACATGTACTGACATGCATTGCCATGTTTGTTCATGCATGCGTACGTCTCGGTGTGTATGTGTGTGTGGCGTGGGTGGCTTGCTTTTTTCTTGTCCTATCTGTTTGCTTGCCAGCTTTTTGCGCGTCTGCAAGCAGGCTTTGCAACGTCGGACGACGGATCGTGTGGCATTGAAGCCATGGTCTTCTCGCCTCAGTGAGTCCCGTACCAATATTGTGTCGAGCTGCCCTGTATCTTGCTCCACCGTTGCCAATCCGTGTTTGCTTTGTGCCCATATATTGTACGCATAGATAGCATGAATCATGCTGTGGTTACTGATGTAACGATGAGCACAAGACTGGAGTGCTGTAACCAAGGCAGTGGCCACAGTGTGCGAGCAGTGTGCTAAGCACTTTGATGCGTGTGTGTGTGTGTGTGTGCATGTGTGTGCTCGTATGTTTGTGTTCGCGCATGTGTGCGTATAATTATGGTTGTCCACATGTGGTTGTCCGCACAGAGACGGTCAGTACCTGGCAACAGCCTCTCTTAGCGGCACAATGGCTGTGTGGGACATAGCACGTCAGACGGCAGTGTACACGATGCCCCATCCGGTAAGTCCACGGTCCCTTCATCTACGTATACAGTGCAGTGGATCTGCCATTACAGTTAAACCTGTGACTAGCGACCACCCCTTGGGGCCAGAGAAAGCGGTCTTTAGTGGCAGGTGGTCCTTAGTTAGAGGTTTGCACCGCACGATCATATGAATGTGAGACCGTCCGTGCCTGGCAAAGTGGTCTGTAGTACCAGGCTGGTCGCTAGTCACGGTGGTCTTTACTTACAGGTTTTACTGTATTTGCATCAGACCAAGACATGATATGGTTATAAGGGTGATACTGTTACCGCATGTATGTGCATGGGTAACTACTAACTGGATTGTTTCATGTATATACTGTATGGCATATTGCATGATTTTTCATCTTGTACACTCTTTATAACGTCAAGAACGCTCGTCCTGCATGAATGCTCTATGCAGTATGCGCATACCGTAAAATCCCGCCAGAGCGCCCCTACCTCCGCCGCCCTTCGAGTAGGTCCAGGTGGGGAGGGGCGGATGGGCGAATCCTACTTACCGCATTCAGTACTAAATTAAAAAAAGTACTCACCCTACGAAAACTGTTCGTGCATCTCGCACACCGACCAAAGGTCAAGAGCCACGAGTCGTACTGACCCATCAAAACTCAGGGTTTGTGCGATCCCTGGTCAAGAGGGTGGGCACGGTTGCGTACATTTCCAACGGGTTCGAGCACTGCAGTACAGTACGGCATCACAGAGTCATACGAGGATACAATCAATCACTTCCCTGACAAGAAGTCAGGGAGGGGCGGATGGGAGAGACAGGGCGCTCTGGCGGGATTTTACGGTGATTATGCACTCTTGTATCACCTGCACCTGGCGTGCAGAAAATGATGCACATTGCTCGCCAATCATTGAGCGCGTTCGATTACACACATTTCGGTCTATTCTAGAATTACATGTAGTTATGGTGGATGCACCGTACGATTACACAAATTCCAATTCCAAGTCCGTTAATTCTGACGAGAGGGCGAAATTGCTAATTCTCCCACCAAAATTGATGCACTTGACGTACACGCCATGCTAGGTCCACGTGCGCGCGAGGGTGTACGGGATCGCACATGATCCCTTTTTACGATTTTACGTGTAGCCACCCAGGTTATCTTCGACAGGGCATTATTCCACCTGTGCTGTCCTCGTACTTAGCAGATGAAGAAGCCTCAGTCATAACAAGAGGACATGAAAAACAGAGTATGCAGCTTGGGGCCTTTTCTGCTATGGGTGTCTGTCATGGCGGAATTCCGTGATTACATCATATTTGGCGCAGATCTGAGGCGGGAAATGGCGTAGTGCGTACAACTGAGCTGCAGTTGTGCAGAAAGAGACCTGCTTGAATCCTGCGTGTACGCACTACATCACTAAAATGATGTAATCACGGAATTCCGCCGTGACAGCCACCCATCCGAGCTGCACACTCTGGTTTTCATGTACTCTTGGTCATATCATAACAATTACAAACAGGGAGTCGTCAAAAATATGACTCCCAGTATACAACTGCAGGGGAGTTCCTTTTCTCTGTCATCAGCCAAAGTAAATCTTCGTTAACTTGTGCTCTTGGCCTTGGTATTTGCATGAGCTCCCATAGCTCAGTCGGTTAGAGCGTCGTGCTAATAACGCGAATGTCGCAGGTTCGAGCCCTGCTGGGAGCACGCTCTTTTTTTTCTTTTTTTCTTCTTCAATACAGTTGTATGAAACTGGAATAGGGAGCGTTGGTGTCTGTCTCCTTGTGTGTTTTCTCCTGTTGACTCATAAAAATCTTTTTCTTTGTTTTGACTCTGAAAATCTCCGTTTCGACTCGGAACTCTGTCTGTGCTCTGCTCCGCACGACAATCTGTGTTGGCAAGAGATCTTGTTTTGTTGACGAAATTCTCTAATTTGTCTGTGCGTTTGTTTGTTCAGGCTAGCGTGATTAGAATCCGGTGGATGCCCCAGAGTGTGTTTGTAGTGTCGGCATGTCTCGATGGCATAGTGCGCGTATGGGATGTTCGCTCTGGACAGTGTGTGCGCGACTACCTGGGACACCGGGACGACATCCTCGACATGGTGCTGTCCGAGTAAGTGCAACTGGTTGTGCTCTGTCGTACTGCTCTGTAGGAACATGTACTAGTATGTCCTTGTGTGTGTGTGTGTCACTGTCTTTCTCTCTCTCGCTCTCTCTCTCTCTCTCTCTCTCTCTCTCTCTCTCTCTCTCTCATGATCTTTCTTTCTTTCTCTCCCACTCTCCATTTCTCTCTCCCTATCTCTCTCCCACTCTCTCTCTCTCTCTCCCCCTCTCCCCCTTTCCGTTTCTCTATCTCCATCTTTCTACTTGGTCCACCCAGTTAAAATTGGCGCTTATCTTCTCACTTGGTTTTTTGGTGTTCTGCCTGTGCCACACGGCATGGAACCACCGATTCACCATCCGAACATGACCATTGACCATTGCATCCGACGACATGGCAGCACAAACCATCACAGAAGTTGCGATCGGTTCGTTTGAGTCTTTTTGACGGAGCTGCCGCCGACGAACACTTCCGTCAGCGCAAGAAAACACTGCAACCTCCGCTCGAGTCCGTAAAATAGGTCAGGATGTTCGCTTTTCAGAGCGATGGAGAATAGAGTTTCTGTCTACTTCCAGCTGTCTGATGGCAAGGATTGTTTACCCCGGGGAGGTATAGAAAAGCTGAAAAAGCGCTTCGCGAGCTTGAATTTCAGTGCTTGCCCAGTACAGCGCCTAGTGAAGGGCTATCACCAGCAAATCGCTGACGAAGAAACTGCAGCTCATGTCGATGTCTCCAGTAAGTGAGACCAATCCGGCGGACACACTTTGAAGCTCCCAGAGGACAGGGCAAAGGAGTTAATCAAAGGAAACACCAAGTCCTGAGAGAAACACTGGTGCAAAGGACTTTCAGGAAACTAGCCGAAAAGCCTGGTGCACGGCGTTGTAGGTGCAGTACGCACAGGTGCTACATCAAGCGGAAGCTATCACTGCGCTGCATGTACAAGCACCAGCGGCTCGCGTGGGTACGGGTGCTGATCAGCAAGTACGACAAGCGCAAGAGGCGATTTGAAAAAAGGACACTGATATGGCGTTGCCTTTTTGTCTCAAACAAAGTCGCATTATTGCGACGAACGGGGATAACACTTACAGTCAACATGCGAGCAGTCTCACTCAGCTTCTGATGGGAAGGTGACAGGCACGCACTGCCTTTGAGCGTGATTCGAGACGAGGAGAAGTGGAACAAGCTATGAAACGACCCGTGCAGCAGCTGTCCGGATCGTACGTTTTGAGCTCTTCCTCCAGTGACGATAGTGGCGAGGAGGATGTGTAACTTGCTTGAATTTTCGACTGAGCTGCTTACTGACATGTAAATAATCATGTATATAGTGCTTTGTGATCGTGGCTTGCTTCAAATACTCGTATTTCTTTCCTGAGACAAGTGTGAAGATAAGCGCCAATTTTAACTGGGCGGACCAAGTATATGTTGTCTTTCTTCAAGGCTTGCTGCCAATTGTGAATTTGAGCTGTTGTTGTGTTTGCTTTCTCTCTTCACATGTCTGTGCAGCACAAGTAAAGCCGTTGTGTCAGCGTCATCGGACGGAACCGTACGTATCTTTTCGCTAGCGTAATGTCTACTGTACAGGACTCTCCCTTCTGGCTTGCTGCTGACGGACCATACCCCGGGGATTGGCAATCCTCAAAGCGTTTGCTGTGGATCATGGCACTAACTTGAGTGAGCGGGCGTATGACTTTGTCGTCTGTCCTGGGCTGACGGGCCCAGCTGGGCTTAGATAACGCCTCTGCCAGTATCCAACGCTGTGATGTACAAATACATGCTCAGACTGCTCCGTCGCTGTGCTGTACGCGTCGCTCAAACTGCGCACGATGGCGCTGCTCATGCACCGGCTGGCGAGGAGAAGAAGAAAACTATCCAACTTGCTGCGCATCAATGCGATCGCTGCTGTGATCTGAGTCCCGCAAGCTTTCCAGCGGTAGCCAGCTGAATCTCTAGCTTGTCTCGTCTGCTTCGTCTTGTGGACTCTAGTACTCGCCGATAGCATGATGTAACAAATCTAAATTGACGTCGCAATCTTTTATTATACTTCAGTAGGCTTTCCGGACTTCAGATTAGCTTGGTTCTTTCTAGTGCCGTCTAGTGCGTCTCGAATCGACTGGACACCGAGAGATATTGATATGTGTTGCTTACATGCGCGTGCGTGAGTGATCATAACAGCGTTCTGCTTCTAACCAATCAAGGGTCTCCCAAGAGAATTTCCACCCGTGCATGTGTATATGCTACTGCTGTGCTCAAGCGTAGGCGAAGATGTGTGCGAATTGTCTAGTCAGTCTTCCGATATCATGCAACTGCTTTCTAAATCTCTCTGTAACGTTATTCTCATCATCTTCTTTAGACTAGACCCTCTCTGGTCGTGATTTATGTTCTGCGGAGCTGGAAATTTTTACACGGCAAGTGCCTCTCACCCCGGAGGTAAAGCTTTATCAATTTGTTGTGTCTCTCTGGCTGCTGTGCGCTGTGAGGTGGTGTTGCTGTCTTGCTTGGCAGCGGTGGTGTTGGCAGGGGCTGTGCTTCATGCTGAGGCAGAGTGTGTGGCGTCCGCCGCTACTCTTCTCGTATTTCGATAGCGCCATGTGGTGTAGCACACACACACACACACACACACACACACACACACACACACACACACACACACACACACACCTGTCCTGTCCTGTCGACCCACTGCCTTAAAGGTTACGTGGTCCCATTGCGGGAGGAGGGAGAGGAGCAAACACGCCGGTGCCGGGTCAGGTCCCTGGACTGCCGAAATCTCCGAGAGCAGTGCTGACACATTACCGGTAGTGGAAACTTGGCACGTTCATCCGTTGTTGGGCGGTTCTGGCGAGGTCTACAAGGAGCGGAAGCGGGCTGGCTAGCGATTGAGGCAGGCTGACACCTGTGCACAGCGAGTCCACCCCTGCTACGGTACCATCTCCCACAATCCGCGCATTGACATGCACCACGCTGCTGATGGACTGGCTTGCGACGCTCCGCTGTGCACTTGTGGCGCTTAAGATCACTTGGTCTAGAGCAGACCTTTCCACAGGTGGGGCACTCAACGGGGGCTGCTGCGGCCAGTTCCTTATCCTGGTCTTGGTATCTACATCGCCATTCCACGCGAGATGTGTTAGCGGTCTGGTACCAGTTCACAATTTGGTTATGTCGAAGATCGACCGACACGCAGTCCTTCCACCGTTTCCTTGGTCCATGGGCAGGTCTGACAGGTGGGAGCTGGCCAAACAGAAGGCACTTCGGCATGCGGGTGTCATCCATGCGCGCCAGGTGACCTAGCCACTCTAGCCGACGATGCCGAAGCTTACAGGTGATGGTCTCCGGATCGCCCCACATACGCAATAGTTCAGCATTGCTGATGTGGGCATCCCACATCTGCTGTCTCGACACACCAAGGATAGAGCGGACGCAACGCATATGGAAGGTGGACAGGCGTTGCAAGTCGCCCTGAAGGGGGACCCAGCACTCAGAACCGTATAGTAGTAAGGACATGACACACGCGTTGAAAACACACCTCTTCAAGAACACAGGAAGCTGACCATTGGCAAATACAGGGCGCTGTAAAGCACCACAGGCCTTGGAGGCACTCGCAATGCGGGCGTTGACGTCCACTGCCGAACGGCTGTTGCTGGCGATAATGGAACCCAGATACCTGAATTCAGCCACATTCCTGATCCCAACATCCGCCAGCGTGAGTGGGACACAGTCTGCATCTTGGATGTTGCTGCCGCACACCATGAATTGGGTCTTGGTAGTGCTGACAGTCACACACACACACACACACACACACACACACACACACACACACACACACACACACACACACACACACACACACACACACACACACACACACACACACACACACAACATGGTATGCACCCACGCACGCCACGCACACACACACACGATCCCCGTGCGGGGCACGACGTGGACACAGCACGGTCAAGCACCACAGGCACTACTACTGCATGAGCCTGCGAAACAGTCCATCCCTACCTGTAGCTCTAATCGCCCGGGTACTTCATAGAATCAATGACTAGGATTCTGGCTTCCTTCCTGTCCATTCTCTGTCTGAATTAGGGAACATCAATCTAAAAAATTATCCAAGGAAATGACCAATGCCAACATTCACACGCAGTCATCATCTGGCACAGTATGAATAGAATTGATTGGGTTCTGTTGGCAGCAACAGTGACCATGATGACATGCAAGACTAAAAATACCACGAGCATACTCTGCATTGCCGTGCATGGTCTAAAACTATTAGTAGTACATGTACTGGTGTAAGGAGAAGTGCACCTGACCTGGTTAGAAGTCTTGAACTGACATGGGGAAGCTGAACATAAGTTATTAAACTGCAACCACCATCGCTTAGTCGCCCAGTTTTGCCTTTTAGTAGTGATGCATTACATTGTATTAGAAGTTCTCTGGTCTATCCCCATATCCAGACATACCCACACACATGCACACTAACGTTTAGAAAAAATGCCAACCATGATTGTATTGTGCTGTGGCAGAATGCTAACCAGGTTCAGGGGAGACTTTGCTTTGGTGAATTTAAAATTGTGTTGTCGTAGCAGATATGTCCGTACTACAGTCCATTCAGAAAAAAATGAACTTCTAGCTTTTGGCCATAAATGGGTCAAACGTTGAGTTTTTTTAGAATTTTTTTCTGCAATCCCATATGGAATCCTCTTCCAATTATGTTTCTGAAGTTTTTTTGTCCAAAAAGCAAGCCATAGCAAGAATAGGATTTCGGCCAGGTTTTGCCCCAAAAGCACTGAATTGGGAAAAACCATCAAAATCCAGGCCGTTTGACCCCGCCTGCAACAGTGCATTCTGCGGTTCGAACCCCAGTTCAGGCACCCTTTTTGGACCCTTTTTCAAATTTCAAAGTTCGCAGCACTGCACTGTGTACGATGAAATCACGAAAAATCGCCAAATACGGGAGCTCGCCAGAGCCAGGACCCAACTTTTTATGAATGGACTGTAGTACTGGTTCCTTTCCTTGCAAATTAAGGCATTTATGGTCAGGAAGTCATGCCCAAGTACATAATAGTCTTTATTAATTTTCAGGATTACCCAAAGGCTAACGCCTATCTGGGGGATCTCCTATTTGTGTATGTACTAGTTACATAGTTTTAAGTACAATGTCATGTACATGTAAATCACCGCCTTTCCAGCTTGGGCTGTTGAAGTACAGTACAGTATTTTTGAAGTGGGCCGCGCCGTCTTCTGTGTGGATACAGTCGCGGCCAAAGAAATTCGACCCAGGAGCCAGCTGCTCTCGGGTCGGATTTCTTTGGTCACGTCTGTGCGTGTGCATGTATATGTATGCGGCGATTGTCTGGCATGTTGTGAAGGCAGGAAGTTCACCTACAGTTCTGGCCAAAGAAAGCTGACCTCATTATAAAAGAAAGAAAAAAGTAGCTCTATGCTCAAGTGAGCAGAGCGGTGTGAGTGGTGCCAGGGCTGTGTAGCATGGGTTGTCATGCAGATGGTCCGGCCAAATGGATGGTACTTGACAGGAAATGAACATTCTTTAAAATAACGAAATATCCTGTTTTGCATGAGTTTGGGTGGGTCGACTCTTTCGAAATAAGGTCCGGCCATGGCAGGAGTGGATGCTACGGCTCTGTAAGGGTTGATTGTTTATCACAAGGTGCCGGCTTGATAATGATTGTGCTTTCAAGTTTGCATAACTGGTCAACAGCACCATGACTGTACTTTACTTTGTTGTCTTTAGTTGTGCGTTTCCAGACATCTTTCCGTTGCCTTGGTTAATGGTCAGCAGCAGGGGTACTGGCAGATGGTTTTCGGGTAGTTTCCTGGAGATAAACCACCGACTGTTCTTTCTCACTCTAGCTGGTCATCAGTCACCATACTCATCACATGGTCATCACCGAAACTCTCATTCATTCTGCATCTGGTTTACAAATTGTAGTGGCTACACATTTTTAAATTAGTCTCATTCATTACTCATTGTCCATCTGTCCCCTGCAATGGTCTGGTGAAGTCCCGCCAGTGGCAGTGGTCCGCCACTCGCTGCTAGTAGTATGCTACACATGATGACCGACACCGTCATCCCATTCACTCCCGCCCGGGTACCCACCGTCCCAGGCCAGTGCTCGTGGTTGAAGAGGGAAGTGTCATTACAAAATTTAGTATCCAGTGAAGTATTCCAGTCATACTTTCTGGTGATGCTTGGGATGTCGACCCGGCCTAGCAGAAGAGAAATACGGAAGGGACGGTCACCTCGTCACATATAAATGCTCAGCAGCAACATTATAACACCTGCCTTGATCTGGAAATACTAGCAATACCACAAAGGCACAGCCTACCCTGGGCATGCCAACAAGGCAACATTGAATGACTATAGTCACTGTGGTCCGTGGATCATGAGGAAGCAGACGCTGACATAGAACGACATACGTGGCAGTGTAGCAGCTGCTGTTGAATGGCTGTTGATTGTTGAGGAGTGCAAGCAGTGCCAGAAATAGAAGCGTCAAAAAGCTACCGACGCGTCACACATTCTGTGTATAATCTACCTTCACATCGTTGGAGCTGCCGGAGATCCAGGCCCGACTCCACTCGACTGCAGCTTTTTCATGCACACAGAATCTTCTGTCACACAGATCTCTCGTACTTTGTCCTTTCTTCAAGTTTTTTTTTCACATGAAGTGCAAACAAACACCAACCACTCTCGCGAGGATAAAAAATATTATTCACAAAGCCAGGTGTTGCTGCTGCTTCCTGTTTCAGAAATCGCTCTGCCTCAGCAGTACTTGCTGTTATGTAGTACGAACTTGAGGACTGTTACGAGCAGGCAGCAACAGCAACTTGACCATGCCATGCCTATGGCATTGGTTGAATCGGGCTACAATTGGCAATGCGTAGAATATTTTTGTTGACATCTGAAATTCTGTGATTATGGACTTGTGAGAAAGAAGACCGCTGCTGCATCTGTCGTTCTTCGTTTCATGGTGGCCTAGGCGCTATTGCCGCGAGTTGCGAAACAGCGAGAGAAGAGATCAACCGCGGTGTCTCTGTGGCGGCACCGTTGTTCCACGCGTCGGAGTGTTCTGCAATAGCGACAATATTCCCATTGCCAACTGCCTGTGCTCGTCGTGTCTCCGGAAGCGTTTTGGGGAGCTGAGCAAGAGTAGTGAAGGACCGGTTTCGAGCGGAGGAGAGGTAAAGCTGTGTAAGCGAGTTGATAAATATTTTCGAGTGCATCTTGCAACGTGTGTTACACCCGCATCGTGTTATTTAGCCGTCGATAGCCGACTATAATTTTTTTCTCCACCAAAGTTTTTACGGTATCACGCTGGAAAACGTGGCTGTGCTGAACCAGCACACCTTCTGGCTCCTACTGTTTGCAAACAGCGGAGTCTGCTGCAGCGAGTTGTCAGGAGGTGGGCAGCCCACCGTCCGTGGTCCTTCTGCAGGGCCGGCCGTGCACTGTGTGTGTGTACACTGTAGGATTTGTAGCCGAACGGCCGGACTATAACCCAAAATAACTAAGGAGGTGGACTAACACCAAGAGGATGGCTACGGGCTCGCCCTGTGGAATGCAGGGGCGGCGCGTGGAGTACGCGGACTATCGCGACCGCCTGCAGCAGAACCACGATCTGCTGGCGAGGGACCTGGAAGTGGACGAGGTGGTCGACCTGCTGTACGCTCGCGGCGTCTTCACGCTGGACGAGATGGACACCATTCGGGCGCCCGACACACGCCTGAAGCGCACCACTCGCCTGCTAGCGCAGCTGCCCGGCAAGGGCCCGGCGGCGTTTGGCCATTTCCTGGACGCGCTGGAGGAGCCGTTTCCGGACCTGCGCGAGATGCTGCTCTGCGACCTCATCGTCTCGCAGGAAGACCAGCAGAAATACATCAGTAAGTGGTTGAACGTAGCACAGAAATGGTGGCTAATTGAAACACACCTGGCGATGTGGTGGCCAATACGCCAATTGCGCAATGACGCAATTTGTACCATGAACACCCCACACAGTCACCTGGGTATGGTCGTCTGGGGTGTTGAACAGTGCATTGCTGATCCCAGCGTACTCACATAACACCCCACACAGCCATACCTGGGTATGGTCGTCTGGGGTGTTGAACAGCGCATTCATGATCCCAGCGTACTCACATGCATTACTCATACCTTCATATTTGGCAATGCGCAATGGGCTTATACGCGCCTGCCCACACAGCCCTCTCTAAGCTGCAACATTCTGACAAAGAGCGCTCCTCTCACCACCTCTATCTATTCCCACACAATGTGCTCACGCTCTTTATGTACAAACTGAACTATGCACCATATATGCACTTGACCCGCCGGTGTTTATTGTTCTCCAACCGTACGGCTTGTTGTGCATGCTGCTTGCAGGCCGTATACTCACCACTGGCCAAGTTCCAGCACGACCCGAGTACTTTGCTGATCGGCCGGAGGAGGTCCTGAAGGTAGGTTTGAAGCTACTGCCCGTGTAGCAGTCTGCCTCATACCCGTCATACCGAAAATATTGAGCACCTAAAATTTCTGAAATTAGAGTATTCAGTGTCTACTTGGTGGAATACATCGGCTATAGTCGGGCTATAGTATTGGGCGCCTCGTTGAGGTCCCAGTAAATATGCCCTTTTTGTAGCAACAGAAATTGAAAATATTCATGGCAACAGCGAGAGCTCTTGGGTGAAGCTCTGGCTACCCACCTGACTCGCTTTTGCCGTTGCCATGGAGTTTTCAGGTTTTGGAGGTGCCGTTTGGCGGCGTCACCGAAACAGTGCAGGTGGGACCAGGTACCGAGACCTGCAGATGTTTGGTGTTTTTCCCCCAGATATATGGGTAGTGATCACTAATTTCCCCCCTCTTCCCCCCCCCCCCCCCTCCCTCTCTCTCTCTCTCTCTCTCTCTCTCTCTCTCTCTCTCTCTCTCTCTCTCTCTCTCTCCTTTGTTGTCTTAGGTCCGCGATGCGCTGGCAGTTCTAAAGGACGAGGATGGATTCGTGGTGTTGTACGGTATGGGCGGCTCGGGCAAATCCATGCTAGCATCTGAAGTCCTCCGGGATCACAACTTGCTTCTGGACTACTTTCCCGATGGAGTATTTTGGCTGACAATCGGTCAGATTCGTACGGAAGACGGACAGGTGAGCGGGGCTGTTGTTGCCTTTCCTGTTAGTGACCTTTGCTTGGCCTTTGCTTGGCCTTTGCTTGGCCTTTGCTTGGCCTTTGCTTGGCCTTTGCTTGGCCTTTGCTTGGCCTTTGCTTGGCCTTTGCTTGGCCTTTGCTTGGCCTTTGCTTGCCTTGCAGCAGCGGGTCCAGCAACCTCTACAGGGGGTTCTAGTATAGTCAAAACTGAATTGCTGATATATGTACATGGACACGCATATGGTTGCCAGTACAGGTCGTCCCCCGTTAATACGAGTCCGGTTAGTACATACACCCCGTTAGCACATAAGAAATCTCAAGTCCCGGACGAAACGTGATCACTTCCATACAAATTTTGTCGGTTAGTACATAATTCGTCAGCACATAAACCCCGTTAGTACATAACATTTCTCCGTACCCGCATGCCACCTACCTAATAGCACATAATTTGTTGGTCTTTTGGCCTTCCAGTGGAGGCACATTGTGTTCTAGTTTCTACTTGTGGAGAAATCAGAGCGCATAATGACAAACCGACAAAGCTCTGTTTTTTTCCGAGTGACTGTACAGCCGCGGCTAGGCATGTACATCATGTAAACTGTAGAATGTTCGCTGACTGTGATCGTTATAACATAATTTTTATGTTATATCGAGGGAATCAAGAATATCTCACTCCCTAGTCACGGTAGCAAGAAATACTCAGAAAAGTTGAAAAAAGTGAAAAATTCTGGTACACAAGCAAGTTATGTACACTTTCGTTTAGTACATAAGCCCAGTTAATACATAACATTTGTCAAGTCCCAGAGATCATGTATTAACGAGGGACGACCTGTAGTACATTTACGAAATTTAGGGGGTTCCGCGGAACCCCTGGAACCCCTCCTGGGTCCGCCCCTGCCTTGCTTTATCAGTTTTTTCTCTCGTTTTCAGACCAGAGTAGATTATGAGAGTGTCCTGCATGCCTATGATACTAAAATTAATGAGATGTGGCTAAGGCTGTTGGCTTTGCCTTCTTCTGCATATAGTTGAATGCTGCTGTCTCATGCATCTGCTCAAGTATTTTCCCATCCTACCCAAGTCACCTATGAATACCTACATACAAAGACAGGCTTGACAAACTGCCTCAAAAGACCCCCCCCCCCCCCCCCCCCCGCAGGCCCTCATGGTTCTCTGATGATTGCCTCAGCATTAAAATTTAAACTTGAACTTTAAAAGTTATGCTTTATTCCAATCGTACCTCTCTCTCTCTCTCTCTCTCTCTCTCTCTCTCTCTCTCTCTCTCTCTCTCTCTCTCTCTCTCTCTCTCTCTCTCTCTCTCTCTCTCTCTCTCTCTCTCTCTCTCTCTCTCTCTCTCTCTCTCTCTCTCTCTCTCTCTCTCTCTCTCTCTCTCTCTCTCTCTCTCTCTCTCTCTCTCTCTCTCTCTCTCTCTCTCTCTCTCTCTCTCTCTCTCTCTCTCTCGCGCGCGCGCGCCTATATTAACATGCATGTGCATTCGGTGTTTTTTTCCTTCCTTGCCGTCGTAGGTTGATTCGGCGAAGCTGCTCATGAAGATGCAGAACTTATGCGCTCGGCTGGAACGTGAGCCAGCTGAGCGACCGCCGAACATTGAAGCGGCACACGACCGCTTGTTCAAGATCTTCTCCGAGTCCTACGGAAGGGTACGTAAGCGGGTTGGTGTTTACTGTGAATTTAAAAGAACATAACCATATGGAGAGCGGTGGAAGTGGGTTGTGTGACCTGGGTGCATTCTTTTGGGTTCATCCACACTCACCCAGTATTAGATCATCTTTTCAGCCACCTCATCTAAGATGAGCTGTTTTTCTTCTGCTTCTTCTTTCAGGTCATGATCGCACTGACTAAGCATTCGTAGTGATTGGTGTGTATGTTGACGTGACGTCATGGAAACCGCTTTGCCACGGGTCAGGACAACCCTGTCCGTGAGCTCATATGTTCGTTTGGGGTTTCTTGAAGAAGTCAATTGTTTGTCCCAGGTTTCCCTGTGTTGTCTGAGAGTGTGAGTCGGACACGCAGAGCTAGAGGCGAAAATAACAGTGATTATGTAGATATTGATACAATTGTGAATACAACACCGTTCTTGCTTGTTTACACCATCCGCTCTGTGCTGCATGTAGGCATTGTTGATCCTGGACGATGTCTGGAGTCAGGTGGTAGCCAGGGCGTTTGCTGTGCGCTGCCGCTGCCTGGTGACAACGCGCTTTGCCGGTGTTGCCAATCAAACGCGTGCTCCTCACGTGGTGGAGATTCAGCTGAAGTCAGGTCAGTTTCTGTGCATATTAGTGTTTGTGTGCGTACATATCCATGATTCACTGGTTTGAGGGAAAGACGCAAACGGGAAAAGTCTGAAGAAAACGATGACTGTCACCACCAGGACTCGAACCAGGGACTTTCCCCTGTGTGTAGCCAGCGATGCTCTAACCACTGAGCTATGGTGTAGCTGTCATCCATGAGGTTGGATTTCTCTGGCCAGAACTGTATGTGTACTGGTCCCAGTCACGATGCCAAGTCTCTACATTTTGTTTTTCACCCGTGTCCCCACTGTCTATGCTGCTTATTTGTGTAGGGTTTACACTGGATCAGACACTGACGGTGTTTAGCTATTTAACCCAGATACCCGAACAGCAGCTACCGCCGGAAGCTAAGGAGATGCATGAGCAGTGCCAAGGTGAGGTCCACATTCATCTCTACGCTACAGTGTCTATCCCATCCCCACATTCATTTCCATGCTACGGCGTCTATCCCCTCCCCACATTCATCTCCGTGCTAAAGTGTCTACCCTGACCCTCTTTCGTGCTACAGTGTTTATCAAGAGTCATGTTTACGGCCCAGTGTAGAAACCGGCTGTAAGAAGAGATTTGCGCATCCGTTTTTTAGTCAAAATAATAACAATGATGGGAAACCACCCTATGTAGAGACTACTAGAGAGAGAGAGAGAGAGAGAGAAGGGGGGGGGGGGGGGGGGTTGTCAGTTATGTATTGGTGTATGGAGGTTATACGAATGATGTCGTGGTGTCAAGCCAGTTGATCGCTTATGGGAGCTAGTACATGTATACAGCATTAGTCGGCAGTTTTGCTTGAAATACATGTACTACATCACTGCACTGCGAATTCTCCTCTCCATAGTCCATACAAGGCAACTCAACTGATGATATAATCACATGGGCATTCAGTGGAACCATTGTCATTAGGTTCAGGCCTGTTTTGGAACTCCACTCTAAATAAAGCCAAACAACAACAACAACAACATCCCCTATGCTCTATAGCTGCTCATTGTCCTCTTGCTGTTTGTACTATGCTCTGGTGGCTATTGACATTGAGCACTCTCCGTAGACAGCTGACTGGATTCACCTTGCTGTAAGCTCTATACACTCTAGAGATTGTGTGTGTGTCATGCAGGACCGGTGGAAGCAGTCTTTGGGTGGTCCGGTCATGCCCTAGCCTTTCATACTCTGTGTATGATATGGCGGGTACACACTTAAAGGGGAAGTATACCCTCTGAAATCAAATTTTCACCAGTTGTAGTCTTCGGGGTGCAGAGTCGAATGGTCTTGGTCCGAGGAAGCTGCGACGCTCCCTTCCTTCTTTTTTCCCAATCGAACTCGCGCACTTCCACCGAAACTGGGTGACTGCGCCCTACTAGATGGGGATTTGTATGCAAAATGTCACTAAAAGCGCCATGTCGTTCTTATAAAAGCACGGATGACCGCGATTGGCCCATATATTGTAGTCTTTTGGACGCTGAGTCGACTGGTTTTGGTCCTAAAAGGCTGCGATGCAGCGTTCCTCCTTTATTCTCAATCGAACATGGTTGAACAAGCGGTCACGTGCTCCTGGGTGCCCAAATCACCTGGTCACCGCGCCAGCAGGCGACAACTTTCACACCAAGGTTCAACTCGAGTGACAGGACTGCACCCAAAAAAGGTCAAACAGGCTAGTAAGTTGTACCCTGCAGGCACGGTGACCAGGTGACTGGTGTACGCAGGAGCACGTGACCGCTTGTTCAACCATGTTCGATTGGGAATAAAGGAGGAACGCTGCATCGCAGCCTTTTCGGACCAACACCAGTCGACTCAGCGTCCAAAAGACTACAACATATGGGCCAATCGCGGTCATCCGTGCTTTTATAAGAACGAAATGGCGCTTTTAGTGACATTTTGCATACAAATCCCCATCTAGTTGGGCGCAGTCACCCAGTTTCGGTGGAAGTGCGCGAGTTCAATTGGGAATCAAGGAGGAAGGGAGCATCTCAGCTTCCTCGGACCAAGACCATTCGACTCAGTACCCCGAAGACTACACCTGGTGAAAATTTGATTTCAGGGTATACTACCCCTTTAACCTCCTCAGTATTAAACACACGTTGGTGGCCAAAAGGTTGGTCCGGCCATGGCCTGACCAACCGAACTGGTTCCGCCGGGCCTGTCATGCTGGTGTGTTCCTTTGCCTTGCATTTTTGCTGCTACTCGCTGCAGGTCTGCCTCTAGCGGTGGCCATGCTCGGCGCACTACTGAAGCCCGACCCCAAGCAGCTACGCTGGCACTACTACCTGAAGCATCTGCGCGACAAGAAGATATCGCGCATCCGCAGCACGTCGAGTGACACGTCCAACTTCGACTCGCTGAGCGCCTCAATGGCGGTCAGCGTGGATGCACTGGCCGACATCGATCGAGAGCTCTACGAATACTACACAATGTTTGCTATCTTTGACGACGACCCGCTTATTAGCTCCCAGGTATGTGACTATTGCCGTAAAGTACCACGAGAGCGCTCCGCCATCTCATCCCTTCGTAGTCGTATTGTGGAGGTGGTGTCCTGTCTGTACGTCATACAACGCGTATTTTGCACATTGTGTAGTCAATCCGTATTCAATTTACCTTGGAGCGGACACGAGCTCCACACGAAAATCTGCTAAGTGTGACCTTCGTACACTAAGGTTCTCACGCCGTACAAGCTGGTTGCACTCTGCCATACGGTTTTCCTTTCCCTGGCTGTAAAATCGATGTGGCGCTCTCGCGGTACTTTCACGGTACATGCTCTGTGCTGCTCAATGATGTCCGATCACTTGAGCGTATTAATGTGTGTTGACTGTGTGTTGACTCTCTGTTGACTCCCTGTTGTCTCGCAGGTGTTGGCTGTGCTCTGGGGTATGCGGGACCCGGTGGAGGTCGAGGTCAAGATGGATCGGGTGCTGGAGATGTCGCTCGCACGCAAGGTAATCCCAACGCTGCGCCGTGCCGCGCACGTAGACGTAATCAACAGGCTGTGGTTCAGGTCCCCGTGGGGGATATGGTATCCAGGCATGTCCTTTGCATCCACACTGCCTATTTGTTGGCTCAGGCATATACATGTACTTCCTCCGTATACAAAAACTTCGCGACTTTTTTTGAAAGCTGCGCACAGCTCTGGAATTGTTCCGTTTGACTTGGAATAACACTCGTGGCATTGCCTAACCTGTTTACAAGCTATATACAAAGAAAAAAGCAACTCAGACGAATGGGATTGAGTTTTTTCAAAGTCTTCGTCGCTCATGTCATTGTCACCTGACGACGCTGACTCCGCATCGCCAACAGCCGCTGCTTCCGCTCGCATTTCGTTCAGATTCTTGTCACCTGCAGTGATGATCCGACGCTGGACTTTGGCTACGTCCTCTTCATCTCTAGAGCTGTGTACGAATCTGTGTCGACTATATTCAGTCGTTCCAACCCGCGACCTCCATTATGTCGTGAAACGAGTCGTACAAGCACATCCACACGCTTCGCATTTTCTCGGGAGGATAATCCTCCTAAGCATTCTACAATGGCTTCGAGGAGGTCTCTGCGATTCCCCTTGGCGACAAAGGAGACGTCTGACTGAAGAGAGGCGAAGAAAGCCAGGCCATCGACATTCTGATCCTGAGTCTGCGCTGGTTGCACGACGACTGAAATGTTTCATCTTGCCGTGCGAGCGAAGCAAATCTATGTTCTCACGCTGCGCGGATCTATGGGGCCGCGCACCGCAAGTACGAGCCTGGCCAGTTTCAGGGCAGCGAGTGCCGCGTGACTCCGTGCTCCAGCAACGAGCTACACGGTGTCAGTTTCGAGCAAGTAAGTGTTAGTTTTTTTTCATTTTGCTCTTGAGTTTCTGTCGGCAACGTCCTCACACGCATGGCATCCGTGGAGAATCTGTTCGAGATCAACCAAACTAACCTCGACGTGGGTTGTCGATGACAGTCTTTGGCGTCGTTCGTTGAGCAGGTTCTTGCTCAAAAACACCGTTCAAAAAAGTCACGAAGTTTTTGTATACGAAGGAAGTATGTTGCATCACGTTTCTGTTGCAAATCCGCACAGTTGTGAATGAATTTCACACCGAACCAAATCAGAATGACGATTTCTGCTCTGCACTGTATCTTCTGTTTGCCTACCTCAGCTGCCTGCAACTCAGGTACAGCTGAAGCTGAAGTCGCGCGGCAGCATTCCCCCACACTATCGGCACTCGCCGTCGTCAGGGGCCAACTCGCAAGGCGACTCGCAAAGCTCGGACAAACTCCTGACGCCGGCAGCACGTTCATATTTAGTAGCCGCCAGTACGCGAGACAACCTGGGCCGGGAGAGAAGCCTGAGCATCACTCAACTGGACTTTGCGCATTACAGGTCTGTTCGGTACACACGCAAACGTTAATGTATGTGCACGTTGTATTGTAGAAAGAGTGAAGATCGGAGTGAGATGTGAATCTGTATTCGTGTTTCGTACTCGTGTGACGAAGCTAGTTTGGTTCCCGTAAGTCTGTGCGCCCGTGTGTGTGTGTGTGTGTGTGTGTGTGTGTGTGCGTGCGCGCATGTGTGTGTGCGTGTGTGTGTGTGTGTTTTCTCTTTTTCTCGTCCGTTGTTGCTATTCAGTGTGCATGATCTGCAATTAGATTATCTCAAGGAACAGCTGGTGTCTGACGAACAGCGGCAGGAGTATCACAAGCGTCTGGTCGAGGGATACTCGCGCAAGTGTGGGGTGCGTACGATTAGTGATGTGCAGTGTGTATGTATGTGCGTGTGTGTGCGTGTCTGTGTGTGTGTATGTGTGTGTGTGCGCGCGCGCGCGTGTGTGTGTGTGTGTGTGTTTGTGTGTGTACGTGTGTGCACGTGTGTGTATGCATGTTTGCGTGTGTGCGTGTGAGGTCTTTTTGAATATGAAAACCAGTGTGGTTGAAACGCTATTTGTTTCTTGAGCAGTCAGTTCAGCAGTCAGTTCAGTTCTCTCCTGCCTTTCTTCGCCTGACTGTAAACCTAAAAAGGACTGCTTGGCAGCTGTTGAAGGATCTGCTGCGGTGCACATTGTGTGCTACAGTGTCTATGATGTCGGACCAGGACCTGCAATAAAAAGAGCTTGGTGTAGTGGATGTACTATATCCTCTGGAGTATATAAGCCGCACTGGAGAATAAGCCGCACTGGAGAATAAGCCGCACTGGAGAATAAGCCGCACTGGAGAATAAGCCGCACTGGAGAATAAGCCGCACTGGAGAATAAGCCGCACCCAGGTTTTTTTTGGTACAAAATACACAAACATCTACACTGATTTATTATCGTTAATTTGACCATCGTAAAACTAAAAAGGACTGCTTGGCGAGCGTGTGCGGTGGAGTGGAAGCGCTACGCACAGGGCCATCAATGGGTCTCAATCGGGGCGACAGTGCACAACGGCTACGACCACGGCGTCCCGGTACACGAGCCACCGGAGACCTGGAGGCCGACCCATCCGGAGCATGACTCCTGCCCCTTCCGACAGCGCCAGGTGATGAGCGGCGCCGCCTGCCCAAAAAGCCTGGCCTCTCAGGAGATCTATCCGAATGGAATGCTGGATTCGGATCTGCAACCGGCACAATCGGAATCAGCTGAGCATTACCAAAATTGCGGCACCTACCCGCGTGACCAGGGTAGCAGCTCTCGCAGGCCCTGGCCGACACAGCACACGAACAGCCACGGCAGCTCCCAGTCGACTTGCTGCACACACAGCATGGCTTCGATCCACCAGCGGGCTGCGACATGCTACCAGAGCGCTAGAGATCGATCACAACTGCACAGTGCACACGGTAACCATGGCGAGAAAGCTGATTAGAAAGCTGATCCGACGCGCTCCACAAGCTGGAGATGTGTGTGCGACGCCACTCGCCAGCACTGGGCGCAATGAAGCTGCAGCACAGACCAACGGACCAACGGCTATAATGGCCGATTCGCAGCGCAAGAAACCAGCTGGATGAAGGACTGGCGGGCTGGACGAGCCCAGAAGGAAGCAAACTACTCGAGCCGACTCCACATGTCACAAGGAAAGTAATTGAAAAGGTTTCAAACCGATTGAATTGAACAGTGGAGTAGAAAGTTAGAGAATAACGGAGGAGCAAAAAGCCCAACCGTCCAGCCCAGTAGTAGTAGTAGGCCAGCGGTGTCCGGGGACGGGGAAGGCATCGCTGTTCAAGGGTGGCGCATAGACCAACAGCAGAGGAGCGCTCAGCCTTCCAGCACGTGTGCATATGCGGCAAGCGGATGCGACTACCCGTGCACCGGGAGCGTCATCGAGCGTCGTGTCCTCTCTCTCTCTCTTCTCAAGTTTCCCAGTGATGGGATCACGTGACCCTTTTGCGGCAGTGACTCTACAGGACAGGACAGGACAGGTGTGTACGTGTGTGCACGTGTGTATGCATGTGTGTCGATTCCCGACGATTATGGTCACACACGTCTTTCTTCTCTTTCTCAGACTCTTCCTGACTTTTCTTTCATTCTCCTGGGTGGTTACCAACAGCCAGTGCATGCCGGAGTATGTGGTGTGATGTGTGTGCGGGAAAAAAAAGGAAAAAAATGAAAAAGACCAAAAAAGGGATTCACTGGCCAGAAAATGTCACTCCAAATAGCTGTATGGTGTAGACCAGGCTGAATAGTGACGGTCAATTCTTCAGCCTTGCAAGCTGTTGAATGGTGTAATCCCAGCACAAGTTGCTATGGCTTCTGCCGTAGCATTGCTATCATCGCCTCCGGCGATGGGCGTCAAAGGTCAATGCATGTGTGCGTGTGAGTTCTTTTTGAATATGAAAACCAGTGTGGTTGAAACGCTATTTGTTTCTTGAGCAGTCAGTTCTGTCTCTTTGTAGGGTAGTCCAGTCATTCTACTTCTCTCCTGCCTTTCTTCGCCTGACTGTAAAACTAAAAAGGACTGCTTGGCAGCTGTTGAAGGATCTGCTGCGGTGCACATTGTGTGCTACAGTGTCTATGATGTCGGACCAGGACCTGCAATAAAAAGAGCTTGGTGTAGTGGATGTACTATATCCTCTGGAGTATATAAGCCGCACTGGAGAATAAGCCGCACTGGAGAATAAGCCGCACTGGAGAATAAGCCGCACTGGAGAATAAGCCGCACTGGAGAATAAGCCGCACTGGAGAATAAGCCGCACTGGAGAATAAGCCGCACTGGAGAATAAGCCGCACTGGAGAATAAGCCGCACTGGAGAATAAGCCGCACTGGAGAATAAGCCGCACCCAGGTTTTTTTTGGTACAAAATACACAAACATCTACACTGATTTATTATCGTTAATTTGACCATCGTACTAGTATAAGTCGCACCCCTATTTTTGGATGGATTAGTTGTGTTTAAAGTGTAGATTATACTCCTGAAAATATTGTAGTCATCAGGGGCTAAGACGACGCAGTACTCTCACTGCTTGTGTTCCGGTTGTGTCTGCGTAGGATCGCTTCCACGAACTACCCGATGACGGGTATGTGCATCGCTATTTGGCCTTCCACTTGATGGAAGCTGATATGGTAGGTGCCCTGTGAGGGGGTCTGTGTGCGTGTGACCAATGCTGGTGGTACAGTGCAGCTAACATATGATAGGTATGTCATGGCTGGCTATTGCCCCCCCCCCCCCGCACCCATAAGCGGTTCCGCTGACACAGCACCACCATGGCATCATTCGCATAAGCTCTATAGTCCTTGCTACTGCTCCTTTGAACACCATCTTTGGCAGTTACCCCAATTATCACTCGTCATAGCAATTGTGATTTCCCCTGTTGAGGCTACTTTTTTGTTTCCAAGTGGGGCGTCAGTGCGATGGCTGGCCATGTTTTCATTATTCTTGTTGCTTCGTCTGTTCTTGCAGGGCTCTCGCTTGTGTTCTCTACTGGTTGACCTTCGCTGGATTGAAGCCAAGCTGCTGCATTGTGGGGCTGACGATCTGCTCAACGACTTCATGCGATTCATCGAGCACGAGAAACGCTGCAAGGTTGGTCTGTGTCTGTGTGTGTCTGTGCATGTGTGTGTGTCTGTGTGTGTCTGTGCATGTGTGTGTACATAATGTGTGTGTGTGTGCTTGCATTCGTGCTGGGTGTGAGCTGTGAACGACAGGGGACTTTTGATACGAACACGATCGGTTTCACTCTGCCGGTATTTATCTCCCTTTTCTTCGTACAGGCAATCATTCATATCATTACTATTGATGCATGCAACCATGTCAGTTCTGCATGCACATTGCGCCTCGATCAATGAAAAACTTGTGTGTTTGTAGGAGAGCGCTCATTCTTGCTGTTCCCCTATGCCTACTGTAATTATACCAAATTTTCGACCGAAAAAACGCTGATGAAATTTTTCACATCGGTTTTGTTGATGTACTAGTGTTAAAAAATAAATCGCCGCCGAAATGTCGATAATCGTGAAATGCAGAAGATTTGTATTTACAGTATTGAGTGGACTATTCCAGCTTCGTGCTGTGTACACTGCGCTGCGTTTGTGTCTGGTGGTGTGTTCTGCAGTTGGCTGCAGAGGTGCCAGTTGTGCAGCCCAGGAGAAGACCAGGAAGACGAGCTACCAAGCAGAACCTAAGCCGGCCTACATCCGTTGATCCAAAGGTGTGTGTGGGGGGGGAGGGGGGGGGGGGGCTGTCCGCGTGTGTGGGTGGGGGGTCCCTGTGTGTGTGTGGGGGGGGGGGGGGGGGGGGGGCTGTCCACGTGTGTCTAGATCTGTTTTCATTCCGATCTTGTCCACTATCGTTGCAATAAGAGAAATCTGAGGGTGTACATTAGTGTTGAAACGAATAATCGAATAATCGTATAATTTAGAATATTCGTGGGGTGATCGAATAGTCGTAGGAATTATCAGAAATCGAAAAAAAAAAAAAAAAAAAAAAAAAAAAAAAAAAAAAACCGATCTATGCTCAGTGCTAACCCTACTGATATTTGCACTGCGTAGATCTGCTCATAGTATTTCTTCTCAATCACTTCTCCTCCAAGGTTTTTTTAATCTCCTATCGGTATCTAGTAATACATGTACATGTACTTCTGTTCTTTCCATACGAGGGAAACATGGATGCAGTGAATGTGATTTTCGGTCTTTGACCACTTTCGACCAAGACCCTTTGCAGAGCTGGATCAGGCGTTTCACACTCTGGGGGGGGGGGGGAGGGGGGGGGGGGGGGTAATGTACTCTTGGCGGTACAAGTTAACCGGTTTTGCACCTCTACATAACAAAATCCGATAATCAGCAAAAAAATTATTTAAAAAACTACTTAAAAAGTGCTGAAAAAGTGTTGAAAAATGCCATCATGCGTATGATAGAATATATATTATTCGTTCGATGGAGGGCGAAATTATTCGATAGATTATTCGTTCGAAGAATCCGTGTTCGGTTTAAACACTAGTGTACATCCAGTGCACTTGCAGATTTGCCGTGGTGGTGGTGCTGGTGGTGGCGGCGTGTGCGGCGGCGGCGGTGCTGGTGGTGCTGGTGGTGGTGCTTGTGGTGGCGGCGGCGTATGCGGCGGCGGCATGTGCGCGTGTGCGCGTATGTGCGTATGTGTGTGTGTAACATAGCTGTTCGCTATCATCGCTTCCGCGATGGGCATGTCTGAGGTCTGAGGTGTGTGTGTGTGTGCGTGTGTGTGTGTATGTGTGTGTGTATGTGTGTATGTGTGTATGTGTATGTGTGTGTGTGTGTTTGTGTATGTGTGTGTATGTGTGTGTGTGTGTATGTATGTGTGTGTGTATGTATGTGTGTGTGTGTTTGTGTGTGTCCGTATGCATGTACGTACGAGTACTAGTCTAGTAGTCATTGTACTCCTTTGTAACACGGCGTGTCTTGCCGTTGAAATACCCTACGTTGTATGCGTGTGGGTGTACCAACATGCCTTGTCTGTAGATCGTTGAAGAGGTGCAGGTCTACCAGCGCTTCATCAGCATACACGCACATCGCCTACTGGAGGACAAGAACGTCAGTGTCATCCAGCTAGGGCTGAGTCAGCCGCAGAGCAGCATTGTCTATCAGCAAGCACTGCAGGTGGCGCAGCGCGAGGCGAAGCACGGCGCCTTCTACGTTCGACTGTCGTAAGTCGCGCTGCTTGTACCGGAGCGCGGGGCCGTTGGCACTTGGCAGTGTGTTAAAACGGCAATGTTAACATTGGTGTTTGTACTGGTGGTTGTGGTGGTGGTGTCTGTTGTGATTCTCTACTTGACCAGCACAACTTCACCCTTCTGGGCATTTGTTCATTTGTGCTGTGTCTCTCTTAAGTTGGCCATTGTCCGTATAAGGGTGCTCGTGTACTTGGAATGCTTTGGCTGAAGGCTGGTGGCAGTGCAGCCAAATATGTGTGTAGTGCTGGTCTGGCCATGCGTAATGTATGTCCAAACATGGTGCATGTATATGGAAAATACTGTTTCGTTCACGAAAATGTGACGAAATCTTTCGTTAGATCACTGCACCAGCAGGCTTGTTACGTACTAAATTTCGTTTTTGGTCGAGGTCTGTCACCCCGAACGTTCAGAACAAAAACTTTGTTGGTACAAACTTTAGTTATTTCGTGCCCCCTATTATAAACGAATATAGCGAAAGTGAATTTCAAACAAAAAATTGTACTTATACAGTAGCAAGGTGATAGCGTTATTGCACGTGTTGTACAAGTAAGTCCTGACAAGTCTGGTGCTCGAGAGATGCGAGGTTGATTCCAGCGAAGAATACGCGAAGTGACTGCATGGGTGGCTAATGCAGATTTCCGTGTGTGTGCGCGTGTGTGTGCGTGCGTGTACGTGCTTGCGTGTGTGTGTGTGTGTGTGTGTGTGTGTCACTGCTGTGCGCCGTGTGTAGCAATGCCAGTGAGGACGTTGAGTCGCATCACCTGACTGTGCGGTTGCACCAGCAAGCCGTACTGGACGTCAAGTGCAGTCCAGACACCATGCTGGCTGCATCCTGCTCAACTGATCTATCCGTCAGGGTGAGTAGAGCAATGTTGTGTAACTCAGAGCTAACACCCATCGCATGATTTCATTAAATCAAAGTAGAAAAGTTGTGCGGTCAATGAGGTAGGGTGTTGGGCACCCTGACTTGTCTCTGGCAATCTTTAGATTCTCTCGTCGAAGACAATCAAGAGTAGTGCTGATCGATGAAATTCGATTGGGTGAGTCAAGTTCGCGCCCTGCGCCAGTGCAAAAAAACCGGTATTCGCAGGCCTGGGGCTGCAGAGCGCCCGTCATGGCATTGCCTCGCTTGATCCAATGTCGTTGAGATGCACTGTACATGTGGCGACCATATGGCGACGTAGTGCCCGTATGCGTATATACACCGCCTGTCCAACCGCCCTGTTTTGAGCAGGACACTCCTGCTTTGAAGCAAAACATTTGTGTCAATTTACGTGGAAGCCCATTCCTTTGTATCCTTTATACTTGTTCTTTATTGTTATGGGTGTCTTGCTTTGGAATGGTGACAAGGTTGGACAGACTGTGAACATTTCCCATGCGTACTCTTTGATTCTTTGTGCTCTGTGTGCATGACAATGTCTGCTTGCTATGGCACAGCTGTGGAACCGAGTCACCGGTGCCATGGTGGCCACCATGGAAGGTCACGAGAACTACGTGACGGCGTGCTGCTTCAACCCCGTGGACACGTCCGAGATCGTCTCCGCCAGCGAGGACGGCACCGTGCGGGTGAGTCCAGTGTCTTGTTGTGATAGTTATTATTATCACATTGCATACCCACTACATGTAGTTGTCCTACACCGTACCAAGGCTTTGACCATGCACACAAACACTTTTTGTACTACAAGTAAAGTATACAAAATGCCGGCACTGCAAAATTTTGTCGTTTCACGATATTTGACATTCCGGGAGCGGTATATATATCCGGCACATAACCGAACTGGAGCATTGCCGATTCAGCTACGAAAACCTCCAGCAATGTATTAATTATTAGCACCCGTGCAGAATATAGCCGCATATTTTCTAATGGACGCGAAGTATATAGCGTGAGTCAGCGGATTTTCTAATGGGCTCTATGCATGCAGTCTGAGTCGCTAGTGCAAGACTTAGTGCAGTGGCATGCCTCGACTTCGTGAAAGCATCTCAACTGGTGATGTAACCGCATACTGTACTGTAAAACCGGCAAGTTTAACGACCGAAAAGTTTACTTTTTTGTAATTTTGGCATGATATTACGTGCAGAAAGTTTAACGATGGCCACCTGGCCACCCACATGTATGCACATCTTTACACAGACATCTCAAACCGGGTTCGCGATAACGTTTCTTCAAATAACGATAACAAATTGGTCGTTAAAACGTTCCGGTTTTACAGTAACTTCTATTGTTTGGCTGTGTGTTGCGCGACGATGCGTGTTGTTGTTGATCAGGTGTGGTGCATCGACAGTGGCCGTGACTCGTCGGCCACACAGCTGCGTGAGCATCGCGACGACGACTCTTACTACACATGTGCGGATGTCTCGCCAGATGGAGAATGGTGCGCCGTGGGAGATCTAGAAGGTTGCTTGAAGGTGATCATTATAAGCTTTTGTCAAGTTTTCTAGTGGTATATTCATGCATCCGTACGCCGTCCACACCAGTCTAGAAGAACAAACCGAACATTTTCTGAACCAAACGTTTTCGTTCCCGTCTCATCATGTGTTCTTGTCAATTTCTGTGGACTTCTACACCTTGTAATGTTTGCTAGACCTGGAAGACTGCTTGAAGGTGATCATTATAAGCTTTGTCAATTTGTCGGGTTCTTGGTGGACTTCTACACATGGTGATGTTTACTAGCGTGTATCTGCTTGCCGTGGCTAGCATTAGCCATGATACGTTGATGTCACATGCATCGCATTCAGCCACGTTACAAGGGCTTGTAATTTGCCACACTGGTGAAATAAAGATCTGTTGTAATATGATTTTTTCTGACATAGGCGCAGCATGCATCTCCTGTCTTTGTTGTGTGAGGGTGACAGTACTCTTACGGATGTGTGACAGACGAAACGGTGTAACATTTTCTTATTGTCCGCAACTTGGACCGCAAGTGAAGCTGGTCTTGTTTGTATTTTTTCTCTGGGTGTTGCCCGCAGGTTCTCTTCTTGGCGACATGTCGGGTGGAGCATAGCGTGGAGGGCCACGACGGTCAGATCTACGGCTGTGCGTACAGCAGCAATGGAAAGTACATTGCCACGGCGTCAGCGGATGCCACTGCAAAGGTCAGCGCGTTGCGTCGTTGCCAGTGCTGACCGTATTTCCCTGAGTATAAGCCGCGCATTAAACACCAGCAATTCATTAAAAAAAGTCGCTACAACTTATACTACTATGGTCCAATTAACGGTGATAATCAGGAAAGATGTGTGTATTTCGTGCCAGAAAATCTAGGTTCGGCTTATACTCCAGTGCGGCTTTTACTCCGGAAAATATGGTATTGTCTTGGAAAGAACGTTGCGTGTATCAACAGGAATCTTTGCTGGGTCTATAATGTAGTCCGCTCATTCCTACCGCTTCATGAGCTGCAGCTGGAGGGTTGTGAGCTGAACTTGATCCATGATGGCTGTGCGCTAAAGCTGTACCTTGATCCGTGAGGAGTGGGACGTTCCTGCAGACTCAGAAATGTCAGTCTTCCGTAAAATTTGTTTGTCAACGAAATGGATACCATTTTCAATACTATTCATTCGCATTTACCAAAAGACGGGGTCGTTAGGTAAACCTGATGTTGAGCGTGAACAACATGGACGAAAGACGAGAGTAAGCTGAGCACTTTGCCTGCCCCACTGCTTCCTTTCTGACAGCCGGGAAAGAAACTAATTCTCGAGTACTTCTGTGAAGTGTTGTTTCATCGTGGGCATACGGTACACTACGCACTCCAAATATCCATGGGGAAATCGTGCACATTTTTTTTGATGTTGTGAACTCTTCCTGTCTACTCTTTTTTCCATTTCTAGATATGGCTGGCGGCTGATCTGAGCGAGGTTGCGACGTTCACCAATCACAAGCTGCTAGTGTATGGCTGTGCGTTTGCACGGCACTGCGACCGCCTCGTCACTTGCTCTGGTGACTACACGCTCAAGGTAATACAGCACCACCGTACAGCCAGTCCAAGCTGGTCTTGAAATCCCTGTGTTGCACACGACATGTCCATGCCCCCTGCAAGCGTGTGTTGTTTCCAATCTTTAAACTCGCGATAGCCTTGTTTGTTGTTGTTGTTGTTGCTGTTGTCGTCATTCGCTTTGCCGGCTTCGCCTCCGCCACCACCCCGCCGGTGCCGTTGTCGTCATCGTTGTTGTGGTTCCTTTTCTTGCTCTTTTCAGACTTTCCTTTTGCCACCACCCCTATCTCCTGTCATGTCATCCTTTCTTTTGCTTGTGTGCCATGTTTTGAATTGTTGTCTTTGCATGTCAGGTGTGGCCAGTAGCACAAGGCAGTGGTGACGAGGAGCTAGCCACTATGTCCCTGGAGGGTGTGGCAGTCATGACCTGCACATTCTCGCCGGACGACAAGTTCATTGTGTCCGGGGCCATCTCCGGCATGGTCCATGTACGTACACACAAACAAAGGGGTGAATGCCGCGGTCTGACAATTGCTGAAATACATTTTAAAACAGCCTTTTGCCTCCGCTGTTTGGATATGGTGCACATTTGTGCATCGAGCGCTCTGCTTCGAGCTGCCTCGACCGTCCCTGTTTGTACACCGTGCACATTCAGTGTATGCTACCTCCAAGAGCCTGCGTTTTATGTAGCTGGGGTACTCCAGTGCATGCATATCCGCAGTGAAATGACTTGCATTGCGTAAGGCAGGGTGCTCGAAAAATTAGCACATTTTCTGGAGCAGCTGACAGTCTCCGTTACATGCTGTGTTGCGTGCGTGCGTGTGTGTGTGTGTCTGTGTGCGTGTGCGTGTGTGTGTCTGTGTGCGTGCGTGTGTGTGTGTTAGGTATGGGACGGTAGCAGTTATGAACATCTCTACAGTCTGGTGGCACACAACAGCTGGGTGCATTCGCTGTCGTTTGAGCCCCACGGCAAGAAGTTCATCACCTGCTCCGACGATTGCACCTGCAAGGTAAGGTGCTGTGCTCCGTGTGTGCATATGTGTCTGTGTATGTGCACATTTATATGTGTGTGTGTGTACACGTGTTCATTCTTGCTGATGCATAAGTGTGTATGTGTGTGTATGTGTGTATGTGTGTACGTGTGTGTGTGTGTGTGTGTGTCAGCCTTGCAAGCTGTTGAATGGTGTAATTCCAGCACAAGTGGCCATGTCTAACATAGCTGTTCGCTATCATCGCTTCCGCGATGGGCATGTCTGAGGTCTGAGGTGTGTGTGTGTGTGTGTGTGTGTGTGTGTGTGTGTGTGTGTGTGTGTGTGTGTGTGTGTGTGTGTGTGTGTTTGTTGCATACCGCACTGTTTATCCAAACTCACCGGAATCAAATTCGCAGATAACACACGTCAATGTTCTCAGTTTGGTTTAGTTATGTAGAGTACCCACGATTATGTTATTTGTACATATCGGTGCCTCTCTGTTTACAGGTGTGGGAGCTGTCAGAGACTGCACATCGCGACATGGTACAGTACGATCGTCGTCTAGACCTGTTTGTCGACGAGGATTCGGCAGCACTGACCCTGACGTGTCTGAACAAAGGAACGAATGAACTCACGGTATGCGCCAACAACGCCTTATCCGCACGGAGAACCTGTATTGTCTTACCTGTCCTTGGACATATACTGCTAAGGGACACTGCTGCCTTCTCTCGTACATTTGGGTGGGCGACAATAATCCATAATGCAGAACAATCATGGAATGTCGGCTATCCCACATGGGCATGCGCCATGCAGAGACCAGTGCTGTTGTTCTTTACACACTAGTATACTCCTGGTCCTCTGTGTGTGTGTGTGTGTGTGTGTGTGTGTGTGTGTGTGTGTGTGTGTGTGCGTGCGTGCGCGTGTGTGTGTGTGTGTCTGCGCGTGAGTGCGTGCGTGCGTGTGTGTGTGTGTATGTGTGGGAGAGGGAAGGGTAATGTTGGATTTTGCTCTGGTGAGGTTATCTTACTCAACGCTATAGTACAGGCTGGGAATTTTACCTTCGCTGTGTAACACCCTCGATAGGCCTCACTCTAGTGCAAGTACGTTGACTTGAGATTCGTCGTGTGTGACTACTGCTCGTGTGTGTGTGTGTGTGTGTGTGTGTGTGTGTGTGTGTGTGTGTGTGTGTGTGTGTGTGTGTGTGTGTGTGTGTGTGTGTGTGTGTGTGTGTGTGTGTGTGTGTGTGTGTGTGTGTGTGTGTGTGTGTGTGTGTGTGACTGTTTGCTCACGTGAACCCATGTAGATCAGCCGTGGCTTCTCAATGGACGTCGTGGGCAGGCACAGCTTTGGCGGCGAGGCAGTCATCAAGAGCTTTGCTCTGGCCAGCGATCTTGGCACGGTTGCGTATGCGTCGACTACGGGTCGCGTCAGGGTAGGGCTGAATGCGTAGTGTACGCTATCAGAGTGGCTATTCCAGTTGATGAAATGTACGGAAATGTGTTCTGAAGAAACTGTTGAACGATCTCTGCTGGGATGACAGCTAAACCATGGCTCAGTTGTTTGAGCATCGCTGACCTCAAGCGAAGGTTCCTTGTTCGAGTCCTGGTAGTGACAGTCAATTTTTTCTTCAGACTTTTTCCCATTTCCATTCCCTCAACTAATGAATATTTTTATTTGCAATTTTGCAGTCGATACATTTTAGCAGGGATTTTGGCCAATCCCTGGAAAGAGCATTGTGGGTAGAATTGATTGACATTGATATGTCCAATAGTGTGTGTATAGTCAGCTTTGTAAAAGTCTGTTTACCGGTAGTTGTTTGACTGCACGAGGTCTAGGAGCGCACACACATGCTCCCGCCGTGTGTTTTGTTCAGATTGCGGAAACATCAGCAGGAGTACGCAATGTTGAGTCTACCGTCGCGGATGCCGATCACATCGTGGCCCCGGCTAGCGAAGGTGCAGTGACCACACCGGAGAGTGCTCTGCTCGTTGATGACACGTCCATACATCACGATGAAGTCAAGATTGTTCAGTTCTCACCGGACAATCGCTTCATGGCAACGGCTAGCACTGATGGCATACAGGCGGTGAGTACACTGCCCTTGCAGCTGCTGCTGCTGTTGTTGTTGTTGTTGCTGTTGTTGTTGTTGTTGTTGTTGTTGTTGTTGTTGTTGTTGTTGTTTTTGAATTCTTTATTCTCACGATGGCACCATCGCCAATAAGAGATCTTTTGTTGTTGTTGTTGTTTGTCTGAATTCTTTATTCTCACGATGGCACCATCGCCAATAAGAGATGTTGTTGTTGTTGTTGGTGTTGTTGTTGTTGTCGTCGTCGTCGTTGTTGTGATGTTTGTCATCATCACCGTTGGTTGTAACGTTGTTGGTATTGTTTCCTTTTTGGAAACTAGTCCAGGCAGGGGGCAATTTGTTATCAGCCATCCAGACAAGTTTGCTCAGCCCGTATTCACATATGACTTCACCACTTGCGTGAGCATTAAGCTAAGATTTCCTTGATCCCGTACTCTAATTCGTCTGATATTTTCCTTTCCACTTATTCCACAGGTTTGGTCGGTAGATGGTGGCAATACGCGCTTGCTCTTCTCGCTCACGGACAGCATGGCATCGCGGCATGTTCCCTTCGTCTTCTTCCGGACGCGCCCGTGGCTGCTCACCACAGACACCAGCGGAATGATGAAGGTACTGGTTAGGTGACGATGGGTTGTGCTCACGTGCACGTTTTAAACCATGACTGGACCAACTTGTTTTGCCCACCAACGTGTGTTTACTGCTGAGGGGGTCATGTGTATACCCTCCATATCATACACAAACTGTATGAAAGTCATGTGTATACCCTACATATCATACACAAACTGTATGAAAGGCTAGGGTATGGCGGGACCAATCAAAAACTGCTTCCACCGGTCCTGTTTAAAAGTGGTATCAAAACGGAGCAGATGCGCTTTCTTTTGGTGCTACCGAGTACCGTATTTTCCGGGGTATAAGCCGCACTTTTTTTCGCTAAAAATCGGACCAAAATCGCCCCTGCGGCTTATACACCGAATATGCTTGCGCGAATGAATGCTTAGCATACATGAGTATGCATGCTGACGTCATGTGACATGTCATTCGACTCAGCTTCGCGCCTGTGTTGCTATCCCGGCACTTTTACTAGTTTTAGTGCATCAGTGGCAGCGAGACTGAAGATAGTGCAGATGACATGGAGTGATCTGTAGTCAACACAGCAATACATCAACATCTCTGCAGCAACCTGTGGTGCACTAACACTTCATAATCTGATCTAACATGGCATTTAGCTCCATAACCATAATAAATTTGTAGAAAGGCCATTTGTCAATGAGTGTGAAAAATCTTGGTTTGTGGGTGCAGCTTATACTCCGAATACCAACTTTTAGTCAATATTTTGCCTCAAAAAGGGGGGTGCGGCTTATACCCCGGTGCGGCTTATACCCCGGAAAATACGGTACTTTAGATATCGCATGAAGGCTGGGTGGGCCATGCGTTCCCAGAGCCAGTTCTTGTCGGATCGCAAACAGTTGTGTGTACGTGTTGCAGTCCATGGCACGGTCATTGATGGGTATGGAATTTGAATGTTAACAGCATGCTTTAATATGCTTGGGGGAAAGCTTTCATGAGCCTGCATACGTGAGCAGTCCCCTTTTTACAGTGACGTACATGTAAATTGTCACAAGCGCAACTCAAAACAGGTGATGATGATATCGAAATTCGTATAAGTGGTAACGCTAATGTACGCCATTGCTTCCTTCTTCGCTTTTCTGTGTGTGTGCGTGTGTGCATGCGTGTGCTCCGAATGTCAGGTGTATAATTTAGAAGGTGGTAGCGAGATCGTGGCCTGGCAGTCTGGTGAGGAGGGTCAGCCACTCTCCATGGCCATGGCTGACGACGACAAATACGTACTCGTGGCCGTGAACAAAGTACTCCGGATCTGGCTGACAACCGGTGAGTGAGAGTCTCCTGGCAGCACTGGGACTGAGCCTCGCAACCCGTGCTTTGTCAAGTGTTTACCTTACTTAAAAAAGAGAGAGAGAGAGAGAGAGAGAGAGAGAGAGAGAGAGAGAGAGAGAGAGAGAGAGAGAGAGAGAGAGAGAGAGAGAGAGAGGGGAGGGAGAGAGGGAGAGAGAGAGCAACTCCAAAAATAGTGGTGAGTAGGATGGATCTCTGTTAGTTTCTGGTTCCAATGTGGATGAACTGCGGCCGGGGTATACTGATTGTGTGCATGTGCTTGTCTCTGACTACAGATCTGACTAGTAAAAAGAAGCTAGCTACTGTAGGGGAACTTGAAGGCCACAAGGATGTGATTCGAAGCTGCACGATATCGCCAGATGGGAAACGCATCGCCACGGGCTCGGATGATCGCAATGTCGCCGTAAGTGGGTAGACACTGTCGCTGTGGTTATCCAGCTAGTAACCTTTTCCTCCTCTTTCCTCTCTCTCTCTCTCTCTCTCTCTCTCTCTCTCTCTCCCTCTCTCTCTCTCTCTCTCCCCTTGTCTGTCTGCTCATTTCCTCCCTTATAACAAACGTCCTCTCCCTTATCCCTTGTTATATCATTCCGAAGAAGACAGTCGTCGAAACGTTACGATTATATCAGTAACAATCAGTCCAGTCTTGCTGCTGTTGTGTGGCCGCGCTATCTACCGATGCATTTTATAAATCCCTGGGCTGGACCTGTGCTGGTATGGCAGCGTTTTGATATCAAGCTTTTGTCGAACTGCCTGCCTGCAGGTCTGTTTTTCTGCATGTTTGTTCGTCTGCCGTCTGTCTCAGTAATCTCTATAAATGTTAACCCGGTATCTGTCACCCCCTGAGGCCAGTGCAGTATGTTCTTTGAAAGCAAGCGACACCTGCATGTTCGGTGTAAACTAAATTTGTTGTGCAGGGAACGTGGTCGCCGAATGCGATGGGTCGGTGGTTTGCTTGTTTGGTATTCTAGATGTACATAACAGTTTCTGTCTTTGTGCAACATGGACTTCTCTTTCCATGATATATTTTCTTCTTCCAATTCTCTCAGCTGTGGGAGACGGAAAGGTTCTATCAAGTGAACAAGATGAAAGTCCGTTTCTCTCTTAGCTGGATTGTCGACATAGAGTTCTCCTCAGACTCCGAGATTCTGGTCGCTGTCAGCGATCGCATCAAGGTAGGTTCGGGCTGGCTTTCCAAAGTGGAACACTAGAGCCAGCAAAGGTCTGGGGATGACACTGATTTCTTAGCCAGAGGCAGTGTTTTGAGAATGCGAAAAGTCGCCTTGCCATACTTTCCGCACTTTAGTACTAGTGCGTACACGTAAATGCAGTGAAATACTCAAACTGAGAAACAGAGGACACCCGGGGTTGGCATATGGATAGCATTGGTTATTGGGTTGTATGGCATAGGACCGCTTTGTTGCTCAGCCTAAGCTAATCCCCTACTACCTGCCACCTTACATGTGCTGCATTGGACACCTAGAATCGATTAGTGCTGGCAGTGGCAGCCGTGAAGATGCAGACTTTTCTTTTTAAATAAATCCCTTTCTTGCTGATACTATTCCGATATCTTCATCTTGCTTGTCCTTCTCCAGTTCTGGTCGGCAGCGAACGGAGATCCACTACGCACAGTGCACTTGGCAGGAGCTTTCACTAAGTATATCCGGACCGATCCGCTCTTCTCCACGTTCGCCACCATCGACGACAAGGGAGTCCCCTATCTGCTGGAGGCAGTCTTTGCAGATGATGCGGCCGAGGTGGATATGGAGCCGTAGGCTAGTAGCAACAGCAACGCGATTTGAGTGGATACGTGAGGAATTTCCTCCCTTTGTTTTGTTTTGCGTTAAAGTGGCATGGTGCTTGTTCACTGTGATGAACAGTGCTGGCCTTCTTACCCACACTTGATTTCCCGGCCAGATTGTTTTTATTACTAAAAAAAAGTACTTTCTGATCCGTGATTGTGGTTTACACTAAAATTGAAGCTTCTGACACACTCACACACAGATTACATTTCCTTTCTATTGCAAATGTTCACAGTTTAGTTTCATTTCAAGTGAATATCCAGCGATGTGAGCGGTGTATTTTCAGGCGTTTTTTAACTTGTTCTTAGGTGATGTTTACAGATTTTCCTGGCCTTGAAGTTCCTATTATTTTCCCTTCATCAGATTGCAGAAAATCCAAAGAACCTGGACCAATGGTTTTCATTCGACGTCTCCTGCTGCTCGCTTGTATTCGAATTGCGTTTTAAAAGAAGAAACCTGTTTGCCTTCCGGGCAGCTAATCATTAAACTATAGTGCTCCAAGAGAATCTGATGTAGCCTATGGATGACAGGTGGGAACTGGAGCACAACTGTAGTATGCAAGACATATAATTATTACAATGACAACAAGTATGCACCTCCATTCATACATACTACTGCTGGACATTGAAATCCGATGGGATGACCGGGGCCGGCATCCTACAGTCCATTTCAAAACTATAGACGCGTAAGGTTTTTGAAATATTTTAAATTTGGCTGGAACTTTTTGAGAATAGTTTTCGGAATATTGCTCAGGATCGCTCCACAATTACTCTCATTATAGTTTCTAAACGATTGGATAACAGACGCCCAATTTGGAAAAATTTATGCACAAAGTGATCACAGATTTTATGTGGTGTAGATGCTGGCATAACGGTTTTTGCCTAGGTACGCGTCTATAGTTTTGAAATGGACTGTAACTGCTTTTAGGGCGTACATGCACTGTACATGTACCAGTACAGGGTGAAAATGGACAAGCAGTGCCAACCAGGGAGTCGTAAAATACCGGTATTTTACGACTCCCTGGTGCCAACGGCTGCAAGGCCAGCGCCCCGTGGCCGCTTGACTTCCCAGCGGAGTTCTATGTCCGCTACAGCTAGGTGCCCATCATACGCACTTGGTCACGTAAATATTTTTCGGAGAGAACATTTCAGAAAACATACATCATGATATGGGTCAATCGTTTGCTGTACAACATAAGCGAATCGACAAGCGCAGCTCAATACACTGCATGAGAAGCGATGCTGCGCGTGCCAAGAACGGGGTGAGCCGATTTTTGAATTATAAAACTATGATATGCGGCTCCGCGGAGGTAGAATGCAAGCTATGAGATTGGTGTGCGGTCATGTGACGGGATAAAAGCACGGACGGGAAAGCACTGTACATTGTCATGTGGGTTCCAAAAAGGCGCGTCTCAAAAAAAAGAAAAGAGGACAGCTAAGATCCAGCCACAGCTGCCAAGCTGAGTCGGAGGCGAAGAACAGCAAACACAAGAATGCAACGAGAGAAATGGTCAGTCGGTGGCAGCAGCACGCACCGGTGTCGTTGGTCTTCTAGCCTTCGTAAAACGTCGGGATTTCCTTGCCGGTTAGCGTTCGCCGTGCCACTCCGCTCTCGTCGATCGTCACTAGGCGGATCACACCGCCCGATGAGCCGTCGCGGCTCATGGCTAGGGACAGGGCTGTGGTGTAAACAGACAAACGGACGAGAAATAGTCTCGAAAGTGATCCTAAAACACCACCCGACAGGAAAACTACAGTTAGTAGTTGTGCCCGGTGAAATCCGACCCCTTGACGCCCTGGAAGTGGCGTGAATGCCGCTGGTCATACACATGTACAAATACAGTGATGTACTCAGAACTGGTCCAGGGCACCAGTTTTGCACTGTGGGTCTGATTTCAGTGAGCGCAACTACAACTAGTATAGTTAGTACACCGTCGAGTAATCACCCGTAATGGGTGGACGTGTTTAGGGTGATGAGAGGTTCGATACTGTAAAGCGGGATTCACAGAAGCTTTTTTGCGATGCGACACGCGATGCGACAGGCGCGAAACCGGGAAAACCCCAAATCGCAGCCATGTCGCACCCCACGCAACTGCCGCAACTGGGCCATCGCAGAAGTTGAGCTTGGCTCAACTTTTGCGATGCGATGCGATGCGACAAGCGATTTGGCGTACGATTTTGACCTTTTCTACAGCAAAGTTGTACAAAGGTGCAAGAGTTGCCTATAAATTTGTACAGGTTGTACCAAACCGCGCAAATATCATGGTGACGTACTCAAATCAGCAAGACTTTGCAAAAATTTGTCGCATCGCTGACTTTTTCTGTGAATGGTATTTCGCGAGTTCGCATCGCACGCGTCCGTCGCAGATCGCGTCGCATCGCGTGTCGCATCGCAAAAAAGCTTCTGTGAATCCCGCTTGAGTCGACAAATTTTCGGCCCCCAGGGCTAAAACACAATTCGGCTGCAACATATTTTCGGCCTGTACTGCGGCTGCCTATATACACTGTCACACTGAAACTTGCAAAACAAATTTCCGGCCAAATATGATCAGGCCGAAAATAGCCGAAAATAAATATGCGCCGAATATTTGTTGACTTACAGCATCACCGAGGTAGCTAAAGTACTGCTGGGTGCTGAAGAACGAACAGGCTATAATTTCACCAAGCACAGCATACTATATATACGCGGTGACTCAACTGTGCATAGAGACTAGAGTGTAGTACATGAAAAAAAAGAACGGCCCCAGGCTAGGAGGCTGCCCCCCCCCCCCCCCCCCCATCCCTCCCAAGTCTCCGGCACCCGACAGTGCTCTACTTCAGTAGCAACATACAGCATGCACTGAAGTGGTCAGGACAACCTACCGTTGACAACAAACTGCTCGCACTCGTCCCGTGTCATGCCGTCCTTGTACGCCGAGTCACAGTAGCCGTAGATGTACGTACTACCGGAACCTGGGGACAGGGGAATAATATCAGTGACAACAACAACAACAATCATGATGTGTGTGAAATGCAATTTAACACTAGTGTACTAGCATCAGTAGGCACAGAGACACACACAAACATGCACACGCACACACATACACACACTCTCCCCTCCCCCCCCCCCCCCCCCCCCCCACACACACACCATGACTCATGAGTGAGGCCCAAGTCGCACTACGTCGTCGCCCACGCAGGGCCAGGGGTCAGACTCTAGCAGGAAGCGTGCAGCAACCCTAAATTTCCATCACTTAGAGCAAACATTTCACGCAAAATAAAGCTGAGAAAAGTGAGCATTAAGTTCTGCAGCATCTGATGCTGGCTAGTTAGCTGTATTGTCACAGAAGGTGCATTTCTGACATAGTGAGACCGAGCCATCAGAGTGATATGAAGCAGTCGGATGGCAGAGACAAATGGAAGTATCCTATCGGAATGAAAGTACAGTGCTGCAGTGCTTAGGAACCTACCGCCAATGGCAAATGGCTGCTTGACCAACATTCCTCCAAGCGGGATGCAATACACCTGCACAATACACATACACACATGCACCGGCACACACACACGCACAGACAGACAGACAGACACACACACATACAACACACACAAGGTGCACGCAGCGACCAAAATCAATATCGACCTGTTTCCAGAAAGCCAAATGGGATATAAGTTCGAGTACGGGTGCTGGGCCCCAGCCTTGCTCCACATACAACAGAAACATCATCGGCATCAGCATCAGTAACATCAGCACCAGCAGCGGACAAGGAATAGCAGAGCATTCCGGGAATTCTCTATCCAACACCTGCGGACACCAAGACAGATTAAACAGGCAAAGAAATGACACACCCGTCCAGTAACTGACCTGTCCGCCATTGGCCTTATCCCAGCCGCCAATGATAATACCGGCACTGAGAGACTCACGGTACTCAAAGCAGTATTTACGGAACATGTGAGCGGCCTGCGATACTTTTGACTTGTCCTCTAGCTCCAGCCTGGACAAGGAAATACAATGAAAAGGTCCTTAGGGTCGTAGAGAGATATGAAAGTACACATGCGAGACATATCACACATACTTTTAAGTATGCACGTACACACACGTACGTACACACACACACACACGCACACATACACACACACGGAGTAAACCAAAGAAATACTGCTGTAGCCATCTTGATTGCACGGCAAATACACATGCATATCTAAACACACAGTAGCCAGTGGCAACCTACTCCAGCATTTCCAGCTCGTATTTCACGACGCCAGTAATGGCCTGCGTGTCTGCCGCAGATCCCGATCTACAGCAAAAGATATGGCTGGAGACTTCGGCGATCTTGTCCGTCACACGGTTGGCGACGTACGACCTGGATCACACCGGACAGACAAATACAATGAAACGCACGTGTTGGAGAACATAATTCCCTCTACAATAATTGTAAGTGAGAGTTTCCTTACAAACACACAAGTCATGAAACGTTTGTTCTGCACTGCAGTGCAAGCTTGGAATGTGGTGTTCAAATTTCTACAATATTGTACTGGGCACTAATATCTGAACATGCATAATATGTTGTGTAGCGAGTCTGCCCAGGAGCAGCCATCAAGGCTACTTGTGTCAATAGGAGTAAAGCTGGTACGGTGGGTGAGCGCTGGTGGAATGGAAAATTGAATAGTTTGGGTCCATTGAAACATTTGAAAAACAGTTTTCAAATGAACGTCGTACGTTTCAGGCTTTCCAAATACATATGCTCAATGAGAAATCAATGTCTCTCTAGATCCTGCTGTCCAATGAAGCCTTCGCCTGAACAAGTGGTAGCTCATACGGGTCCCAGCGGACTCCACAAGTCTTTTAGTCTTACCCTGTTGACGTTCTAGAGTCAGCACCTAATACAACGCCGCCGTCAAATTGAACGGCCATGATCGAGGTCTGCATGGACACATAAACAGAACCTCTAGCATCCTAACACGATGATCTCTAAGCAATCAAGCTCATTTACCCCAAGAGCATGGGCCTTCGACATCCATTCTGGTGAAGCCTCCATTTTCGTCTTCTCAACAAATTGCAAACTCAAATCCAAAACTGGCAAAAGCTTCTAGAAAAATGTTGAAATGACTCACTCAAAAAGTCGTTGTACGACCAAGCAGCAAACTTCAAAGTAAACTCGTAAAACCAGCAAAAGACGATTTGACGCAGAAGGTTTAGAAGGGAAGTTGGGGAAATGGGTGGAATTCACGTTGGAATCATCCACTGAAGTCGGATTAGCGACAGTTTACGAGGTGAAATCCTGCCAACACTGTGACCAAGAGTAGGGATTTCAGGCGGTTTTTTCTGAGCAGCGCTTTGCTCCAACTAACAAGTTTTTCTGAAGCATCTATGTGTAAGGACTGTCTACAGAAAATTTGAACGGAATCCAAGCAGTATTTCCAAAGTTATGAGCATTCAAACATAGCGCACCAACCTTGATGAACACACATACAAATTGGATCTGCAGGATGGCACAAAATGGAATTCCCATACTCCCTAGCAACACCATAGCAACAAATAAACTTCATCCGATCGTGGCCAAACTTGGATCAAGGATGGCCCTGGCTGTGACGGAACAGAAGATAAAAGTTTTTTTTCAAAATTCCAAATGACCGCAACAATGGCGTCCTTAGCAACGGCCCTAGCAACAGTATATTTCACGCATAATTCAACATGGTAATAGGTGGAATATGACAGAAATACGGCAAACGCAACATTTAAGTTATATAGTATGCATGTGGGAAACTAGAGGAGCAGACAGCAAGCTCTGATGTCACACAGTGCCCGTTTTCGGCTGCAACGAGTCAGAGACGCACATTAGCCGCACAACGACCTTACTAGAGGCTATTGAGTATTGTACACAGAAGCCAGCCAGCGGCGAGTATTTATAAGAGATAAGTTCAGTAAAAAACAGCCTGGAACAACCACGCACCTGTATGACACATGGAAGATCAAGTCTGGTGCCACACACAGGGTCAAGACCTGCTATGCCGGGTGCGGGCTCCAAAGCGCCATCATTTGCTGCGCCGGCATCAACATCAACTGTTGCTTCAGCACTGATATCAACGGCTGGTCCAGCATGGACATGAACTGTTGCAAATGTCCACACCTCAGCACATACGACTGCTCAGGTGTGGAAATTTGATAACACTGATATAATTTTCCAAACTTATACAATTCATGCAATTTGCAATCCTTGCAGCCTACAATTTTCCTTGCAGTTCAATGTTTCTTTCTTGGACAAGAATCAGACACAATATACGATTTTTCGTTCAGTGTGTGGTTATCTGCTTTACAATTTGATTGAGAGGCAGTTCAAAAGGATGACTTAGTAATTCACTGAGGTCGTCACTTGCCTTGTTCTTCAGCAAATTTTTTCTCCACTCTCTGATACGCCCGATTTTGTTCCTGGCAATTTTCACATCGTCTCGAAATCCTTTCCATCCACGACTGCAACTAGCAAAATCAAATTATGCTAACTCTACTTGGTATCATTTTTGCTTCTCGCCCTCAACGAGAGTTCAACTACTACTAGGCCATTCCTCAACTGCCTGGGACAACACCATGAACACAGAGGAAGACGGAAGTTAATCGTCTTTCTTCTCCACCTCCATACTGTGTCATGGCGTTCAACTTCAAAACAATTTCCGCGACCGAGCGCGACCCTTCATGCCGTCTGAAGGAACCTACCTAGACTAAATCGATGCCGTAAAATCTGATTCTGACTGCCGCTTGAGCGTGGAACCAAGGCAAACACCTCAAAAGCGACATTGAAATCTACAAGAATCTATCGAGATGCGTAATATCGGCACGAATTCGCCGTGTGAGGCACCAAACGAAAGCTTGAAACCTACTCTTCAACGGTGCGCCAATAAAAATAGCGATAAACTCACTTTCCCTACCTAAAATCTACGCCGAAGACCCCGCGCTGAGCTGTGCCATGCCTGGCATTCAAAAAGCATGCATGCGTGTCAAGGTACTTTTGCCCCCGCAGATCACGTGACTGAAATCCCTACTTGCCAAGAGTGCATAAACAGTTTATGGACTCATGCTGTGACCCATACGAACGGAAAATCAACGACATCGACACCCATCCAAAAAATAATTATTGTCATTTCTTGAGGTTGTGCAATCGGTTCTTGCTGTGTCAGTGGACTTGAGCTCTCTGTTGTTGATAGCGAAATGGCGGCCTCCGAGGCCAAGGTATTTCTTAGCCTCTACAGACAGCTCCTAAGGGAGAGTGGAAAGTTTTCCTCGTACAATTTTAGGTGAGTGGTGTTACAATTGAAAAAAATTATAATTATTTTGAATGCCCAATGATTATAATTTTGAATGATTAGATTGGGGAGTGGAGGGTACATTGGAGGTGAAATCCCCTGGACACGGATTGTCGCATAGTAATGAATCAGAGTAAGTTTCTTGTTGTGATTGCTTCTTCCCCAGTTGTTACCTCAGCTCTGCACGTGAGCGAAGGTAGCCCTTAAAAATTGTAGTACAATGCACATACGTGTATACTGGACTTGTGCAGGGGTTTGCACGTGTTTTGATTGCACGCATTTCGGGTGACTGTAGCCTGTGCGTTAGGATAGAACCCAGTAATGCTCGTTTCAGCAGTGTAATCAGGATGCACCTGCTCAGCGGCGTCCACCGATGTGATGAACCACGGACAAGAGCCGAATAAGCTGCCTGAGGTTGGCAGAGAGCAATTGAAGAGAGCGACTCAATCTGCGCACACCATTGATTGGCCTTCTCTTGTGCATAATCCTGGACGAAGTCGGGGATACCGACGTCAGACCCCAGGTAGCGGCTGCCGGATGACGCGACCTGAATGCCGGTGTCCGCAAACTGCTGGACAGCATCCTCATACGCTTCTGGTTTCACGACCAGAACAGACTGCGAAACATTAAGATGGTAGCCAAACGACGCTCCCTTGGACTGCAGCTTGTGCCACCGAGACCTAAGCGCAACCAGTTGACCACCAGTCGAAGAATCATCTGCATGCCAGAGCTGGCATACGCCAGGGTTAGTAACTGCATGCACTAACGTCAAGACTCCGAGGGCATTAAGTGGCATGGCCGGCGGATCTTCTTGGGTGGTTCCTTCGTTTGACAAAATGCATTCTCCTGTGACGTACAAGTTGCTGGCCTGCCGATATGTGTTTATCACCACGGTGGCAAGCGATGGACAGAGGTGGCGGACATTGCGTATTGCTACGTTGCGATTCAGGTTATTGAACGCATTCGCAGCATCCGCCATAATGATGCCGTCGGTATCATCTCTGGAGTAGACATCCTGCAGTGCATGCACCGCTGCCTCGATTCCAAAATCCTGTCCGGCGCAGAGTTGCAAACTGCCAGCGGCCACCTGGATGTCGTGATTGATGATGCGTAGGATGTTCTTTCCAGGACTCGCCTCAGGACCTCTCCAACGCCTATAGGCCTCACCCCTGGGTTCTTCTCCAGAGGGATCAGCCGTGAAGCCAGGTAGGCCTGCAGAGCCAGCGGGTCAACATACTGCGTTGTCAGTCGCCTTGCGCATAGAGCATCTGAGGCACCTGCAAAATTTGTGGACATCCAACGCCCCGTGTCTGCATTGACTCAAGAAGGCCCTGCTGCGCCCTGTGTGTTTAGTACAGCTTTCCGCACAACGCCTCGCGGCGTCAGAGCTTCAAACCTCGCAGGATGGAGCGGTATAGGGATGTCACCTTGTACGAGTGCTTCCATGCTGGGTGGTGCGCTATCCGGATGATTCGATTTGCTTCGATTTGAGGACATCTCTGACTTTGGCGTCACCAATGCTGTCATCCACGTCTAGGAGGCCTTTTCCGGCTGAGCCATCTAGTTCGCGTACTGAGAGCATGCACTCAAACCCACAATTTCTCTTACGAGCCCATCCGTTTTTGATCGGTTCGTTCCAGTACCTATGCGATCTCTAACTTTTGGCGCATGAACTCCAGTTCTGTACGAAAGTTCATTTCAAACCAGAGGGAAAGTGTGATGTTTGATTTTCCGCAGTTCGCGGGCTGCAGCTGAATGATGTAATGAAGGCAGCGCACCGTGCATCTGGCCCATAGAAAAGAGATCACAGTTGCATACTCTTGTTTATGGACTCTTGGCATGAAAGCCTGTTTTACGGGCGAAAACGAGCACAATAAATGCGATACTGTACCCAAATTAATAATAATGCAAACCCAGTAAAACAAAACCCTTTTGGCACCCGCAATCTCATTATCTGTGATCATAATAACAGATTCATGATAATAATACATGTATAATGATAATATTTTTTTACTCTTGATGATAATGATGATGCTCTTGTCTAAAAAAAAAGCATGCTTCTTGCATGCTACCGCGTTTGTGCGCCCGGAAAGGCCCCGGATATGAATCTAGACTGCCTGAAAGACATGCGGACACACACAGGAACCATTGCCACTTTGTCACCTGCTTTGACTGTGCATTTGGACATTTGGTATCACAACGGAATGCTCCATAGTGACACGACTTACCCTTCACAGTCAATGTAGCAGTGTGCAGGCGGTTACAGCTAAGGTGTGCAGGCGCCGCATGGTTGGACTCCTGACTGCCACATGATGTGATGCATATGTATCTGCTCTGCTCCTTGGAACCTCATATCATATCATGACCTGACTAGATTGTGCATCCTCAAGCAGTTATGTATTGTTCAGTTTATGGTGACCACTGGACTTTCAACTGTCCAGGAACCCCAGGAATAGGCTCTCTGGCATCTCTATGGAACTGTTTCTTGCTCTGATCGTGGTTGTTGGTGTGTCCTCCCCGTCGTGTTGGTGATGTGTAGGAATTACTTTGTACGACGTGTTCGAGATGACTTCCGTTCTGAGCTGGCCAGCGGCAAACCAGTCGTCCGAGAGGAGTTCCTCGTCAGTGCACGCGACATGCTGGCGTTAGTCCAGCGTCAGGTAAGCAGTGCTATGCTGTATGCTGTATGCTAGGCATCTGGATATGTGTGTGTGTGTGTGTGTGTGTGTGTGTGTGTGTGTGTGTGTGTGTGTGTGTGTGTGTGTGTGTGTGTGTGTGTGTGTGTGTGTGTGTGTGTGCACCTTTCACCATCAGTGTATTCGCACAATTCTCGGTATCTCTCGTCGTGAGCAATGGGAGGAGAGATTGTCGTCAGCATCGCTGAGTGAGCTGGCAGGGGTGGACGTCAACATGGCCGATGTGATCAGGAAGCACCGCTTGCGGTGGCTTGGTCATGTTGCACGGATGAAGGAGACCCGGCTGCCCAAGCAGATGCTGTTCGGCGAACTGCCCTGCAAACGCCCGCAACATGGTCCCAAGAAGCGCTGGCGGGATGTTGTGTCCTCGGACTTTGCTGTCATCGGTTTGCCTGAAGCGGACTGGTATGACACAGCGCAGGAGAGATCCACCTGGTTTCAGTGTTGTCGACAGAGGGTCGAGAAGGAAGCCCCAGACATCCCGTGCCCCAACTACCGCTGTGACAGAGTGTTCCGTGGTCTTGGTGACCTCAAGCGGCATGCGCCATACTGCAGATTTCGAGTTTAGAGCCTCAGCGTGAGGAAGCCATCGCTATCATTGCTACGGCAATGGGCGTTCAAGGTTCAAGGTGTGGGTGTGGGTGTGTGTGTGTGGTGTTGGTGTTGGGGGGGGGATTATGTGTGTGGGTGTGTTGGGTGGGGGGGGGGGGGGGGGGGGGGCAGGGGACTGTATTACGACTAGTGCTGCTGGTGCAGTCAACTGGACCTGCCTCACCACAAACACTCCTGTAGACTTTATACGTAGAACATTTCAACTCCCACAGTATGGATAAAAAAAGGATCTGATTTTTTTCTGACATTCCCGTTCAGGCCGCCGTTGGAAATATGTACGCAGCACCAAAGATGGTCTTAGAAAAGGCTGGACAGGCGACGCCAAAGTGATCGCTACATGCTGGCTACCGTGTTGAAGTTTGTTGATCGATCAGTTGCCCTAAGCTTCCAGTCACACCATCAATCTCACATCGCAGTGCTACGTCTGGTACTGCCTCCGTTCCTATTGATGTCAATTGCTGTTTGAGTGGAAGAGAGTGAGTTGTATTTAGTACCCCTGTATATAAGACTTTTCTAGCTCTGTATTAGCTATGCATTTTTTGTATAGGCTTTTTTGTTCTTGTTTGTAGTTAGACATCTGTACATAAACGTGTTTGCTATGTGTTGGATGTGTGCGAAAGAGCTGTTTTGGTAGCTCAGCACGGACATCCATGCTCTGAACATTATATTCTTTAGGAATTCCGAACAAACGTAATATGGATACGCTCCAAACTCTAATGAACTGTTGGCTGTTGGATTGGCGCGTTGCGGCTAAGAGTACATGCATTGGGAGAGGTTGTTTGTTCCGTTGAAAACCGGCGTCAGCTGCGTATGTCGTTGTACTGTGCTTGTTTTAGCACTTTTAGTGTAGCGGATATTGAAATCCATTGAGAGGTCAAAGCAACCACAAGCACTGCTGGTCCATGCTGACAGTGTTTTTTGTTTTTTAATTTTTAATTTATTTGTTTTTTTACTAAAAGCCATGTGGTGCACGCAATGGGAACATGCAGCAGCCATGGTGGTGTGTACATGAACGTGAACAGTGCATGTACGCGCTAAAAGCATGAGGGGGGGGGGGGGGGGGGGGGGGAGGTCAATAATACTGCACCGGTCATTTGACTTTGGATATACAGTACCTCAGCGATAAATACAGACTGTCTTGTTTTACACCAGAGGATGCACCCAGTGTGCTCAACACCGGGTAGTGTATTGCACAGCAAGGTCATTGCAACTCTGAGTTCCATCAGTGGAACAAGACTAGTTCGTTGAAACTCTAAGTGTTGAAACGAACCAGCCTACTTCCACTGCTGTGCTGAAACCCCTTGAATTGTATGGGGTTGTGCGATATTCGTACTACACTCTCTTTTTTCTGACCAGGGGAACATGTATCCTGCATGACTGCACCACACGTATTCCATCATAACCCGTTGAAGGTGCAACTAGATAAGTCTGGTCAATCCTGCATGCATCTACGCATAATTAATAATTATCACACGCACGCACATGCGCTCACATTGCCGTACACCCCCCCCCCCCCCCCCCCACACACACACACCTGGTCCTGGTAAACACTGCCATTACGGTCACGTGTCCCCTTGCGGGGCCGACAACATGGAATGACGAGCGACGGCAGAAAGTCGGCGATCTGCCGAGACGTCAGGGGCCATGTTCAATTGGCCCCACGAGAGAGCCATCTCCGGCAGCTATGGATTTGGAAGCCACGAGTAGAGCGGCAGCACCGACCACAAGCCCCACAGTGGGCCTTGCAACATGAGAGACGGAGCCGGACACGCGGCGGCGGCGGAGGAGTAGGTGTCAGCTGAGCAGCAATGGTGGACACCGCTGTTTGGCATGGAGCTTGAGACGATGCCGTGGGGAGCGCCTGGGAGATGGGGCACTTGTGGACCACCAAACCTCCAGCACTGCCCCCCCCCCCACACACACACGTTGCCGTACACACACACACACACACACACACACACACACACACACACACACACACCGTTGACCTTCCGCTTGCCACACTGCCGACAGCCAGCATTGAATAGAAGGTCCTCATTTTCCCTCAGTGCATAATGGTTGCAAAGAAACATGCATGATTTCAGTCTTAGTCAAGTGTTGACAAACTGCCGGACACTGTTTTCAATGTTCAAGTATAGCACTGATTTTTTTCATGTCCGCTAAATGCTACAGATGAAATTGCAAGACCCCCCTATACCCAGACTTCACCTACACGCTACTTTGCAATGATGACATCATGTCACATGGTGGAATCAAGGCCTGTTCGTGTGTTGCCGGTTGGCGGTTAATGAAAAGACTACAGTGGAGCTTCAGAATTCTCAAAAACATGCTGCATGTTTACTTACACGTATATAAAGTAAAGTTTTCAGTGTGAGAGCTGTGATCATCAAGTTCAATACTACTTAGAGAAGTTAGTAACGGTACAGGTTTGTGAGCTAGCTGATAAATTATTAGTGGTGCGAGCGGTATGCGGTCCTGCGTGCTCAGCAGCTACCAGGCGGGATAAAGGGAAGCGAAATGAAAATTTGAAAAAAGTTCTGGCAGTGATCCGGGGCTGGTGGTAAGCAAACGCAGTTTAACTTGTACCTTACATCAAGAAAGTATGCTTCTGGTGTGGTCTAACTGATAGAGTAGTCGTTCAAGCGATTTTCAACTCCAAGGGTATTTTGATAGCGTTAGTCAATTGCGTAGTAAATATTACAACACTGATATCAAGTTGGTGGGCAGGGGCTTGGACCACCTGTCACTGATTTGATCAAGTGTTACGCGTTATTCTGGTGTGAAGGGGGGGGGGGGGGTCGACGGTGACCAATTTCAATTTGCCTAGGGGCATTATAATAAGTGAATCAACTAGTTGAGTATCATGGCTCAAGAGTGGAGGGTAGATAGGTGGCTGGTAAGCCGTGTTGCCTGGGCTTGAGACGTGCGGCGTCAGGTGCGCTGATACAGCTGTGCGTACGAGGCGGCGCCGCGCACGTTTGTGGAGATCCAGTCCGCGCAGGGCAGTACTGCTTGCCTGGCAGGAGGGTAGACGTCGAGACAGCCAGTGTGTGGGGGGGGGGGGGGGGTAGCGATGCTGTCCGAGTCAGGCGGCCATCCATTTCGCCAACATAGTGATGGTAGCACTGCCCGCACTGCGATGATGTAATCTCTCCGAGCGCCGTATGATGTCGCCGTGTATTCAGTCACATGCCTTTATCTGTGAGTATGATGTACCTAATGTGAACATGACATCATCATGATGTCATACTGATCAGCATCACCGGCCCATGCACATGACGACGAGGCAGTTCTCATCGGCAGAAGGTCATTACGTGACTGTTACTGGACTGGACGCACGCCGTGTAGCAGCAGGGCAGCTGCTGCTCCGGCTTGCACTGCGGAAAGTGGTACTCGACGACGCGCGTCACGTACCCACGTCCGCAGCACAGGATGTCACACGTCAGACCGTCATCGGTGCCGTCAATGTCGCACTGCCGGCCGGATGGGCCCGGTAACCCGTAGCGACGGCGGCAGAAGTTGGGCGACTTCCTGGCGTAGATCAGCTGCTCCTTTCTTGGCTTGTCGTCGTCGTGGATTGGTATCCTGTGATGCGATATCTGCGCGTTCTTCTTGACAATCTGCGGCGTGTTTAGGTAATCTTTCACGATTTTGATCTGCAGGGGAGAGAGAGAGAGAGAGAGAGAGAGAGAGAGAGAGAGAGAGAGAGAGAGAGAGAGAGTTCAGTCAGAGGGTCATTTGCAAATCCTGCTTTTTAAGCTAAGGTCGATGAGGAACTGGCTTCCCGTGCAGCAAGGGTTTTAACACCAATATTGTCGTTGCGCACAATCAGAGTTTTTAAGGAAGGACGCGGGATGATGCCTTTTTCAAACACGTACACATCATCATGTGAACTCAGCTAAGCCATCACATCGGAAATTTTCGTTGCTTTCCAGTTAAGTTACTTGAAGTACTCGTGTGGCACGGCTTTCACAACTCAATATGCACAATACACTCATACGTCAGTTCTCCAGACCGTCTGAAGTTACGGGCACTTCGTTCTGCCGGGCACTCTTTGGGTGAGTTTTAGTGGAAATATTACTACTCTTCTGTCACGTTTAGTGGAAATATTATTACTCTTCTGTCACTTTTGTGGAAATACTAGTAGTACTACCTAGTACGGCCACCTCGCAGCTCTACCAGCTCGAGCATGACATTGTGTCCTTACCTCGTCGGCTCTGTCGTACAGACCGCGAATGTATTGAGCGGCCTCCTCGGCCCTGATGATTGTGTGCGTGTGCTTGAAGGAGCAGACGCCGCTGATCCCGAAGCAGTTCTGCTGCTCCTTCAGGCCTCTGCTCAGCATGGCCTGCAACGCGGGAAACAACGACCGGGAAGAACACACACACACTGCATTGGTCAACAATCTTCTCTATCATCAGTGTAGACCAGTGGACTAGGAGTGGTGAAGATGCGTGAAATGTGTTGCTGGTAAAGAAAATCAACAGCAGGGTCAATGAGGGTGTGGGTGAATCTCGGGTACAACACCGCCGGCGCCGTGGTTCGTACTATGACGTCACATGTCACAGTACAATGTACATGTGACGTCATAGTATCATACTAGATTACGGTGCACTGGGCGTGGTACCTTCAGCTGATTCCGACTTGCAATGGCCATTACTATGCCGCATACAACTGTGCAACGTAACCAAGTAAAGTCGCTTGAAATTGTCGTGTTGTTGCGTGGCAGGGCCAGGGAGAGAGGAAGAGAGGCAACACACGGTGTATGTGTATGTACATGTCTGGGTGTGCAGTGATGACATCACACACCAGCATGCAGTGTATGTACATGTCTGGGTGTGCAGTGATGACATCACACACCAGCATGCAGTGTATGTACATGTCTGGGTGTGCAGTGATGACATCACACACCAGCATGCAGTGTATGTACATGTCTGGGTGTGCAGTGATGACATCACACACCAGCATGCAGTGTATGTACATGTCTGGTTGTGCAGTGATGACATCACACACCAGCATGCAGTGTATGTACATGTCTGGTTGTGCAGTGATGACATCACACACCAGCATGCAGTGTATGTATATGTACATGTCTGGGTGTGCAGTGATGACATCATACACCAGCAATGCAGCACTGCCTAACGGTACCCCCGACCAGGCAGTAGTAAAATTACTACTCCGGCTCCCAACCGAATGTCTGGACCGCATAAGTGACCAACATAGGAACAGATGCTATACGCCACGGCTAGCCGGAGAGCTTGAGTTCACTGGGCCTCCGCTACAGACCGGCTTGCAGCAAGGTCGGTGGTCGGGTTTCCCCCCACTAAATCTGAACTCAGAAGTTCTCCACACCTCTGTGTGTGTTCTCAGTCACTGTTCTGGATTACCTAATCTGCCAGTATCTGTGGTCATCTGCTCTAGGCCTGTGCAGGTGTATGCTGTACAATCTGCCAGTATCTGTGGTCATCTGCTCTAGGCCTGTGCAGGTGTATGCTGACAACTTCTGCTATAACTTATAGTCTTTGTTCCACAATCTAAACCGAGACGGGTTGCACTCTAAGGAAGAGGAGTTGCACATGTTATATATGCAGTGGCTTGCGTCAGTCTGGAGCAGGCTGGTGCATGGCTGGTGCACTGTGACTGGAGGCTTTTGCTCGTTCTGGTACGTGCTCGTGTCAATGTCAGCGGGATTAAGGAGCACCATGCAGGCTGCTGCTTGTGACTGATCAATGTGTTTCCGGCACCTTGCTCTTGCTGCAACATCATTATCAACAGTAAATACTGTTACTATGATTCTACTTGTAGGTGTGAGAAAGAATGGAACTTGATCCGGCAATGTGTCACACACCACGTGTAACAGTTATCTGCTTATGATCGTGACTGTGACCACGGTGTTTCAAGTGAGCAATTTGTACCAATCAGCACCTCGGCCTCGTCAGTATCCGCCCTCCAACTAGGGGCGGATGAATTGTACACAACCGTGGGCGATTGCCCAGTGCAGGGCTCAGTTAGTGGATTAACCACAAAGTGGCATGGATTCCAGCTGACAGAGCGACATTGCTTTCTGCCGGTTACTTCTCAGTGCACCTGGGCACATGATCAATGGCAATCGTTGAGAATTTCTCCTCAGTGCCTTGTAACCGTTCACTGTACTGACAGAGTGTTGGGCTTCAGGTGCATGTTTTTGACTTTGCATTTTCCAATCAAATTAGTTTGTGCAATGCCATGATTGCTGTCCTTGATTCTTGGCCTGCTATTAAACCTGGTTTTTGCTCCAGTGATTACAATGATTACAATATTCCAGGAACGGAAAGACAAGTAGCTGTGAAGTGGAAGGTTTTTTGGTTGAGTGTTGGTGTTGCTAATTTTTCACTATCCCAGACACAGTAGGACCTTCAGAACAATGGTAGCGACTTTGGAGGTATGCGTGCAGGTGGGAGCAATCAACTTGCAGAATGCCGTAGACTAGAGAACAAATAGAACAGAGTCTTATGAGGTGCAGTGTCTCCGGAGCTTGCAGTGATCATGATCAACCGTAATGTAGTAGTGACATGCATTGACTGCTACATTGTATTCACTACCGGCATGCATGCAGGTGGAAATGCTGCCTGTCCTTCTCCAGTACTGATGGATCAGAGGTGCTGATACTAAAGTAGACCAGGGGGTATGATACGTGGTATCATTGTGGCCTGCTGGTACCATAATCCCAGTTGCAGCATGCAGTGTGCTGTATGCAGCAGCTCAGCTGTGCACCATCCCAACTGACTCCACTTGCCCATTGACCACGTCACAGTTTCTATTCATGGAGCTTGGCTTGGCTGCAGGGCTGCTGGTGGACTGTCAAGCTGTCCCTGGCCTGGCACTCATTCTCCATTACTGGGATTGATTTCATCAATCATCATCCCCCAAGCATTGTATTCAATCTTAGGCTAGAACAATGCCCAGCTGATAGCATGGTGTGCAAATCAATACTGTGGCTCCCAATCATGGCGAGTAGAGGATGTAGCAGCTGACTCTTATCTCAGTCAGGAGCACACCTTCTATCAGAGCTCCCATCAGAAGGATTATGATAAGTGGCACAGGGGGACTTTGGCTGGTTCCTGTCCAATGGCTCTTGGATAAGCTTTCTTGCTGGCGTGGGTCTGAGTTGTGTACTGTGGGTTTGTGTGGGCATTACCACTGACATCCACTGGGGCACATGTGCATGCAATCGGGAACACATCCGAGATGTACACGATGTACTAGTAAGCGAGGAAAAGTGGCATTGAGTTCTTCATCTCATGAAAGCTGACCCTTCTGATCCTCATTCGACTGACACATGCAAACGTTAGTGTTTTGGTGTCCTTTTCAGAGAGGCTGGCAGGGGCCGCTTTCTTCATCTGACAGTGTCCGTGTCACTCCAGGACCAACACTGGAAGAAAACCCGACACTCACTAGTGCGTACGCAAAACCATGCTGACTGACATTCGACCACTTTGTAACCGGGGAAAGTAGATGTCCGCGTCCACGCACTCTTCACCGCAGCGACCGCAGGCGCGGGTGCAATGGTTACGCACGGTAGTCTTAAGCCACTTCTTGGTCGGATGATAGTGCCTACCCTTAAATCCCCTACTGGATGACCTAATAGGAAGTATAGACACGCGCGTGTTTCCTGACACTAGCCACCAGTCCAGCCCAGATTCATCACCAGGAACACATTGACGAAGGACCATCACGACCAAATATGTCCTGTCAAGTGAAATAGTCACGTCAGAATGACGGCAAACGATTGTTCAAAAACTAAGCTACTTGCAGAATCTCGGTAAGATACTAGTGTTTCTTCACTCACCTTAATGCCCGCCATGCGATTATGCTGATTGATCATGACTCGGTTCGTGTAGGTTTCATTGGTCATCTTGCGGCCTTTACGATCGCCGGCCGAGACGAAGATCTCCACCAGGTCCTGGCAGCACTTGAAGTTCTGTGTCGTGCAGCGGGTCATCTCACACGGCTCTCGGTTCAGAATGCTGCAGTGCGCGCCGCACGGCACCTCCTTGCTGATCATCTCCTGTAGCAGGACGGCCGTGGACAGCGCGTGGATGAACGCCGCCTGACGCGTACCTGCATACACACACACGTACAGAAACACACACACGTACAAGTACACACGTACAAGGGACATACACACACACAAACACACATATACAAGCACACATACAAACACACACATACAAATGCACACACGTACAAACACACACGCAAAGTTGGAGGCATAACATGAAACTCTCGTACAACACTATGGCGACAATCAGCCCACAATGCTCTCTGGTACAGCCTGCACACAATGAATAGAGTCCTTCATGTTTCATGATGATGGCACATCGCCAAAGAATTCTCACTTTGCCTCATCAAAATACTGAGATATTTCGCAATGGCAGCTGAGTAGCAAAGCATTCCAAAGTGAGCATTTCTGTGCTCGAAATCAGAAGTTAGTTTGCCCTGTGTCTGCGCTGCCGGGAATGTTGCCAAGAAATGCGTTGTTTACTTGTCATGTACTGGACAGTAACGAGCGATGTAAGAGAACGGTACGTGACTGCATTGAGTTATAGACAACACAAATCAGGTGTTCTTCGGCTGTTCCTGCTGCCACACCAAAGCCTGGTCAATCTGGGGTCAGTGTTTATGCCATGTAGACTCTCTGCAGTGCCCGGATTCCAACGGGTGTAGCTCACTTGGTTGCTTTGTCCCTTCAGGCGTACACATGTGCATGTACTGGGGTGATCACAGACTTCTTGTGTGGGTTAACTAATCTTGCAGTGCATGCAGGCACATATGCAGCATGTGTGAGACTAGTAAAGTAACATCACATCGCATAGCACCACAGTATTTCTATCAACTACAGTGTTCAATTGTTTACTTGTACATGTCAGTGCTGATGGCTTGGAGGCCATGCACAATGCACACAGGATCAGGGGCTCGCCGGCGTATAGCCAGCAAGCATGTACACTGTCATAACAGTACCTGCTTGCGTACTTGACATACATCTGTCCTGCACTGCAGCTAAATGTATATGCAACACTCAAAGTTGCACTACGACTGTATATGTAATCCGGAATAGAGCTGGAGAGCACTGAGACTACTGAGCTCAAGTAGATGTTACCATATATAGACCATATATAGAGTAAGATCAGGTCTCACTGCTAGCTAAAGGTGATAGATATAGATCATACGTGGTCTCCTCAGACTCCCACCATATATCTGTACATTATGCCGTTAGATACGACTCGTATTATGTCTGAGCACAGCTATCGTACCCTCAGCACACCATCCCACAGCATAGCGGGCCATTGGAACACGGGGACACGAACCGTATCCAGGAATGCCCCAAGACCAACATGTAAAGCTACTGCGAGACACGCAGCTCAGTCCAGCCTCGTGGGGGTCTTCACGAAGTAGGCGGATTATGTTCCCACGCTCCCAGAGGACACGGGCATGGAAGCTGAGCGAAGGTGGTACTGTTTACAAAAACTATGTATTTCTAACATCTCATGGCACCATCATGCTATTGTTTAGTCCCGAGAGGCTATCAGAGGCAGGTGAGGAGCCTAGTAAACGGCAAAGGAGATGGTGTTTGAGCTGCTGAGAAACTGAACATCTTGCGCTGCTTTCAGTCTCTGAAGACAGCGGATATGTTACCATGCATTGCCACTACCCCTTGGGATCTTTGAGCTGTCTTGATGTCTTGGACAAGACTCACAGTAGCACCTGCCTGAGTGAATACTGTGGACCTGTGTGCCTGGCTCTAGTACGTAAGATCTTACGTCATGCCTGGAAGGTTAACGATGTATGATAGTGCGCATACACATGCACACACGGCGGCTGGATTTGATTGAGTATCGCACTACACTGGATACTGCTGCTGCCTGTGTTGATTAGTTTGTATACCAACATTTCTTTGGGAAGGAGGCTAGTCAAACTGTGCAAACACAGGATCAGCCAGAGGCGACCAGTGACACCGTTGGTACTAATTGTTCACGACGACGTGATACCGAGCTCGTTAGCTGAATGGAAACTGTGAAATAAGCAGTTTAATCAGTCCGGGCTACTCCGGTCAATACAATAGTCTGGTTCCTGCAAAGGAGGCCTGCAATCAGTGCACATCAGCACACACACACACCTTTCCTGCCCTGCAGCTACGCTGTAACACCAGACCATCTATGCACTGACACGCTGTTTACGAACACAGTCTGTAGAGCACTGGTCGCGGGTAAACAGAGCGGGGAGATCACGTACGCCAACAGTGACGATGGTGATGGCTGACAGCTGCGAGTACGACGGGCCCTCACTCGGCCAGGCCGCAACGTCCAACGCACATGTGCTGCGAGTGACATGTAAATATTGTAAGTGCGCCCGCAGTCCGCAGCAATGTACCTGCGGCACATTCTGCCAGGCGATGGCACACGACGTTCAACAACCATCGCCGGCGTGAGTTGGCTCTGTGCACTGAGGCGTGGGAACGAGCAACGACGGCCTCGCGTTTCTTGGATCTTTACCATTCGTATTGTCCGTCAGGCGGACCGTGCGCGAGCACACGTGCCCCGTGACCAAACTCTGTATAATACCAGGGGTGGTCGACGCGCTGTCAGACGAATGACTGGCACGTGTCACCGTCACACGCCTAAAAGCGGACTGGCAAGGTGGCAGGGAATTCCGATGTGACGGGTGAACGTGCAGCAGCGTGGAATGCACCCTGTATAAACTATAACCGGAGCAGCTGCGTCTGACCAGACTGACGGCGTGCGCCGTGACGCCATGTCATGTGCACTGTGCCCCGTAGCATGGTCCCGGGGCAAGTGTGGCCTGATTGGCATCGTGCTCGTGTCTCGCCATTCGAACCAACCAAGCTGGTCGGTAGTCAATGGAGGTGAGGAATTGCAAGCGATGGTAACAGGCCAGCGTTCGTGAATCAATGGTATTGTTATCGTGCACCCAACAGCTCCCCACGCACTGTGCTGGCCTTAATTCAAGTAGCACAGGATTCGGTAGTACATGTACAGGATTCGACCTATTTGTACACATACACATACATGTAATTGATAGTACAATGGATGGTGACCTCATGATGACCTCATGATGACCTCGTGCCCGTGCCTGTGAACAAACATACAGCCAGACTGGTGGAATGAGACTGACCTCCGCATCTCTGCCGTCACCGTGACGGCGTGAGCAAGGACGGAGACACTGGTTTACTCTCGGGCCTACACTGTGCAATGCTAAGACACACCAGACCAGTATGATATTAACATTATTCCCAACTGCAGCTCAGTTATAGTTAGCTCTTAGCCTAGACTAGAGCTTCTAGACCAGAACACAGTGGAACAGATCTGTGTGCATGATCATTGATGTTACACTACCCAGTACTATAAGCTAACCAGTGCTGGAAAGTTGATGACAGCTCGTGGTAGCCCAGTGTGCCACTAAGGTCAGTGAGCAGGACAACATTGCGCTTAGCCATGCCCAAACATGGTGTTCTACCATGCATCCCGTGACAAGGGACCAGCACAGTGCAGGGCAATGACAAGTTGACTGAGCCAGGCACTGAACTACCAGCACTGGAGCACTGCACGTAGGTGACTGCCTTTCAACAACTGGAGGACACGCATGGCAGATAGGTAGCCAACGACTGCCCCTACCCTAGGCCCTGCCACTTGACATGTCAAGCCTTGAAATGAACACGCTCTAGAATCTCCAAACACACACTGGTGAAACTGAGTAGGCACTCTTTCCGTGACTCCTGTCCATGCAGACTCAACTGAGCCTCTGAGGTCCTGCATTGCACAATGCCTGGTCACCACTGCTCTCTATATTAGTCTTGGCTTCTGTGCTCACTGAAGTGTGGCGACAGTGCAGGACGGGCCCCATGCCTTGAACTGAACTGCATGGGGGTCAAGACCATCTGGCATTGCCCACCCTCTTCTCCGCCTATCATCAGCACACTCCCCAGGTCCCATTGGGCACGCATCTCACAGCTAAAGAATACCGGTTGCTTACCCATGGTTTCTGAACTATCTTACAATCAAATCAATCAAACCCCTCCTAGAATAGAGCTACAACAGTACACTGGAGTTTGAAGTCGTCACAGGGAGATGTTTGTTTGCTTACTCTTGGGACTCTGGACATGGACTTGGACAAACTACTTGATAGTATCAATGGGTGCCATCAGGTCAGTATTTCTGGATTGCAGCTCCAGCAGACCCCCAAGGCACTCACAAGAAGATTCCGAGACTCTGAGTCACTCAGTCACCGGGATTGGGGACATAAAGACAATGAATGAACACAGCCAAGCAGGGAATGACCTCTCTGCTCCTCCGTACACTGCCTACACTGGGAGTGCCGTGGACATGCCCCCCCCCCCCTCTCTCTCTCTCTCTCTCTCTCTCTCTCTCTTTCTAGCTCTCTCTCTCCGTCTCTCTCTCTCTCTCTCTCTTTCTAGCTCTCTCTCTCTCTTTCTAGCTCTCTCTCTCTCTCTCTTTCTAGCTCTCTCTCTCTCTCTCTCTCTCTCTCTCTCTCTCTCTCTCTCTCTCTCTCTCTCTCTCTCTCTCTCTCTTTCTAGCTCTCTCTCTCTCTTTCTAGCTCTCTCTCTCTCTCTCTCTCTTTCTAGCTCTCTCTCTCTCTCTCTCTCTCTCTCTCTCTCTCTCTCTCTCTCTCTCTCTCTCTCTCTCTCTCTCTCTCTCTCTCTCTCTCTCTCTCTCTCTCTCTCTCTCTCTCTCTCTCTCTCTTTCTAGGTCTGTACAGTACACTGTACACGGGATTCTCAAACAGGTCAACAGCTCAAGTCAAGTGCTGCCAATTATCCTGCCTAGCCTTCAGGGAAAGTGTACTGACAAGATTCCTGTTCTTCATTCTTAGCCGCTTGTCTTTCCTTTTGTACTGGACAGCATGCAGTTATAGCATTAGGCCCAGTAAGCGTGAACACCTTCCGCAAAATACATGAAATGCGGAGCTGGGGGGTAATTAATTAATCAGCCACGCTTGTTGCTGCTATTGTGTAAACGATTTGGACACCAGATGTGAGTGTGACACAGGACTTGGCCCAACACAACACCCATCAGCAGTAAACAGGTATTATCTCTGTGGACATTCACCTTGCTGTTGTGCTGTCCCCATTGTGGCCTCATGTAAGCAAGGGATGCTGCATACCGCACTAAAGTATCTCTGATCAGGGCTCATCATGTAACAGATCAGCAGGTCACTTCCTGCCAATAAACTACATCACTCATCAGTACTGATGTACCCGGTCCTATCTCACAGTCATACTACAGCTTCCCTGCACACTATACATACAGGCTGATCTGCATAAGCATAGGGGGTTATGTTCAGCAATGCTGCTCAAGTGTACATGTCCTTCGCACAGCACACCTTTTCATAGGCACCATGAATGATGTCCAGTGGTGCAAATTGTCCCCTATTCACAGCCCCAAGAGCTATTGCCGCATGCCAATCTGTGCTCCAAGTACTCAGGAATCAACTGAGTTGGCATATCCCTGGACCGGACTTAGCTGGGAACATTGCAATGCAGTGTGGTACATGATGTGCATACGCTCTGTGTTGACTACCAAATACACTCCCAAATACACTACCAGTGGTAGTGTACACACAGATTAGATTAGGTTTGGTCCTCGCTCAGATGTCCACCTCTAATCAGGCGAATTTCGGTTCGCACACCTCCTTGACTCAGCAGCACACATGCTTTTTTTCTCCATTCAAGTCACCGGCAGAGTAACTGTGGCATTCGCTGCGTGCAGCGACCCGTGCAGCGACCCGTGCCAACACAGGAACATCCCACAGGACTTCGCCGAGAATAGTGACCGCAGAGCATCTGCGAATGATTCCCCAACTCCTCATTCTGCTAGAGGCAAGAATGTCCCGTTCAGCCTGACTCGATCACGCAACACCAGCACACGACGCCTCAGCATTCTAGAGAACTTGACTTTGGGTACAGCAATTCGATACTAGGTAGCGACGGCGAGAGGTTCAGGAAATTTTCGCTGTTGCGAAGTCTGCGTGCATGCGCATGCATCCACGAATGATCCCTTCGCCCGCGTCACACAGTTCACCCACCGGCCGTTCCATTCTTTGAAGTTTCTTTCATCACGCGGACATGAAGCAACACACAGCCAGGCGCAGTACGACACGTATACCTCCCTTTACAAGCCGAAAGCATTCTGACACAACCTCATTGACGACAAGTTAGCACGAATACCAGTTTTACTTATCGGAAGCACATTTTCTTCCCGTGCACACGCACATGCACGAATTTCTCCTTGCTACCCTCGCTAGCTGTCCACGATCCGTTTCCCAAGCTGCAGAGAGTGAACATTCCAGCCATGTGCATGGAGTTTGACAGCAGCTCGTTCAGGAGAGCGAGAGCTGCATGTGCACCATCGTCTGACGCACTCAGCAGTGTCAGCACCTCGCGAATGATTACGTCGTGTTGCTTCAGGCTCAGAGGTCATGCAAAAGCAGACGACTAGCAGTCAAACACCCTGTAGAATACATTCATAATGCCATGATGCCATAACGTATGGCATAAGGCATTAGACTAATCGCTTTGGAAACTCTATACATGTACCTGCGACAACACCCGCTTGTTCGACCGTACAGAACAAACTTGCCAGAAGGATGCCTTCGTCGTGCAGCTAGCTCTACGTGCGAGCGATGAATCCGGATTGGTCCTTTCCGCGTGCTACCTCCGCGGTCCGACCTTAGAATGACAACGCAGGCTGTAGACATACAATTACAATTAACAGGTACTAGTAGTTCTAAAGTTACTTTAGAAGGTTTAGTTTCTCGTTGAAGTGGACTTGATTTGAAACAAACTTTACTTCAGTGAAGGTAAACTACGTAATCAGTCCGCAACGGTACTTACTGAGATCGAGAAACTTTCCGAAGTAGGGCGGCGGAAGCGCAGGCACGTCGGACGACCACTGCCTCTGCGTGGTGCGCGAGCAATTCCACTGCATCGGGTGCATGCGGATCACGCATTCCTTGAGGAAATACTCGCGCGCCGTGTGAAGCAGACTCCGATTCACCGCACCGCCATCGACCAGCTGCTTCTGCAAACCCGTGTAGTCGGCATGATGGTGTCCTTCTGATCGTAATAACGAGATATCCCTGGTGAAAATAAAAAAGCAAGAAGGAAAAGATAAAACGACACATCAACACCCGCTACGAACGCTAGGACGAATTCTACAGTGCTAGCTGCTCAATGAAGTCCAGTCGCGAGAGTCAAGTTTGCGCCTCGCACCTTTTCGCAGCCCAGTGTTCGCAGGTCTAGGGCTGCGCAACGCCCGGCGCGTGCTTGAGTGACTGGAGTTCATTGAGCAGTTCTGGAACGTTACTTGGCCTTCTTCTGGGGTGCGTTTCCATACGACGAATATCATACATCGGGTACATTTCAATCATTTGTAACCCAATTCATTCACCAAATCCAACTATCATTCGAGCCGACATTATTATTGTTATGCGACGTGACAAAAGATACACAAAACACGCGGATGATGGCTACGTAATTTTATTATTGTCCGGACTGGCGGAGATTTGGAACATCCAGATGTTTCAGGAACGCCGCCACCTCGTTCACACCGCAAAGCGCAGCTATTTCTCGTGATCATCATCAGAGTTCCTGCGTGCCGATTTCATGTCGAGACAGGGGCCTCAGATCAGAACTGGCTTCAAGTTCAACCTGCTTCACACCTCCTGTTCGAGCACGTAGATCTACGCTCGGCGCATGTGTGAACCTTGTTGTCTAATTGGCAATAATCACTGCATCTGATTTGAGTGAGAGGTGCAATAAAAGCCGAGCAGTGGGGTTCTGAATTGATGCATGTGCTTTGCTGGTGGGTCGTAGGGGTGCAGCCTTGCTAGTACAAGTCATGCACTGACATAGGTTTCCTTTGAGAGGCGAGAATGGCTCCAGCATCGTCCTATGCGGCATGCCTAGCCCTGTTTTACAGAGCGACACAGCTTTTCCCACTTCGCACCCACGAAGCCAGCCCCGCGAGAAGCGCAGAAGAGGGACACACGAAAACCAAACCGGTGTCCACCAACTTTGGGTTGCTGCGCACGGCATGGCAGGTGGAGAGATGCGCTCTTCAGCGAAGTGAGAGGGTCCTCGCACGCGGACAAAGGCTAAAATCTGTACCTCATCAGCCAGAGAGGGTCTTTCTATGATACATCAACACCTCCCTAAGAGATGCAGGGGGTTATTTTTAGTTTCCATGCCAAGCGAGGACGACATGGTCAGCCTAGCCTAGTAACCGTGAGTGGCCTAACGCGTTGATCACAATACTATCACCTAGAGTAGCTTGGAGATTAGCCATTGGCGGACTATGCTCGGCCAATCGTCAAATTCTGCTTTTGATTATGCCACAATTATGCCAACAACTATGCTGAATTATGCTGAATTATGCTCGGTTCCACTATGTATTCACGCTGTACATAGAGGATTGAGAAACCACGCATACACACACGGCCATGCCCTAAGGATAATTTTTGTCTAAACCGAAAGATTATGCCGACTTTACACGTTGGAATCCGTATATTATGCCGGAGCATAATTTTTGGACGAAATCCCTAGATTATGCCAAATATTATGCCGGCATAATCCGCCAAGGGCTATGACAAGGAGTCGTAACTGGGGTATTTAAAAAACACATCTGCAGGCTTTCTGACAAAGCTGTATTATGCCCCTAAGCATAATTTTTGTCTAAACCGAAAGATTATGCCGACCTTACACGTTGGAATCCGTATATTATGCCGGAGCATAATTTTTGGACGAAATCCCAAGATTATGCCAAATATTATGCCGGCATAATCCGCCAAGGGCTATTGGGGAGGGTTTCGGGAATCGTATAGCTAGCCATGACTGTGCGAGTAGGATGCTACACACAGAGTGATACACACACGCGCGCGTGCGCGCGTGCACACATACACGCATGCACACACACGCGCGCGCGTACAAACACTCTCAATCTGCTCTGTGAAAAGTACAAGACCGTTTTCACTCTGCGACATTCTCCACCACTCGCCTTAGGAAGGAGAAGTGCGCCAGGACCGGTAAGGGTCCTCACCACCGCGCCACGAAAGAACTACGGAGATGAAATCGGATACGGTCCGCCCTCTCACCCATACTGCTCAGCGGAGCGCGAAACCGCAAACACAATCCGCTGGCGTCAGTTTTGCGCTGCGTTCACTTGTCTCCAGTGCAGCGAAGTACAGGAGACATTTGATACTCGCATGTCAGCAGGCATGCTTCTGGTGCTAGTGATAGCAGCCCGAACATAAACATTGAAACAGCAACCCCAAACAAGCGTAATAATTATTTTAGTTCTTCACAACTCACCACCAATAGAAGCTGTACGTCTTGGCTGCATGGGCTCGCTGCTGCACCAACAGCACCAGGAGCGGAACTAGAAGATAGCGCAGTAAACGCAGCGATGTAGATCCATATCGTGCTGATCTGCAACTGCTGCATGTCGTCGCTAATAAGGAGGGTTCCCCATTAGGTGGCACTGCTTGTTCTGGTGCTGGCGGTGATGCGGGTGCCATTGCTGTTGGCCACGGATCTGCCTGCAGCGGTCGTGTCAAGTTGAGCGATGATAGTCTCTCGTCCAGACAGCACACCATGTCAAGCTAGCTGCAGAAGATCTCACTATCGGACTCACAATCCACACCGACTCCGCTCCAGTCCAGTCCAGTCCAGTCCGCAATGCAACGATAGTGACGACTCACGCAATGAAAGCTGCTAGCGTCTGCCAGCAAGCGTACGCCTTGGAGGCGAATTCTGTGTTTGCTTTCCTGACCTTGGACTGACGACTGGAAGAATGCTGTGTCTCACCTATCTCGTTTCCCTAATCACTGCCGTCACGCTGACTATAATTCGCCTATAGGTTACCAGCAGTTTAGGGGGGTATCGCATGGGACACGGGTGACTGACTACACGCGAGGAGTGCGATGGGATGGGCTTGAATAGGTCCAGCCTGGCTAGTGTCGTAGTGACTCGCCTGGCAAGCCCGTGGGTGTCCGATCCTGCACTCGTGCTCAGGCACAGTCAGCGGTGGTATCGCTACTTGAAAGGGTCTCCTATCGGACTAGCTCTCGGTTTGTGTGGCCTGGATCTGGCACTGCACACCGTGGTTATTCAACAATCAGTAAGCAAAGGGCGAGCTTGATACGACTTTAGAGTATAGCAACACAACAGTCAGTCATCAGCCAGTCAGCCCAGCGACAGAGTAGGGTCAACCCGCTCGTGTCGTATCGATCATGGGCGACGAGTGACGGATGAAACGCTGATCCTGTCTCCCACTCCCCGTGAGTGGTCTGCTGCTGTTCGCAGGCACGCATCAGTCATAACAACTCCAAAACAATGGTATGTCCAGACTTGGGTAGCACCAGCAGCGGTGACACTGACTGTTGCTGTATAACTAGTGTTGACCTGAGCTGAGTTCATGCTAGGGAATCTAGGCCGGTGCCTTGTCGATCAGTCCTGGGAGCTGTGAAAAATCCTTTCCAAACGCCGTCGACCCATCCAGCTCTGGTGTCGTGCCCTTTCTCCCAACTGTCACATCTATGTTCTACTTCGCGAGTCTCACCTGGCAGGCCGAAACCGCTTGATCTCCTTGCATCACGTGACGCGTTCTGCAGGTCCGCGTTGTTGATCGCGTGGCTCAGCGCGTAGGGGCGCTTGGGCAGCCACATGCACAGACGCTCAACGCGGGATCGACCTGCTCCTCGACTGAGCTTTGGCCTTCAGCAGTTCGGCGTTCTCGCTCTCTCACGATGCAGTGTATTTGAGGACGGGACTGTGATATCGCCGAGCCTGTTTATCGTCAACAGCATCACGTTCCATTACCACCAATCATCACTCAGCTGCAGTACAGCAATCCCACAGAAGCCCAAACTATTGTAACGATTATTATGTGAAGCAAAGGCACACTAACACTAACACACTAACACTAACACACACAAAAGGCACACTAACACTAACACACTAACACTAACACGTTATTATGTCATTGTAGTTGGGACTAACCTTGCTCTACCTTTAATACAATAATACTATGCAGAAAACTGAGAGCTAGAGTTCTCAGCTCTGCGGCTAACTGTCATCACCTGTGTCCGCATATCATCTTGGACATTGTGGCTAGTAGAAGTTGCAATGCCATCGCTTGCATGTCACTGCTATCGCGATTACGATGTTTCGCATCACTCAGTGTCCTCACAGTATGCACAGGAATTTTTGTTCAGTTACAATGAATGCCTGGATTGTGTGGACGAGGAGGAATGTACTTGCGGAGCACTATCGATTCGACTTGAGAGGGCATTTATGCAAAACCAAGGGCCTCGATTCATTGCTGTCGATCGATACTGGCCTATTTCATTTCCCGACCATCAATGCCTGCTTGTACTGGTGTTTAGTGGACATGGCACGAACATGTCCATGTACATTGTACAAATTATTATACAAGTGTTACTGTTATCCGATCTGGGTTAAGTCTGGATATATGCCTATGGACATGTTCCCTGTGAGTGTGGGCTCCATGGGAAAGTCTTTATGAGTCCACAAAACTTTGCTCCATTTTCAAGACACGGTCACCAGTGATTTCCTGGCCAGACGAGGAGCGATCCAAGTAAAGCCCTTGCAGTGGGAAAAGACCTGCGCTGCGAGTGTTGAAGTGAAAATAGTTGTGTTATCCTGGATCGAAGTCAAGAGAACGCAGGTGTGGCTTACGATGCATGATTGGCATAGACTGTGATTCGCTTTTGACTGTGATTTGCTGCGTTCACTCACGGGGGCTTAAAGTCTGCAAACTGAAACGTGCCAACCAACCTTGTCAGGCTAGGCAGCCTGAAGCGTACAAACAGTACATGTATATATACATGTATACGAACCTGGATCACAAAATAGACATGTTAGCATAATCTCTATCCCACTAAAATAGGCCTAACGCGGATAGAAATCAGCCCAGAGGCGGTTTTATGCATGCGCCTCCTGGTGGTCCTGGCCCATGTTGTAAAGATGATATCGACCATTTTCCCCGCCAGCAGCAATTGCTATTGTGGTATGGCGGCCGACGTTCGATTTATCACCGGCGAGGAACCTAGCACAAGACCTTTGTTGGCAGCTCACTAAACGAGCAAACAAATCTAGCGTTGAACTGGGGTACGAGTGAACATGTAAGCTACACTGTTCTGTACAAGCCTCTCCGGGAGAGAGAAGCAACTCATCACTTTGCCTGCTGCGAGTGCCGATGAAGTCGTTTTGCCCCAGAGCGATCTGGAGCGGCCTTCGTGTTTGTTCTACGAGCATCTCTTGTGTCTTTCTTCAGCATCTCTTGTGTGAATAGGATAACACAATGAATGTCCCATGCCCTGTCCTCGGTATTCTTATTCCATTTTCAATATTGAAATTGAGGGTAACACCCATCTCGACTCACTTGAGAACGCCGATATGCTGCCAACACGTTCGCCTGACCAGCATAGTACTAGTATTCTTATTCTCCAAAATAATTGTATGCGTTTAGCTGGCAGTGAAAAGGAGATATGCGGACATGTACTGTACAAACAAAACATTTCTACCATTCTCTTTTAGCGATCATTAGCATCTTATTGTCTGTATCTGTGTCTCCTGATCATTCCTTATACTGTATATGTACTTGTAAGTAGTCGTTTAAGCACGGGGTAACACATATTGACAAGACGACAGTACTATTACTGTCTAGCTCCTAGCTAGCTCTCGTCCTGAATACAGTCGGCACTGGCGGCGTGGGGAAAGTCCAAGTCAGACTCAAATGAAACCCATTTTAGCTGTCCATACGTACTTGGACACGCTTAATTAAGGGGGGACGGGAGGTTCAGAGGGTCAAAAAATGAATTTCTGAGTTTTGAACTTTTTGCTATGGAATCTTGTCTTAGGATATTTGAAGCGCCAGAATTTCAAATTTGAGCGTAATCGGTTTAGTAGAAGTGGAGTTATGAGCTAAAGTATGTCGAGATAAATTTCAAATGTAAATACTCAAATGTTTACAATTGCCTAATTTTGTGACTTTGGTTTAGTCCAAAATCAAGCGTTTTTGATTCAACTTCGCCAGGTAAGCGACCCTGGCTTCTGTTTTTGTAGTCATGGAGAGCTGCCACGTGCTTCCTTGATCGCGTATGACGTTCTGCAGCGCCACGACGCCCACGCGAAGGAAAAAATCTTTGTTTTTTTGTTTGTGATCGTGAAAGTGAACAATTAAATTATTTTACATGGGGAACCGAAAGAGAAGCACCAGCAGCTCTGGAAGTGGCCATAGGAGGAAGAAAGGGAGATACTACGCCCCAAAGCAGTCAAGCTCTGTACCAGTTGTGGAAGAAGGCACCGTTGAAGCGGCGCAGAGCGCTTCCTCTCGGAAGATTTCGTCGAGGCCAAAATGGCTTAGTGATAATTATGGTCATGGAATTTGAATCTGAGCTTGTGTGCTCGAGTGACAGTGATTCAGACGAGTCGTCCAGTGATAGCTGCCAGGAGTATGATGATGATGCATTCTATCCTGATGTTGAGGAGTCTGTCTCTGGCTACAAGATCGTGGATTTACAGTGTCTCCAGGAACTGATGGATCAATTTACTGTCTGTAGGAAGTGCACGAAGGGAGACATGATCGTCAGTAACTGTCATGACACTGGACTTGGATCGACCCTGCGACTTCAATGCGCTTTGTGTGGACACAGTGGAAGTACGTCTCTGAGCAAGAAAATTTGCAGGAGCTATGATCTGAATTGACGATCTGTACTGGCGATGCGATGCATTGGACGTGGCCATGGTGGACTCCGAAAGTTTTGCGGCGTAATGAATTTTCCTGCTCCTGTAACGGAGAAAGCGTACCGCAGCCACCAGGAAGTTGTCCTTGCTGCAGCCGTAAAGCTAGCTGAAACTGACATGGTTCAATCCGCAGCTGAGTTGCGTGCCATGACAGATTCCACCCACGTCGCAGTGACGTTCGACGGCACTTGGATGCGCAGGGGATATTCGTCGCTGTATGGTGTGTTCGCGTGCATCTCCTTCCAGAGCGGCCGTGTACTGGACATCACAGTGAAGGGTCGATACTGTCACGAATGTAAGATCTGGACTGAGAAGAAGCGAAGTGGTGCAATCACGGAGGAAGCCTTTTCAACCTGGCTGGATAATCACAAGTGCAGCATAAACACAGCGGCATCTGCACCCGGTATGGAGAGTGAAGCTGCGTGCGATATTTGGCAGCGGTCTGTGGGCACACGCGGAGGCCTCATAAGAACCCTCTCCCAAAGGCTGTGTTCGAAGTCGTGAAGCCCATCTACATGCAGCTGTCCGAACGAAGTCTGCTGGAGCGCTGCCAGATGGGTGCAACGCAGAATGCGAACGAGTCGTTCAACAACGTCATTTGGAGAATGCGTCCGAAGGAAGGCTTCTGCTCCGTCGACACCGTTCAGCTGGCAAGTAGTTTGGCAGTGCTCAACTTCAACAACGGCGCTATCACCTTGCTCAGTGTGCTGAAAGAGTGTGGATGCATTGATGGCAATCACACGAAGGCAGCGCTTGAGCTAGAAGACCAATGGCGTGTGAAGAAGTCCCTCCGCAAGTCATCAGCACTGGAAAAGGAGAGCAGGAAAAGGAGAAGGAGGCAGAGGAAAGGCTGGGAGGAGACCACTATTGAGAAAGAGGGCACTACATATGACAAAGGTGGTTTCTGAATGGCAACTTCAGGTCAGATATGTGAAAATATTTCAGTAGCACTCCACTATCAGTCCTTTTTATGTAATTTTTAGGTGCATTTTTCACTGATTTTAGGGGTATTATGGGCACTCCGCGCAGTTTTTTAGAAATGCTGTACATATCTTGTATGTAAAAGTATATATTTTCTGGTTCTGTACGGTCCATTCTAGATCCGTTGCCTTCTTAGGACACAAGATCTTCTGTTAGAAACAAAATAATGGACCTTGAACTTCAGTCAAGTTATCTTGCGCACGTGCATTGTTATTTCAAGGCTGCAGTGGCACACCATGGGAACTGTAATCGCATTGTGCTTAGGCAACAGCCCTAGCCCCTTGGTACCTGATCATTTTGCAGTGTTATGTGTTTATCTTCAAGTGACCGTGTTTGAGAAAAACTGCGCAGAAATCATGCCCGGCTATCGCATTTTTTCCAAAATTGCTTTCCTGCATTTCTCCATGATACCAGTATACTTTCCACAGTTCTTGGTTGCAATGTCGTCAGTGGATGTCAAGGAACATATACTGAAAATTTGAAGGAATTCTGATGTTTGAGTGCTGAGATTCAAGCGAATTTATAACGGGCACTGCAATATGGCCAGCGAACCTCCCGTCCCCCCTTAAAGGTTTTGCATATCGTTTCGCGCAGCAACTTCATGTCGAGGCAGTATAATAATTATACATGCACACACGGCGTGGGATTGATCTGCTAAGTCAAGAAGTTGCTTTTGTTTATCCATATGCATCACGAGCTAGGAATCTTTCAGACTTCTTTCACAGAAAAGAAAACGGATCAAGGAACTACAAGTTCATATTTCTTTCACAACGAGTAATAGACGACTGGACTTTGTTGGACGAATCCTCAATCAGATAGGACGAACCACCAGATAGGGCCCACCTCTGTGCGTAGTCTCTACAAAAAACTTCAAAAGTAAGTATTATGGCGCGCACATACACTGTTTTTTTTGTTTTCCTTCCTGCTCACTCTGCCTGTCTTCTGGCACATGCGAATACGTGGACTTACTGTTGATGTAAACGCGGACGTGCGTATAATA